ATACTTTTATTAATAATTTTAAGTAATTTAATTTAATAATTAGCTTTAATAAGTATAAAGAAATAACTTAAAAAAGTATTAATTAATATATGGTAAGTATGTATTTAAAGTAAAATACTTAAAACGTTTGCTTTATGTAAATGGCGGGGTAATTATAGTTTTGGAAAGCTAGCTTTTAAGGTATATTTATGTTTTATTAATATATGCAGCCAATTTCCTTGTACTAAGTAGGCTAATGCTGGAAGCTAGGTGGGCGTATTATAAAAGCTGGGTGGGCGTACGCTAATTCGTCTTTAAGCCCAGGAACGGGCCCCCGAAGAGGATCCAATCGCTGCCGAAACGATGAGCAGTGCAGAGTAATCATTTACAAAACGAGACAGGTGGCACTTTTGCACTCGAGAAGAGGAGCTATCAGGTTGTCTGCAGTCAGATGGCAGTTGTTCACGTTTACCTAGGTATACAGTACCAATTACAATAAACATGTAAATACAATCGTCTCGGTCGCATATGGGGTATAAACCCAGCCGCAAGTAGCGGATCAGGTGCTAAATTTCCCTTCACGTAATTATCGCACACAAATAGGACACCGCAGCATGAGGTTAGTGACGGAAAAGTTTAGTGAAGATTGTGTGCCCTGAATAGACAGAGCACTCGCGATGACGAATCAGTTGATATCAGGGTAGCGAGTGCCTACTAGCCACGTTCGGAGATTTCTATCGCCCGGTCACAAGCAGTCGATTAGAAAAGTCGCAAGGGGCGGGGGCTACGAGCTGGGAAGGTACCCAGGTAATGAACAGTTCGATATATGCCGACTGAACAGAAGTTCCTTTGGAGGAAGAATGGATGACCCAAAAGAGGCAGAATTGATGAGGCATGGCGGAGGCACGGGCGAGTCCTGGGGCACAAGTCTCGGGATGAATCAGAACGAGGTATCTTGGGTCAAAATAAAATGTCTTACCACCAACGAGTGCCAGACCTTCCGTACTAAGTTAATGAATCCGTGCTAACAATACTTACAAGATAGGAAGGTGAAGGCTTCCCCGGGATATCGTCAGCCGCCTAGACAGATTACGGGATAAAACGCGTGCGGCCTTGCCGTTATAGTAGCGTGATCCTTTTAAAACGCCTGCAGTAGCTCCATTATTATACTATCCAGATACTAGGAGATATAGGCCACCCAGTACCCAGATCTAAACTACCTGGACCCTAAGAAGTTAAGACGTCCCTTATATATAGGCAGAAAAGTACTGGCAAAATTTCCTCTTATCTAATAGGTGGAAAATTGGCCGCCCTCACCTAAACTAAGACTTATCACTTTTCTTGCTCCGGATAACTACGATAATATAACTAAGTATGTTTTAGAGATTATTATATCATTAGCTCTGTTTAAAATATTCTGTTATGTATAGGCTGGTGGTATATAGCTAGATGGAATATCATAACCTCGCCGGTGTAGCGGATGTGCTGGCCACAGCTATACGTGCGATAGGTGTTAGACGATGGAATACTTATAGTAAGGCGGTTTCTCGCAAACATTAAAATGCAAGATACCCCAGACTCCCATAAACATTAAAATAAAAACACTAGCAATATACAATATCGACATAATCTCCCTTATACATAATTATATCAGCTATAATACAAGTCTCAGCCGGCCTTAACCTAGGCACAGGCCCAACCCTCTCCCTCACGGGTGCCGGTGAACAGAAGCCGACGAGGCCCCTAACCAGGGATGAGGCCGTCAGCTTCAAGGTCAACTCGCCCAAGACGTGGACTAACTTCCACAAGCATGTGCACAAGCTTAAGCCCCAGGGTAACTACAACGTTAACATGAACTGCTTGGTTTACCAAATTTCTCCGCAGGGGGCCAACAGCTATAAGAGTCTTTTCCCCCCTGCAGCGGCCAGCAGCCTGGCCGCTCTAAGTTGCTCCATTTCACTGTGCCAAAATGTTGGATGGGGTACAAGAGCAGCTGCGAGAAGGTACTTGAGGCCCGTTAATGGGGCCGGTCCCGGGTGCCATGTTCTTCAGCGCCCCCACTATCGGAAGACACACCTAAAACTTCCTCACCACTCTTTGTTTTGAAAGTTGAGCAGACAGGTGCAATAAACTACAGTTAGCACCCAGGCTCCCCATCAGTATTACTAGCGGTTGGTCAACCGAATGCCTGAGCCAATGACCTCACGGCAGGAGCCCAGGGCGCCCTGAGATACCGATTGAGCCACCCTTAATCGGGTCCGCTTACGGCGGCAGGCCGCAGGTTGTCCAAGGCGGTGGTGTATAGCTGCCTAAGTGATGGCCGGTTGATTGGCTTAACCGCCAAGCACGCGACCACCAACTCACATAACTATTGCCCGTAAGCCGCCACATATGGTGAATTTATGATTTGTTCCCCATAGGTCCATTTATTCTGGATCGCCGGCTCCCGTACTGCCATGGGTGGCTCAATAGGCACCCTGAGCGTGATGCAAGACTACATAGCCCGAGACAAAATCAATGTGAGTTGATAGCTCCTGACTTCAGATTTGCTTTCCGTGTCTTAGAAATAGCCCACCAGTCCGATTTGCCACACATTTAACCATTCTCCATAGTTCCCGGCAAGAGTGGTTTGATCACCGATGATGCTGATGGGGCTGGGGGGTACTCTATAGAAGTCCTGGGTAAATGGGTTACCAGAGAGTGGAAATTTGGCATAGAAGTAACAAGACCAAAGGGTAATTTAGGAATTGAACTTTATTCACCACAATTAATGTGTATTAATGCCAAACCTCTTTACTTACTTAAACATATAGGCAAATGGTTATTCCGTTGAGTGCTGGAAAGCTTGCCGAGCCGTGCATCCAAAGGATCACCCGAACAGCTTTGAGAGGGCTAGAGGACGCTAGAGGTCGATTGACATCATATTCCTTCCGTTCCAGGCACTTTACCGGTGATTATAGGGGCACAATTTTGTCGCAGGACTCCTTACGGCATTCTTGTTCCCCATAGTAGTTTCTTCTACAGTTACGCCAAGATCACGGCACTAGAGCGAGCAATTACTTAGCTTGTCATTAACATATTTGGCATCTGAGGAGAAGAATCATGGCTGCAGGGGTATGGAAGTTCCGTGAGTGGTGTCCCAACTTCTTGCTGCTCAAGGGGTTTTAGGGGATGGGTGGCTCGGATCAGGGGCATCAGGAAGGACTATTTAATCTAAGTAGCTACTATACACTTCTCATAAGCATAAAAGCACGCCAGTCACCACTCACCTTCTTTTTCTAAATGCAGGCGGGAGTAACGCGACCTCTGCGTGGTGCGCTCGGCTGTGCTTGGGTTATATGGTAGAATGTTTCACTCGCCCCTAGTACTGGATCTGTGAGAAATTTGAGGTAAGATATGTGTTAGGGAAAGATTGATAAGAAACACTCCCTTCCCCTTCCTCCCATGGGGCCGTCTTCTCTTAGAGAGCCCTATCCTCCTAAAGGCCCACGTCATTTCCAGAGCCTCTTCCTTTTTCCTCTCTAAGGGATATCTTCCAACAACTTCCTCCTTCCTTTCACTGCCCTTTCTTCTTAAAAATATGCTTTCCTCCCAGAGCCCCTTGCTCTCAGAGGAACGCCTTCCTCTTAGAGGGACCCCGAGGCTGCCATAGCTAGGAATTGCTACTCGCGAGTATTCCGGTTTACTCCAGTCTGTGCTTATTCCTGGATAAGGTTTGACAAAAGACCAATACTAGAAATTCAATTAAGGGAAAAATCGAGAAATCGGGAAACTATGCCCCCCCCCCCCCCCCCCCCAAAGCTCGCGCAGGACCGTAGGGTACCATTTTTGGCAAAGCGCCGTCGATTTCTTGTAGGATTCAATCTCGGCACTGATCACTAGATGTGACACATCATGACGGAGCGAACATGCAAAGCCAAGTAATTCTAATACAAGCCACAGGAGCTTTCCTCAACTTAGCAGGCATTGCCTTTCGAACAATTCAAAGAGATCCAGCCTAAACCGACTTGTTCCTGTCAATTGCTGGATATGAGTACAGAGAATTGATTCTACAGTATCTTGAAAGGCCTGGTACTGTATTTAAAAATCTGTACATTAATCCCGTACGTCTACTAGTAACCACACAGGTAAACATGCATCAATTAATGTTAATGTATATATATCTATAAAAGTCATGTAAAGAGTTTAGCGCCTGCATGCGTGTGTGAGTTACTTGTGGCAGAATATGTGCTTATAAATCAGACGCTAAAATCTACTTATACCGGAGCCAGAGTACGCCCACCCAGCTTCTATAATATGCCTACCTAGCTTTTAGCGTTAACTTACTTAATATAAGGAAATTAGCTATATATATTATAAAATATTAATATTATAAAGTTATTAATAAAATATAATTATAGCTATTTTAAAAGGGTTTTATAGCTATTCCTTTATTTATAACTTAAAAGTTATTTTTACCCTTTTGCCCTTTGCGCCCTCTTTTGCCCTCTGCGCCCTTTTTTACCCTTTGCACCCTCGCCGCTCTATGCGCCCTCTGCGCGCTCTGCGGCCCTCTGCGCGCTCTGGGGGCCTCTGGGCGCTCTGGGGGCCTCTAGGCGCTCTAAGCTTTTTAGGCTTATATTTTTAAAGTATTGCTTAAATTAAAAAATAGCTACCCTAGCTTCTTATATATAGGGTAAGCTTAAAAAAATACCTAGTCTTATTAATATAATACTAAGAAAAGGAAGTACTGGGTGGGCCAACGCTGAAAGCTGGGTGCGCGTACTGTGGAAGCTGGGTGGGCGTACTCTGGCTCGCATCACCCCAGCCATTGACATTCTAAATGTGCGGCTTCTCCCGACAGCCCTCAGCTGCCGGCTTCCAGAGGTTGACAGAGAAGAGAGCCTGTTCACTGCCACGCCGTATCAGGGAGTGAAATAACGAGCATAGCTAATTTTGGACGCCATGTCTTTTGTTTTTCCCTATACCACCGAGAGACTGACATGTTTGCGTGAGATCGGGGCGTTGTCGAAACCTATGCGATGTCGTCGCTCTGGGCGCAGTTTTGGGCAGAGCGGCACCCTCCGGCCGATCCCGTCCATGTCTCGTACAAGGACAACGCCGTACTGATTACAGGTACGTTCTCTTAGTTGTATACTATTGCGCCTGGTTGTATTTTGTGATGACTACGTGCTAACACTACATGATGGCTCACAGGTGCGAACTCCGGCCTGGGTGGGCCACGAGGCTGCCGTAAAATACGCTGCTCTGGGCGCCAACCCTCTCATTCTTGTTGTACGAACTCAGACCAAAGGCGAGCAAGCGAAGGCGGATATAATTCGCCGCACGAAGTGCTCTGCCGATATTTTCACCATCGTGACAGTGGACCTTGCTGATATTGCATCGGTCAAGGCCTTGGGGCATCGTCTCACAACACACTCTCGAGTGCGACAGCTTCACGTTGCCCAGCTTGCCGCAAATGATGCACAGTGGCAGTATGAAAGCAGTCCTGACGGCTACGAGGTGACGCTGGCGGTCAATTTCCTCTCTCAAGCGCTACTTGCGATGCTCCTGCAGCCTGTGACGCGCGCAGCTGCAGCGGCGGCCACGCCAGGTGGATTCGTGCCTCACCTCTCGTTCTTTCACAGCATAGCCGGGTTCGAGGTCACGGCGGACTGGCTTCCACGCGGCCAGTCACTCATCCAGCGATGCAACGACAAGGGCAAATGGGACTCTACCAAACAGTATTAACTTGCCAGACTTGCGCTCTGGGGCGTGATAGAAGGTCTGATCGATCGATTGCACCAAGACGAGGAGTGTCGCAAGATAATCATCAACGCTTCATGCCCCTCAGGCTGCAAGACGAACATGGGCGGCAATTTTCCCTCATTTGTGAAGCCTATACTGGCATTACAGCATTTCATCTGCGGTCGGACTGCTGAGCAAGGCGCTCGCACTTTAGTCAGTGAGACGGTACTGGGCCCTGAAAGTCACGGTAAACTGTGGAGGAATGACGAGCTTTACCCGTAAGCAGCCTCTACCTTCAAGTCGTCCGTCCGTGGACATCCACTGATGGGGATCACTTTTACAGGCCCTATGATTTCATGCAAAACTCCCGGGGTCGAGAGATCCTGCAGGATACTTGGAAGCAGGGTTGTAATTAGTTAAATTAGTTTAGTTAATTTTAAAAACTAACTAAATTAGTTTAGTTAATTTTAAAAACTAACTAATTTATTTTAGTTAATCTTATTAACTAAAACTAAATTAACTAACTAAAAAACTAACTAAATTAACTAAAAAACTAAGAAAAAAAGCGGAGTTAATTTAAAATAAAATTTTAAAAATATTAAAATAATTATAAGCCTATTAAATATTAAGAAGAATATTAAGAAAATATTAAAGAATATTAAAAGAATATTAAAAGAATTAAAAAAATTAAATAAAAAAATAAAAAAAGTCGTTTCTAGGGTAATTTAAACCCCTAGCTATTAGCACATTATACGACATATAATTACAAGCAAGGGATTTACAATATATTTACATATTACGAGATTTACAAGCATTATTATAATTATCACAAGCAATTATTATGAATTTTATTAACGCTATATATTACTATACTATATATATTATGAAATTACGAAATATATATAATTTAGCTTCCTTATAAGTGCATATAATTTATAGTATATAGCATATAATATATTTACGCCCCCCCCCCCCCCCCCTACCTTTAGCATCACCACTTATATAAATTAACTAGTTTCTTAATAGGTTTTAACGCTAACTATATATAAAATATATCATTTAATTACCCTTTTCCTTTTCTTTATATATATAATATTTAAAAAATAGCTTATCTCTTTAAAAAAATAAATATTCTAATATAAATTAAACTTACCTTATATAAAAAATATTAAATACTTATTTATAAAAATATATAAAAAACTTAATTTTTTTTTAAATATATTAATATTATTTTTATATTTATATTTAATTATTAAAAATATTAAATATACCTTTTTATTATATTTAATAAAATTTATATATTTTTATAAATACTTTAACTTTAAAAGTAGCTATAAGGCTTATTTAGGCCTATTTGCCTTTATAAATACTCTAACTTTAAAAACAGCTATAGGGCTTATTTAGGCCTATTTGCCCCTATAAATACACTAACTTTAAAAACAGCTATAAGGCTTATTTAGGCCTATTTACCCCTATAAATACATTAACTTTAAAAATAGCTATAGGGCTTATTTAGGCCTATTTACCCCTGTAAATACTTATTTATTATATATAAATTTAAATATTATATGTTTATATTAAATCTTTTTAAATTAATAAAATAAAAAAAGCCCTTTGGGGTAACTATTCATCCAAGTTGGATAGTTTTAAAAGCCAAGATTTCATTATAAGAAATATATATATTATTTAATTTAATATTATATATATTTAAATAATTATATAATAAATATATAAAAATTATCCTTAAATTAAGTTATATTTATATATATATTAATATTATTTAAAAACGGTTTAATTTACTTATAAAAAATAATATTATATATTTTTTTAAATAAATATTTAGCCTATTTGGAGAAATAAATTGGCCGATTTAGGGGAATAAACTATTCATTTTTTTTTATCTTTAATATATATAAACCTCTTTCTTTTTCCTTCCTCTCTCTCTTTTCCTTTCCTTTATTATTATTTTATTACCATTAAGAAAATCACTTACACCTCACTATTTACGCCTTAATATAAAGAATTCTTTTATTTTTAAATATTTTAAATATTTAAAATGTCTTTTTTCCCCTTATCTCCTGGAAATTCTTCCTTAATAAATCCATCTTTTATAAATGAATTTATAGCCTCTACTAAAAATAATATTTCTTTTTCTAAAGATACTTCGTAAATATCTTAAAATAATAAATATAATTCTCCTAATTATTAACTTCCCCCTCTTAAGTAAACAAGAATTTATATTTTTAAATATAAATTATTTACTTAAACCCTACTTCCTATTAAGGGAAATTGCCCTAGAAAAATTATAATTAAGTATAATAAGTAAGTTATGCATTTATCTTTTTAAAATATAATTTAATATAAATAAAATATATTATTATATATTTTATTTATATTTAATTATATATTATATTAAATTATAATTAGCCAAGTATAGCATATAGCTATATTTTAAATTAATATTAATAATAAGAATATATTTAATAATATTCTTTAAAAGCACCCCAACTATATAATTAATATATAATATATAATTTTAAAAAGATATTATATTTCTTTTAAGTATAATAATAACTTACTTAGTTTTTTAATTAATAAATTAATAGTTACTATTATTTATAAAAAGATACTTTAAAAGGATTTTAAGCCTTTAATTATTAACGGTATTATAAGCATAAACACCTAAATATTGCTTATAATAAAACATTAAAGGTAAATAAAAATAAAAGTAAGTTTTTATTAAATAATAATATTTTAAAAATTAAAATTTAATTAATTATTTTAAGGCTAAATATTACAGCCTTCCCTTTGAATTTCTTCGCCCTTTTATAAAAGAAAATAAAAGTTAAATTTATAAAAATAAATACTTATGAAAAGATTTTAAATTTTATTATTAAAAATAATTTAGCTTTTAATATTTTAAATTTTAAATCTTTTTAAGATTTATTATTATATTTAAATCCATATGTATTTCTTTTTTTTTAATAAAAAGAAATAAACTAATTTTACCTTAAAGCTGCTTTTAAAATAAATTATATTAAAATTAAAAGTATTTTAAATAATACTTTTAATTTTAATTTAGATTATTTAAATTTAAATTTAAAAGAAAATATTACTAGTAATGGTAAATTTTCTTTTAATTTTAATATTTAAACTTTTAATTTTAATACGGCTTATATGGGAGTAATTATTTTTTATATTAATTTTAAATTTTAGTTAATTTATAAATTAATTGGATTTAAAGAATTAAAAGAAAAATATACTAAAATAATTTTTTTTAAAGAGTTTTTAAAATTTATTAAATATTATTTAAATATAATATATAATAGTATTTTTAGGTATTTAATTTTTTTTATTTTTTAAATATTAATAATTAATATTTTATTATAGCTTTATAAGAGATAATGCATTAAATAATAATACTTTTTTAACGGCTTTTAAAGATAAATTTAATTTTAAATTAAATACACCGTTTAAAAATAATATTTAATGTATAGCGCATATTATTAATTTAATAGCGCAAGATATTTTAAAAGAATTTACTTTAAATTTATAAACTAAAGAATTCTTAAAAGAATATTTACAAGATATAAATATAGCTATATCTATAGATAATACTATTAAAAATAGTAAGTTATTACTTTTCTTAAATATCTTTATATTATTATATATATATTAATTTTTATTAAATCTTATTACTCATTTAAGATAAATAATAATTTTAACTTAATATAATATTAAAATTAATAATTTATTATTTAAGGGTATTAAAAAAGCTATATAAGAAGAAGCCTTATTAAAAGGTTATAAAACAACTTATATTTTACTTAGTATTTATTTTCTTTTTTTTTTAAAAAACTATTAATAAATATTTATTAATATATTTTTAAATACTTTTATGCATTGAAACTTTATATATAATATATTAAAGGTTTTTTTAGAATTAAAAAAACCTTTAAATTATATTAATAGAAATACTTTTAATAAGGAATATAAAGATATATTCTTTAATTTATTAGAAATATTTATTCTAGGGCAAATTATAAAGACTTTTAAAGTCTTTTTTAAGCCTTTTATTAAGTTATAAGAATAGTTATATATAACTATTTCTAAAGGTTTATTATATATATATTATATATATAAAAACCTTAATAACTTAATAAAGGAATATAAAAGAAAAAGAGCAATAAACCTTAAATTTATAAGTTTTCTTATTTTCTATTTATTTATTAATTTAATAATTAATTATATATATAGGAATAATATTTATTTAATTTTATTAAAGCTATTTAAGTTAGCATTAAAAAATTAAAAAAGTATTTCCCTTAAAAGATAATTAAAAAAAGATTAAAAGATTATAAATCTTTTATTATTTCTTTAATTCTTAACCTTAGGTTTAAAATAAGCCATTTTTAGCTTAATGGTTTATTATGCTTTTATTTAAATATAAAAGCAAATATAAAAGCTTTTTTTAAAGTTAAATATTTTAAGTAAGTATTTTTTTTTAAAAAAAAGGTTTATATTATATATAATTTTATTAATAAATAATAGGCTTAAATTAAAGCTTTTTAGCTTATTAAAAGATAATATATATAATTTTTTTCTTAAAAACTCCCCTTAGGATATCTTTAATTTTAAAAATAAATTATTTCTTAATTCATTTATAAATAATAAGGAAGAATATATACTTTATTTTTAAAAACCTTTCTTTAATTATAAGGTAATTCTTTTTTTAATATTTAATATTAATTAAACTTATTAATTAATAATATTTAGTTTAAATTATTGAATTATTAGAAAAATAATAAACTTTAATATCCAATATTAAGTTTATTAGCCCGAAAATATCTTGCTATTCTAGCTACTTTTACTATAATAAAAAGAATATTTTTTATTATTAGTAATATTATTACTAAATTAAGGGTTAATCTTAATTTAAATATAGTAATAAAAATAATATTATTAAAAAATTAAAGATTTAATAATATTTAAAAGCTAAAGAAAGAGTTATTAAATTTAAAGGAAATAATAAAAGAATAGTTTTTATAATTTATTTTATAAATAAAGTATAATTTATTTTATAATTTTAAATTATACTTTAATTTATTCTTTATTTATAATTTATTTTATAATATTAAATAATAAAAAATATATTTTAAAAATAAAATAAAAATATATAAGTATTAATAATTGCTTTAAAACTGCATAGCTATTAAAGAAATAAATAAAATAAATATATAGCGAAATGTGTAATTTACTCTTAAAATAGCTTATAATTAAAGCATTACACTAATAAATTAGTGAATAACCTTGCTTCCTAAAGTTTAAATAATATAATAAAACCCAGATTATTAAGTTTTAAAATATCCCCTAGGGCCCTTAATAACTATAAATTAATATAGCGTTAGCTATAGCTTTTTAAAGAAAATAAACTAATCTTTTTCCAACGGTAACCTAGGTAGTTACTATAATCACACGCTTTACCGCTAAACTATAATGATTACCTATTAAAAAGAAAAAAAAAATCAACTTATAAGCTATATTTAATATTTAAAAAAAAAGAAAATATATTTAATATTATTAAAGAAGTATTTATTTATTAAAAGTATTTTATATATTAATAATCTTTAAATTATACTATATTTAATAAAGCTTTAAATAATTATTAATTATTATTATAAAAAGGAATGCAAAGTTATAAAGTTTTATTGTTGTTATTAATATATAAGTTATGTAAGCTTATTAAGCAACCCCACTTTTTTAAAGGGTGTAAGTTTAAGTTTAAATATATATATTATTATATTTATTATTATTAAATATTATAAAATTCTATCTTTAAAACTATATATTTTTTATATATATAATATTATTATTAAATATAATAAAAGTTTTTTAAATTCTTTTTTATATTTATTAAAAAGCTTTTATTTTTTTTATTTTTTTACTTTTATTTCTTTTATTTTATTATTATTATTATAATATTTATAAAAATTAAAATTATTATATTAAATTATAAATACTTTTATAAGCTTAGAAAATATAAAATATTTTATAAAATATATAAAAATATTATTATTATAAAATTAATAAATATTAAAATAAATATATTAAATAATTATTATTTTTATAAGGCTTATAAAGGCTAAAGATACTTTATAACCTTTAAATAATAATCTTATTTATAAGGCTTATAATAATTAAAATAAATATAATAATTTATATTTTAAAAAATATAAAAAAGTATATTAATTATTAAAAAAAAAGAATTATTTCCTTATTATATAAGTTAAAATAAGCAAGTTATAAAGTATTATACCCCTTAATAATATTTATTTTAATATATTTTAACTTATTTTTAAGAAATAATTTAACGCTATTAACCATTAAGCTATAGCGGGGATTTAGGTTGATATATTATTAAAAAAAATAAAACTTATATAATTTAAAATAATATTTAAATAAAGTTTATTTATTTATTTCCTTTTAAATTAAAAGTAATTTTTAATTAATAATTATATTTTTTAAAAGGAATTATATATATTAAAAATATATATATTATAAAATATTATAAACCTTTATTTTTAAATTATATATTTATTATATATATATTATTTATTATTATTATAAAAAATATATTTAAAATAAAATAATTTAAATTAATATAATTATATATAAATATATAATATTTATATTATTATAATATTTAATAAAAAATATAAAAATAATTAAAAATAATTATATAATAATTATATTAAAATATTTAATTATTTCTTTCTTTATATACTCTTTTAAAAAAGTAATTTTAAAGTATAAGGTGGAGTAAATATAAAGATTTTATAGTTTAATGGTTAGAATACTTTATTAAAGAAAGGCTTAGGTTTGATTCCTAATAGGAGCGTTGTTTCGCAATATCTTATACTTTTATTTTTTTTATTAAATATATTATTTAATTATTTATATTATAATTAAATTTTAAAATTTAATTAATTTATTTTAATATATAAATAAAGTATTATTTTTATAAAGCTTATAAATAAAAAAAAAGAAATTATTTCCTTATTATTTAAGTTAAAATAAGTAAATTATAAAGTATTATATCTTTTAATAATAATTTATTTTAATTTATTTTAATTTATTTTAATTTATTTTAATTTATTTTAATTTATTTTAATTTATTTTTAAGAAATAATTTAATATTATTAATTATTAAATTATAATATAAATTTAAGTTAATATATTATTATAAGAAATAAAACTTATATAATATTAAAATATTAAATATAAAGCTTTATTTTTAATATTTAAATAAAATTTATTTATTTATTTTCTTAGTTTTTTTAATTAATTTAGTTAGTTTTTAGTTTTTTTAGTTTTAGTTAATTTTAAAAACTAAAACTAATATTAGTTTTTAGTTAATCTTATTAACTAAGACTAAACTAACTAACTAAAAAACTAACTAAATTAACTAAAAACTAAGAAACTAATTTACAACCCTGCTTGGAAGGAGGCACTTGTGAGTATGTGTGTGACTGGGCCCCATTGACTGCTGGCATTCACTGAGGCTCTGGGCCCCACACCCCTCAGGCATAAAACCCCTTGCATACAATTTCTACCAGACCTCTTCCTTACATAAAAGGTAGCGCCGTCTTGCTTTGAATTGACGTATTAAGGACAGCTGCCTTGTCTCTGTATTCCCTCTCGTGACAGCACTGGAGATCTTGCAAGAGCGCAACTGTGGCAGTTACCATAGCGTACAGCCACAGCAGCACATAGATAGCTAGGTAATATGTAAAAGCGCTATACACAGCGGCTTTACAGTACTGCAACTCGAAGTGGTAGCATTGTGTCCTATGATGTAGTTGACGGGGCATTATGGCTGCTCAGTCTTCTTCGGACAATGAGGATCTGGGTAAGTGATCATGCCCTAGCTAGGGCTTTTTAAGTATAAACACAGGTGACCTCGGGAATTAAGCTTATTAACTTTGATTCGGAGCGCGGATCAAGCGAGATGTGAAAAGCCACCACTGAGTATTTACGTGACTTACACCGAAACAAAACAAAACAAAAAAAAAAAAAAAAAAAGAACTTTAAGAAAACTCAATGCTGAATCGCTCGGGATTGAGCCTAACTTAAACTTACTCATGTTGCTATCAACCTGCAAGAGCGGATTGGGGCACTGACTCTTGAGAGCCTTCCAAACGGAACCAGGAGATGGGAGCAACCGAGTTGGTGGGGAAATTCATCCCTTGGCATGAAATTAACCGTTTCGAAACAACGAATGGGGCAAATTGAGGATCCTCTGATAGAGTGATCCAGCCCAAGCATGAGATCTGACTGGCTCAAAGAACCGGGCCACCACACGATGGGTTCAGAATAGAACAACCACCATGCTACGTAGACGTATAAAAGGGAGGACTACTCCATCAGCGCTCGTGTCCACTAACCAGGAGCTACTCTGGTCTCTCCCTATCCGAACTTGTTCCACTCCCCGTGCCAGGCGCACCTATGATCGTTTTCTTTGCTGCACTTGTATATATTTGCTTTTCCTCACAAAATACCGCCCCTAAACCCAGTCCAGGGCTTCACTCCCCCTCACACAAGACAGAAATAATAAAAAAATGTCCGCCCCCAAGGTCGCCCTCCTCGCCGCCCTCGCGGCCGTCGCCCACGCCGCCGGCGACGACACCATCGGCTTCGGCCCTGCCTTCTCCCTCGGCCCCACCCAGTCGTGGATCCGCGAGGCCAACACGACCATCGTGCTCCCCGAGGTGCCCAGCCCGCAGGTGGACCGCCTCGCTCTCTGGCCGGGAATGGGCACCAGCGGCGGCGACCTGATCCAGGCGCTGGCCGTGTCCTTCACCGACCCCAGCGCCAACTGCGACGGCGCCACCTCGGGCCAGTGGTGCATCTGGGCGAGCACGCTGCAGGGCACGCAGCTGGGCGGCAAGATGGTCCCCGCCAACGCGGGCGACCAGGTCACCATGTACTGTAGGTTTTGCAACCGCCGGAAGCTGGCCGGTAGGCCTCTCAGGCCAGGGAAGGTTTGCTGACTTTGCCCGGCAGACGTCTTCAACGACGACACGAGCAAGTACGACCAGACCGTCTATCTCAATGGCAAGCAGGTCTCAACCCTGTCGACCAGCTCCGGCCAGGCCCAGGGCTGGGGAACGGCGGTCGAGTGCCAGGCCCAGGCCTGTGCAGGCACTGCTCTTGCTCACAGTGCGTGATGTTCTTGCAAATACTTTGCTTATTCCGAATTTGAAAGCTGACGGGGTTGTGCAGAGTACGTCGACACGACGGTGATCCTGAATGAGGCGGACACCACTTTTGCTGGCACTCTGGGCACCAACGAGGTGACTTCCACCGGTCTCAAGACGGAGGACAACAAGGTCTTCACCGTTGAGACTATCAATGTCCAGGCTCACACCTACAACTTGTAATCTGTCTGGGCGTAAATGAGAGGGCCGCTGTCAGGTAGATCCTTGTATCGACACAGTCTATCACAAAAGACGGATGTCTATTCGTATCAGTAGTTATCATCATGATCACCAACATGATCATACTGCGAGACTGCTGGTAGCGGAATTGATATGAAATGAGGGCTTCTAATTCATAGCCGCCGTCGCTTTGCCTGTTGGATATCAGGAGAATATGACGCCTTCCAAGTTGGCTTTGTAGTCATCCTCTGACACAGACGCTGGCGACAATACCTCGATAGCCGTGTCAAAATCGACCTCATTCAACAATGCTGACGCGATGATAACCTTGTTCCTTGACGCAGTATTCTCACGCAAGATTGGTGAGTGTGTGACACACCAGAGAAGCACACCTGCCAGAGCCACTGCATCATTTTCATATTCTGGTGCTGTGTCACCCATATCTATCAACAGAAGCCTCGGAATAGCCGATACGGAATGGGGCTCGGGCTCCTCGAGCACGATGTTCCAGTAACAGATATCGCCGTGGGTGACCCTGCACCTTGATAATTCCCGGACTCCTTTGACGAGGTCTAGGAGCTGCTCTATCGTTATGGGCACGTCGGCTGTAGGAATGAGGGATCCGAGTGCGGGCATGGAAGGCAGATGTTTTTCGTTCGACTCGCCAATCCTACTGGGTTGAACTGCTCCGAACAGCTCAAGGCTCCGGCCCATGTATTGTGTGATGAAGCCCGCGACGATATGACTCTGTTGTTCAGCATCTCCGGGTTCTGTTACGGAGGCTTCTTGAAATTCATCCTCGTCCTCGTTTTCAATTTGTTCCTCATCCTCATCCGCGGAAAATCCTGTCGGCATTTGTGTCATCCACTGCCTTGTCTCATCATGGAGCACAACACCAAGAATGGGCACGACGGGGAAGCGTCTCATCATTTCGTCGTTAACGCCGAGGGCCGTGGCTGTCGGTTCCTGATTGATGTGTTGGATCAGCTGCTCTCTCGAACGAATCTCGTTCTCGTGTGACTTATTGCCAATCAGGGGGAGGGGATTTTTTTTGTTAATATTGCATTAGTATTGCAATGAAATAGTGATATAATAGTGACATGTAATTAAGATTTTAACATGCTTTTTTATATATATATTTTAAAATAAATTTATATTATTAATAACTATATAATTACTCCTAATATAATATAATATAATGTTAACACTTAATATAAGAAGTAAAAAGAAATTTCTTTTCTTTTTATTTTTAACTTAATTATTTACTTATTCTTTATTAGCTTAACTACTTATTATAAGAATATTTATGGAATTATAAAAACATTGAAAAATAAAACTAAGTTTAAAGTTAATAAAATTTAAATTAAAGCTTTTAATATAAATTTATAATAATATTAGCTAATATATAGTTAATCTTGATATATAATTAATATTGATATAATTTAAAGACTTAATATAATTTAATTTTAATGGTATTTTAATAGCTTTTCATTCATATTTTGCTATAATTATGAAATTTTAATTAAATATTAAAATATGATTGTATTGCGTGCGTGATCTAGTCAAAAACCCTCCTTCCCCCTGGTAGGTGTCGCAATCAAATTCTATACGCTTGAATACGCATTTTATTCCCTCTCAGTCGCAGTAATCTGCGCCTCTGCTGAGATATTTCTTGTTTCTCAGGTCCTGGGAATGTATCGTCGGCAATTGGTCTGATGATTTATGCCCGTAGAAGAATCGCTCAGAAATCGGAATGCCGACACAATGATTTTCTTTCCCTTGTTCAAAAGTGGCGGGCAAGCCAATCGAGGTCGTGTTGATTATGTTCCAGGTCGGAGGCGAGCCTGTGGAGTTGTAGCAGTCACTGATATGCTTTACGACCGTTGAGCTCAGCCAGTCGTCGTCAGGAACCTGGAATGTTCTTGTGGCGGATCGTCCACTGTCCTCGTCATTCCTGTCCTCATTGGACGACGGTGCTGCATCGCTAACGTTCAGCTCGTACCACCGTCGGTTGGCGAGATCGTAGGCTCGGGCTGAACAGGAAACTCCCGGCGAGATGGCATTCGCGTAGATCTCTACTACCGGCTCATGCCAGAGCCTGTTATGCTCAATGTTTGCACGAAAGTATGCCCCACTTGACAAGTAGCGTGATAGCTGAGCGTGTTCTGGGGTAGTAAGGCTGAATCCCATGGGATAAACAGGTGGATTGATCAGCAACGCCAGAATAACTTTAGAACGAAAGCATCTTCCATACTGCGCAACGCTTTGGTTAGTGTTAAAATGGAAGAGGGACGTTCTCGATGATAAGGTCAAGTTGGGCAGTTCGAGATTCAGGTAGTGGTTTGTTGATGCTCCACTCGGGGGAGGCACAGCCGGCCGATGATACCCTGCCCCCGAGGCGGCTTAGTGAATTGGCCATGTTACCAACACTTAGTAACTGTTCGTCAACAGTGACTGCCTGTTTTCCGGAATCATACAGAGCAACTCCGCTTCCTTATCCTCTACTAAAAGCCACACTTTCTTCGACTGACTGTCACAGATTTGAAAGATTGCTCCACGCATCTCGCTGAAGTCATGATACACGCACCGGGGGCGATTGCTTGCGCAGTCCTCGCCCCAATCGGCTTCTATGCAGTCTTCCTTGGATTACTTACAATCCCGTTCATTCAGGAATTCCGATCCTAGATACTACCGTGAACTTTCCTGGTCTCATTTCGTGCGCTTTGTGGGACATAGACACATGATTATGCATCCTCAGCTCTTTCTAGGGACTTGGAGTAGACCCAGGTTCAAAAAGCGCTGGCTGCCCAATGATCTGCGACCGCGAGCTTGTGATTTCGTGGAGGACAACAGGTGTACGTGTGGTTCCACAAACGTGATGAGAAGACGCAGGCTAAACGAGAAGATTCGGGATAACACGGTAACATTTCAGAACTACTGCTGCTGTGGGAATATGAAGACTGAGACCTCTGACGATCCTGCTTGCCTAATTTCGGTGCTACCCCATCCGCCTCGGACGATGGGCATTTGACAGCTGGTTGAACCCCGGAGCGAGATAAAATTACATACCATCAGCCTCCAGTTCCAGCTAACCAAGATGTTCACTTGTAACTTATTGAATTGTACGCAAACGTCCAAACGCAAAAAGCTTTCCCACCACGACACTACGCCGTATCAATTTTGAGCCGCAACTTCTCGATTCAGTATTTTGTGAGCCTGGTGCGCGGGTCAGTATCTCCGTCCGTCAAGCTGCTATAATCGAAAGCGACTCACATAGCTGATGGCATCGTGTCCCATCAAATACGCCTCGGCCAAGAAAGAATTGACATCAAGATCAGGCACGGCTTCCCAGGCCTCGCTATTCCACTTCCCGGTCGGCATACTGGAGCCCAACTTCCCGCTCTTCCACCATTCATCACGTTCCCGCTGGCCCGGTCCGTCGGGAAGGTGTATCTGCCGCAAGTTTCTGGCAGCGACCTCTACCACGGCCTCAGCGCGGGGCTTCCGGATCTTCTCGAAGATCTTGAGCCGCATCGCCAGGTCAACCTCGTCGCGCTCTAGACACTCGGCCAGCACGACCGCGTCTTCGATGCCCTGGGATGCGCCCTGGGATGCGTACGGGACCATGGCATGCGAGGCGTCGCCGATGATGACGACGCGTCCACCGGGGCTTATCCAGGACGGGAGCGGAGCGATGCCCGAGATACGCCAGACCCAGCAATTTGGCGTGTCGCAGTGGTCAAGCATTTTGAAGATGGCTGGGTCCCACCCCTCGTAGGCCTTCCGCACTTCATCGTTCGTCGCTGACTTCTCCCACACGCCTGGCTCTCCGAGCTCTTTGTCGATGTAAAAATGCAGTTCCAGGATGTCCAGCTTTTCTAGTTTTGTAGCAATGACCCTACGGCATTTGCAATTAGTCATTAAACGACAGCCAGTAAATTTCATGTGGAACCAAGGGACAATAGGTGACCGTTGGGCTGCGGTAGGTGACTGCTCCTTGGGAATGCGAATGTGAGAGGAGGTTGGAAAGGTCTCGGAAGCTGCTTACATGCGGCCTGGTCCCCACCAAAAATTGGAAGCCCCCAGATAACTGGCCAACTCTGGGTCATTCTCGACGGCAGAAATGGGTATTCTGACAATATAGGCGCTCAAGAGGGACGAGATCTTGGCTTCCTTCTCGTTCATGATGGACCTGCGAGTGATCGATCCAATGCCTTGCGTTCGAGTCAGCACCAATCACGAATGAGTCTTCTGGAACCCTTTTGCCAGCGGCGAAGACGAAACGCGTATTGGAGCGAGGAGGGTACGGCACGGCGAAGGTGGAAATAAAAAACAAAAAAAGAAGTTTACTTACCGTCGGCACCAATAATTAAATCAGCATTCAAGACTTCACCGTTCTGAAGTCTCAGCCCTGGGTTCTCTGCATCATCAACAACCCCCACAACTTTCGCCCCAAACCTCACTTCTATTCCCCTCTTCCGCACCTCTTCCATCAAGGCCAACTGGAGCTTCGGTCTTGCAAATCCCACGCTTTCTTCGCCAAAAATCTCCTCCATGAACTGGCTTTGGCTGATCTTGTTGATCACTGAACCGTCCGCATACCTTCGTTGCATCCACATGCTTATGACTGGCTCATGGTGTGCACGAAGGATATGGCCTAGACCATAGTGCTTGAGCACACGCACAGCTGTAGGTCGAATAGAAATAGGACCGCCGATGTTTTGGATATCGGGGTGCCTCTCAAGAACAGTGACACTGTGGCCATTCCTATGAAGGCTCAAGGCGGATACGAGCCCGGCGATGCCCGCACCGACGACAAGTACTTTGAGAGGCATAGTGGCCGACAATAAGACTGACGATGTGAGATTGATGTTTACAAGGGACGTTTATCATAGGTCGAAATGGGCGAATAATGTGGAACAGATTGTACAAATGAGCTAACCATCTTGCGATTTATAAGCTTAGTCCCGATTCCACAGCCTCGCCTGGAGACGGCTGAGGTCGGACACTTGCAAAAGCCCTATTCCAGGCGGACCGTCAACGGACTTTTCAAATGGTCCTATTCCAGGCGGACCGTCAACGAATCCTTCTAAAGGCCGTATTTCCGGAAACTATGTCAAGGATGGCCATATCGTAGCCAGTCTTTTGAAACGTGAAGCGGAGGCTGCAGAAAGTTGAAGTCGGCATCTGCCTGTTGGACCACGTCTCGCGGGGAAGTATGGAAGAAGCCATGATAGCCTCGGTACTCGCTTCCTCGGCAATTTCCTTGGTGAGAATGGTTGCAAGGAGCAACGTCTAGGATTTCTATGGGGAAGCCGCCTCGAGCGGAGAAAGGATCTACCCGGCCCGGAAGCATGGCGAAGCTTAACAATGACAGTTTATTTTAAGGTTAGTTACTTTGCGGGGAAATTGCAGGGATCGGTCCGTCCTCTGGGTTCGAAAGACCCCGAGTCCGAGGAGTCAGGAGCCTGGCGCGTGTGTAAGATGGGCATGTGTGTATAAAGCGTTCTGTTGCTGCATTTCCTCCGGGATACTCTCTTCAATCACAATCCCCCTGCATGATCGCTCACATCACTGTTGTCCAAAATGTCTCAGTCAGCTACGCAAACCGTTACTTCAGAAGACTCGCTCCGCCTTTCTACGGGGGTTTCGTTCCCTCAACGTCTCGAAGGGAAGCTGAGTTACCACCCCAAGCTCAGCAGAGAGCAATGTGGCCACCTGCGGCACTTCTACAACATGGCCTCCCAGCTGGATGGGGATTGGTCACTGATGGGCCACCAAGACCCCTCCCAGGAGTGGGAGACGTCCTATAGGTACCAGATTGCCCACATGGCATATGCATCAGGTGCTGCCCACTACCATCGCCTGCCGGCTATGCGCGCCATGTTCAAGACACTGCTCTTCAAGTTGATCAAGAAGATGCTGCGTCGCGAAGTCTGGGGCTACTGGTATCTGGTGAGCCAGGGCGGCCTTCTGGGCGATCCCACCCTGAAGGAGCTGAGGAAGCCATGGGCGGATCCGGTGGTTAAAGAGAATATCATGGTACGTTAGGACAGTCGTTTGTGAGGGACTTTCCTCAGGTCTTAGCGCTGGCGTACTTTTACTAACCATTGGTCGGGGGATGTGTAGTATTCCGGCCACCTCCTGCTGATGGTATCGTTATACTCGATGCTGTTCGGCGACAATAGCTTTGACGAACCCGGCGCTATTGTTTTTGACTGGGACCCTTGGTCATGGGGCTTCGGGCCAGAGAAGTTCAGTTACTCGCGCTCCTCGCTCCAAGACGCCATTTTGAAGGAGATGGAGCGCGGCAAGTGGCTCGGCGTCTGTTGCGAGCCTAACATGATCTTCATTGTCTGCAACCAATTCCCGGTCAGTGCATTATTTTCGGAGTAATTATCGCATGTGTTCGTGTGGCCAACTTCTAACCAGCCTACTAGATGATTGCGATGCGGTATAACGATGCTGTCAAAGGCACTCACGTGGCTGATGAGGTCGTGCCCAAATACAAGGCAGCTTGGGAGGAACGAGGCATGGTCTCGAAAAGTTCTGGCCTTTTCAAATTGTTGTGGATGGTGAAACAGGAACAAAGTGTAGATGTGGAGCAAATTCCTCACTCAGCCTGGTAAGTATGCATCGCAGGGTTTCCCCGCCTCGTCACAGCCACCACTGACGGGACATAGGGCCATGGGCTTCATGCCTTGGAATTACGATACTGTCAAATCCATGTACCAAGCGGCCTCCTGTGGCTTCTTGCAACGTTTGCCTGACAGCATCAACCTCAACCCGGCTCACGTGGCTGCAGCAGTCAGACGGCTTGTTGAGAATGAAGGAGCCGATCCGGACTCGGAGTCCACCCTGAAGCGCGCAAGAGAAACTGCACTGCCGCCCTCGTCAGCATTCCAGATACGTTTCTTGAACCCAATGTTTGGGTTTGTTGGCATCTGGATTTCTGAAGTTGGTGGTTCCCCCGACCTCGATAAGTATTTGAAACATGCCGATACGTACCTGAACCCAACTTGGAAAGACGGTGGACTGTACTACAAGCGCAACGATCAAGGCTGGGATTCAGACGGAAACTTTGTGTTTGTGGACCCAGTATCTGGCAATGGTGCGATAGGGTACGCCCGACTCAACGTCAAAGGCGGCCAAAAGAAAATGTGGGACCATCCCTGGACTCCCGAAGAAGTTCATAGTCGTCCATGGATTGACAACGTTGGCCTGGAGGACGACGTGGACTGTCTGAGAGGGGCATGGTCCGAGGAAGATCAAGCCCTGGTTGCCACCTTCAGGACTTGGAATGGGAAGAAGGTTACAATTCATCCTGTGCTGAAGACGTTGCCGGCTGGAACTTACGGTATCTATGTTGATGGAGAGTTGAAGCAGACCAAGGACTTGAGGAAGGGCGAAAACATAGAGATTGCACTTGACGTGGACGAAATGGAGGTCGATCTGGTCGTCTTGAAAGGCTGAAAGCAATTAGCCTTGGTATCTCATCGTTGCCCTAATGTACTTTAAAGACGAGTCATGGATTATCCGATTTACTGGCCGGTCTACTCTCAACGTGCTTGTTTTACTCAAGTCCGGGCAACATAACACTCCTCCAACTCACATTGTCGCCTCAGCCCCTTCCAACTGTAATGGCACATGCAACTTGAAGTGTCCCGCGACAGATACGTAGTCCTGCCCCTCTACGGGTTGCCCCAGTACTTCGTCTTCTGTTCCTAGCCCGAGGACCCCAGGGCGACCAAGCGTCGTGTTCCCCAGACTTAACACACCCCATCTCAGTGGTTGCAAATGTCTGGGCCACCTCCACACATCATCCCACGCCGCGATCGCATCTTGTTGGCCCTCGGCTAATCCCTGGTACCTGACACCTATCGTGTTTGTCGGGCAATAGGCTGCTATAGCTGCCGAGTCGGTGCCCACGACGACTGACGCCGGAGGGAGGGGCCGGACACTGAGGAGGACCGGGATCGAAACAGCAACCGCCGCAATGGAAACCGTGAGGATCATTGCCCTCATGGAATAGCCGAGGAACATTCCCACGTTGTCAAACTCGAAATCTGGACGCCACATCGACACTTCTGGTGGAAGCCGAGTGTCAGCGGTGCTCGGTGTTGTGACTCCCTGTGTAGGCTGTTGTTGAAATAGCTATTGAGGAGAGAAAGGCGATTATGAATCACTTACTTCCCATGATAACTAAATAAAAGGACTGTGTGAGGCTCCAGCCGATGGCAGATTTAAGAAGGATGTGGCCGAGACCCCAGATCCCCGGAAACTGAAGGGCAGGAGTGCCTTCTCCTGCTCTCCGCTGGGGAAGCTCACTCGCAACAGCTGAGCATTGGTGGAGAAATCTGCCCAGTATTTTGCCTGGAATAAGGCCGAGTACAAGGAGCTGAACGCGAAGTACCAAGTTGAGATGATCAGTTGTGGCGCGTTGACTATGAGGCAGTGAACAGCCAATTTGAGTGTTTTGTTGCTCGGGGCAAATGCGAGGTCAGTAATCGTGTCCCTGACGAGGAAGATTCTATTGCTGAGGCTCTCCCCAAGACTATGATCGTATCTTCACGCCTGTAAGTCTCAATTTTCACTGTCTATAAAGGAAAGGATTGGATACTTGCGAGATAGTTCCACCGAGCACCCCAAAAGCAGCTGAGACACCGAGCAGCAACATCCCGATGGGCACGCATGTCCAGAGACACATCCTTATGCTGATGGCCCGAGCCCAGCGAGGTCTAGTATCTTTCCATTTGCTCACTGGCGTCCACAGAGTAGACAGAGGTGCTCTACCTTCCAAATCGCAGCCTGCGGGTAAAGCACCGGGCGTTTGAACAAACGTATCACCACATTTCAAGAAAACCTGCAAAGCATCTCCGAGGCTCTGGCATGTCTCCTTATGCCGACAGAAGTGGGCAATCAAGGCTGAACATGTACAGCCCAAAAGGATACACGAAACAGTGACCAGGAGAAAGCAATTTGACACGTAGACCTTGCAAGGCGCCGAATAAGGCTCGGAGAGACAGTACTTGACCCGCGGTGTCTGGAATGCATGCCTCATACCAGAATAATGAGCCGGACTGGAAGGCCAAGAGATGCTCAAAGTATTGCTGATCGAACATTCACCCCAAGGTTCAGCAGCGTATAAGTCTGAGACTTCAGAAATATTACTTGAGAGGCTGCACTGGGTGTATCCCCTGTTGTTGTAATAGCCCTCACGACGGACCTCGCAATAGATGGCGAACAACCACAAGGAGTTTTCCAGCTCAGAGTCGTATTTGCTGGAGGAATCGTCATCATGGCCCGTGAAGTCTATCCAGACCTGTGCGGCTGTCCACCCCTTTGCGTGCATCGGGACCAGTCTCTACGACGACTAGGAGGTTGCGGTGGCTTTGTAGCCCGTCGAAATCTTGGGTGTATGTACGGTTACATTCGCTGGGTTCTAGTTTGTCCCACTTCGTTGATGCTGATTCGAAATTGGGCAGGATCCCATGAAACTGAGAGCGTACCGTCTTGGTGGGGTGGCTGCTACCCAAGAGCGCAATACCGGGGTATGCAAAGGGTTGACCGGTCGTGAAAGCTTCGCTGACTAATAATCGAGAGTAGCCCGTCGAGCTGAAAGAGACAAAAGCAATTGAATGGGAGAACAGTTGGACTGGGACGGCCAGGAGGATGAGTGTCATCCATCCAAGCCTCCGCCAGTGCGAGATGTGACAGTCCTGGGGGAAACGGGCTGCACCTACAAGACAATTCATGGACGGTCTTACAGACCTGATACGATACCAACCAGCTTATTTACCAGGCCATGGAACTGAATGTTAATGTATGAGCAGTCCATAGGGTCGTCAACGCATACCTCGCGACTCTGTAGGCTGGCATGCTCGCTGATCATCGAGTCCCTTAGGCGCGAGAGGCCATCATGGAAATCGGGCCAAACGCTGGCCTACACTGGTGGGTTTCTCCAATATGCTCGATTGCAACTAGTGTGCCTTAAAATGAAGGATTTGGGTGTTAATTTGCAACACTTGGATGGGCCATGGATAGCACTAAATCAAAAGGGGAGGTGGGGGGAAATGCAGTAGGCAGGTTTGTGGTGACAAGGCCCCAAAGAATGGGCTTTGGTTGCCGGCGGAGCATTCTTTTCGGTGCCTCATTCTTTTGTGCTGGGCTTTAGTGCGGCTTTGCTACTCTCAATCAAGCAGAGCTTCTACAGTCGAGATTGGAGATTAGAACACAGCAACTCGAGCCCCTGGCTGAGTGCAGACACGGCTGCATGGTGTGGACACGAGGCTGGGTAGCCTCGTCATCCGTGCCTAGGTGCCTTAATGGGCATGGATGGCTACAGAGGATTAGGGACGGAAGTAGTGGACGTGAACTTTAGACGAAACCCCTCGGCCGAAAGCAGGGTCATCAATCGCTGCTTCCTAAGTCGACTTGCCCACTCAAGGAGGCGCTGTGCATTCGTTCCATGTTGGGATCAGACGAAAGGTCACGCGTTGTATGTGCTGACTGGCAGGTCGCGTCTTATTTACTCACAGGCACTTCCTATGATTGAAGCCATCACAGGGAAGCATCTCCGGGAGCGCATCGTCTTTGTTTACAAGTCTTTTACTGTGTGATTACTGCATTGGGCATCTAATTATGTGCTGTATTAAGCCCAAGCGACCGCAAGTCCCAAGCCATGTGTAGTCAAGGTGTAAGGGTCATCGAGCCTCGAGCCTCGGCGTCAGTTGTGGAGCCTCGCCACCCACCAAGCTTCGAGGGCGATCTAGTGCAGTGGGTGAATGAGCTGTGCGGGAAAGTCTCCACCTCCTCGAAATCGCCAGCGTCCTACGGCGTCTACGCGTCTTCCTTGTCCTCGATGTCTCCCCACTTCTCCCAATCTCATTGCACCATTGCCAGCTACTCCTCCATCCTGGCAAGAACCCCCTCGAGATCAGCAAGAACCTCACCATATGTTCCCCAACCCTCGCGGGAGTACAGCCTGCCTTGCCTCAAGCCAGCCATCCGCAGGCCAACGAGCTTGTCGACCAGAGCCTGCTTTGTCTGGCCTTGCTTTCCATTCATGTTGAAGGAGGAGTGGTTGCGGTCGGTCTCCCAGCGGCCGATCACCGGCAGGCCGTGCCTCCCCTGGTATCCCGGGTTGAGACCGCAAATCTTGCGCTCGACGGCCAAGATGTTCGCCATGAGATCATTCAGCTCGGCAGCGTCCTGGACCAGGTGCTGTGCCACGACATTGCCATGCATCTTCACGACGTGGGCCTCCCGCAGAGTGTGTCGGTTGGCCGGGTTGTCTATGCCGTGCTGATAGGCAAGGTGGTCGACGGGCGCGACGCTCGGTTGTCCGCAGAGCTTGCATGCCACGGGCTTCCCCTTTACGTGTTTGCCCCTGGGTCGAGGAGGCGCCCAGCCAAGAATACCGCCCTCGGGGTCCTGAGGAAACAGTAAGGGGAAGTCGAAGAAGTTTCAGTACGAGCGCCGGTTACATACAGCAGAGGCAGCCGTTGGCTGCTGGGTGCTGGCCACATCGTTCATGTGCTCGATCATTCTCGTTTTCACGAAGTCCCAGAGTGGGTCGGACAAGTTGACCCTAGATCAATTTAGCGAAATGGGAAGGACCATAGACTTCGACGGCCTTACCAGCAGTGATGGCAGAAAATGGTCTGCGCCTTCTCCGCGATTGCCTCCTGGTCAGCTTGCGCGAGGGTGGTCGTCTTGGGTATCAATGGACCGGCTTCAGTCATGAAAGACGAGCGTAGCAGGGCTTTATGGCCATCGCCCGTGGGGGGTCTGGACAGAACAGTCAATCAGCAGCTGGGAATTCAAACAAGCGTAGATAATTGTGGCGGGATAAACACGAACCCTAGGACCTCTGTCTCAACATCGGAGATGAGGCGGTCGAAGGCGAGCTGCGAGATTCTCAAAGCCATCTTGCTTGTTGAGTGGCGATCTCGGGGGAAGTAGTACCCGTTGGCAATGGGCAAGGGGAAGTGGTACAAAGGCGGCAGTGAGAAATGAACAGCAGGATTGCTCCTGGCGTGGTTAGAGTTTTGCAGTCACTTGTCACGCGTTACCGTCTGATGGTCTGGATTCACTGAAACTCGCGAAACCTGTAGATATACCAGACACATTGACCATTAGGCAGATACTAGTACGTCATACTCAAACGAAATTCTCCAATCTTCCATTGTCTCATATCAGGTTATCTCATAATCATGTAGGAGATCATCTATGTTTAATGGAGACTAATTATCAAGAGGCATCACCATCAACCAGTGGAGATACTGCTCGAAGGAGACCAACTCACTCGCCGGATTTGGGAGACAGCTATGATACCGTTGCATAAGGATGTGATTGTGCTTCTGGTTATGTCATGACGAGTACCAGCATCAAGAAGTAGCGACTAGTAATTTCCTAACACGAAGAATGCCTGACGAAATAAATTGGTCTATATCAGACGTGGTGGCTTAGAAGGCGGACCTGGTGTTTCAAGCATGGCAGCTGAGGTTGGTGAGGCCTACCATCTTCGAGTGTCGATGATGAATTTGTATCAGTCTTCTGGGACTGGAAGCTTACGATAGAAGTCCAGGTTCACGTATCTATTCCTTGGCACCAACAGCAGACAGTATCCAGTGTTTATGTGAAATATTGAGCAGCGAAATAGCGGAACGTAAGCGCTAGCTTCCTCCTATATATACCGGGAAAGATTGGCTAACGACTTGGTATTCATTTTGCGTCTGACAAGCACACATCAGAAATAGCAGCCATTGAAGACAAGTCTTATTCCCTAGCACGCTACTTATCAAGCCACCAGATATTCTTGTTGCTGTAGAGACTCTTGTCATGTACCAAAATCTGAAAGTGATAGCCCTCCTGCTTACTAAAGGTTTATCGGAATTGGCCTCAAATTTATATGCCCACGTATTGATAGCAGCTGCGTCATTGATTTAAAGTTCGTTGCCCTACGATGCTGTTGCATAACATCCACATCTAGCCCGCTGTCCCAGGCCTCTGCTTAGGTCTTTGTTAATTAACCGATGTGCCGTATTCTATAAACCTTGGAAAGGAGAACTCTGTGCACCTAAGAGCCCTGTTTCTTGCCCGTGGGCGCAGAGACGTGCTCAAGATGACTCAGCTTCTTCTTGCTACCCGTGACCCGGTCTTGGAACCACGTCCCAAAGTCCGACAGTCCATTTGCGGGTAGGGTGTGCTTGCTTCGGCTGCACTGAGGCTCATCATCGTCAGACATAAAGTCGCTTGCAACTGGCCGACGGCGCTTGGGGGGCCGGCGAGTGACAGGTGGTGAAGTATCCGTTGAAGTAGAAAGTTTTCTCTTGTCACGCTCCTGGCTTTCAGGCCGATTCGCCATCGCAGGCCCCAAAGAAGAAGTAGACGGTGGCTCTTTTCGAGGCGACGGATCCTGTGGCAAATCTGAACTTGGAGTAGGATGACCGGGACGTGGAAAAGGGGGTGATGGACGGAGCGCAGGTGGGCGAATCCCAGGAGGCGTTGAATCCCCGAGACGCGGTGGAAAAGCATGAAGTTGTGGAGAGCTTGCGTCGTATGGGAATTGCGTATCGGCATTGCCACGAATCAAGTCGCCGGGCCCGGAAGAGGGGAGATCAACTCTGTAGTACGGAATAACAGCGAAGAAAGGGGTAAATATGGGCTGGGAGGGCCAGTAGACTGTAGGATGACCAGGATGTGAAGTCGAAGACTGAGGCATCGACTGAAGAGAAACAGGAGGGCAGTCGTCAAAGCCTGGTTCGTATGAATAGCCGTCCTGGTGGGGCTCTGGCTGCCTTATATCCAGGGGAACGCCTGGTTCATCCTCGGTTTCCTCCTTGATCTCATCCTTGACCTCTCCGTCTTCTAACTCATCCTCGAATTCGTCCTTGATGTGTTTCTGAACCGATTCTCCTTTCTTGATCGCGGCAGTGGCGAGATCGTCGGATTTGATGACTTTGGTGTTGCTGGTTGAAGAACTCTCGTCAAACTTTGGGATGTTGAACTTGACGAGCCGGCCAGGAATGCCTCTGCCTTGTAGGTCAGACCAAGTTATGTCATTGACTTTCTTGACTGCGGTCTCGAGGCCTGGAAATTCGGTCCACCTATGCATGTCACCCCTATGCCAAGAAAGTCATATCAGCATCCCGAGCATATTCCGTGAATGACCCTTGACTGGCTAAGGTCACAAAAACGTGGAGGAAGAAGCCCAAGGAAGAAGCCAGGACAAGAGTAGATGCCTTGAACATTGGGTGTGGGAAAACTTGAACGTATGGAGGAACGATCAAATGAAAGGAGCGAGACCACCAGACATACCCATTGCGCAAAGCTGTCCTGATCTTTGTGTAGACGCTGTCAATGGCCGACAGGTTCGTATCGATGTGTCGCCACTCAACCGCTGCGGCCCTGACAGTCCTGGCCGTTTTAAGCCTTGCCTTGGCACCCTCGATGGCACGTATGCGCTTCGGGATCACGCCGCCAACGAGTCCGGAGAGGTTGAGGCGGGCATAGGGAGTATGCCAGGGTTTGATGTTCGCTTTCTTGCGGGCTCCGCTGGAACGTCCCATTGTGGCGGAAATGTCGAGATGCGATAGTGGGGGAGGTTTGGTCACCGAGTCTCGATGACGGCAGCACCTTGGTTCGTTGGCTAGTACGGGGCCTCGATGGTAGAAAACGAGGACGGGAGTGGACTCTGAAGCTTGGAGGAAGACAGCACCACGTACGCGGCCCGATGCAGGCAGTTTTGAGGTAGCTGGCCTCGATTGAAGCAGGTGCGACCGGTCAGATCAAGCTCCCTGGAACTGGGCATTCACTCAGCCAGGGAAGCCTTGACTTCCAAGAGCAGTGTACCGCAATGGGAAGGAACGCAGCAGAGTGGTCTGGGTCGTCTCTTAGAGGATGACCTGGATTCGTAATTGTGTTGCTGAAAACAACGGTCCTGAAAGGAAGGCACGCAGCTCTTGCTCAGTCCCCCGTGATCGAGCCTGCTGCCCATTCCGCTGACAGCATTCAATCGTGGCAAGTCATGGAATGTCAGAGGTATTGAAGAATTAATCGAACAGCAAGACCAAACGACGCTTCATGGTGGAATTGACAGCAACAAGGGTATCATGATCTCTATAAAAAGAGTAAAGTAAAGCATAAATAACCACCAAATGGAATGGACTCGGCAAGTCGTGATCGGTAAACTGTCAACGCCTGGCCTTTCACTCGCAGTGAAGTCATCATGGCTGCCTGCACAAAACAAAGATGGCTCAGGAACCCTTCCTCCGCAAGTCCAGGATGGTCTTGAGCCGCAACGTCCCCTTGGCGCCCCAGCCAGACGGCCCGAAGTCCACCTCGGGCCGCGCAGCGGTATACCAGCTCCACGCCCGCCGGTCCAGCTCATCCGTCGACAAGAAGTCCGCCCAGCTGTCGAATAGCAGCCGGAGCGCCCCGAGGAGCAGGCCGAGGTTCTCTTCCTTCTCGGCGTTCTCGGCCTTGAGCGTCTTCTTCTTGGCAGGCGTCGAGGCGGCCTCGCCGCCCGCATCTGCACCCGCACCCGCAGGGGCGCTGGCGAAGCTCTTGAGCAGGTAGCTGCGCGCCGCCTCTGGGCGGTGGGTCAACATGCCGCCCGCTGCTGCAGATGCCTTGGACTTGCTTCTGATGCCCTCTAGATCGAGGCCCCAGACCGCCTCGCCGCCCAGGGATGCCTCGACGCCCGTCCTGCGCAGACGCTCCGACAGTGCTGAAGTTACAACGTTGCGCATCAGCCGCCACCGGTCCGGGCCCAGCATGATCCCGCCGTACCACCGCGTCATGACGACGAGTGTGTCCATGGAGTTCGTCTCGCGCAGGATGCGGAGGAGCAGGTCCCCCGGCGCGTGACTCGCCGTCATCGTGGGAGGATTCGCGGGGATAATTGCTTATACCCTTCTCGGATGGGTGGATGCGGTAGGCCCAGACGTTGTGGGATGCGCTTCTGAGGCCAGGCTGTGCGTCGAAGAGGGACTTGAGGAGGTTAGGTCGCTGGGAAGGATCGGTTATGGCTGTTGCGCGGGCGACGAATGTGGATTGCTTCAAGGATACCGAAGGGCTCGTGGACCAAGTGTCGTAGCTTGGTGTCTGGGCTGTTGTCGGCGTCGCGTCATCCTCTGCTTTCAGTGTCGACGCAGACCCATCCGGCTCTTGATCCATCGCACCCATTTTGTCATTATCTTTCTTCTCCTCTGTCCGCTCCTCTTCTTCCCCTTTCCATTCGTATCCTCCTCTCTTCAAGACGGCAATCTCCCGGCCCATCACCTTGATCCTCGGCTGTCCCTCGCCCCACCCTTCCTCGTCCGCACTTGGCCCCTTGTCCAGCCCCAGGCTCACAGCCTTGGAACGCGAATTGGCGCTTACCACGGCTTGCGCCAGGGAGAGCCTGCTGGAAGGGGGCTGTTCGGGCATCGTATGTCGCAAAAGCTCGACTGCGAACGCCAGGACTAGAGGGGCGCGGTTCGTCTGGATTGCGGTCTCGGCGATGCGGTCCTCGTCGGTGTCGAGGGGCAATGAGAGGGAGGCCTCGAGCTCCTCGGGTGTCATGTCGGTAGGCCCGAGCATATAGCCATCGCCACCGGAGAGCCTCGCCTTCTTGCTTGCTTGTCCCTGGGCGGTAGAGTCCGCCCCGGCAGCAGGGCGTTTCGCGGCGGCGCCGGCGGAGGTAGGGGAGACCTGCATGCGCTTCAGATGGGCCTTGCAAGCATTCTGTAATGACCGTGCAGCTCTCGCATCCTTGATAGCAGTTTCGACTGTTTTCAGTGGTGCGTCGGCGATTTGCTGTACACTGTTTGATGTTAAAGAGCGTGCACTGAGTCTGCCGATTCGCAGCCGACGGCGTGACTTACCTTCTGAGACTGGCGCCTTGAAGGGCCTTGATCTGGGCCATGGCGTCTTTCATTGGCATCTTGCGGGCTGTCTGTAGTCGCAGAAGCTCTTGAAGATCTTGTTGAGTAGCCATGGTTGTTGCTGCATGATCTGACCCTACTTTGAAGTCCTGGCTGTTTGGAGTCAAGGAAGTTGTCCCTTCACGCGACTGCGACGCGCCATTGTGCAGCAGAGGCAGACATGACGTCGTCGGTGCCTGCGTCGGAGACGAAACCACCAGAACCACCCCTGCCCCACCCTCTCAACCCTAACCCCACCAACGACATGAGGCCATGCGGCTGAAGAACCTCTGGGCAGAAGAACATGTGGTTTTCAAACGTGCGCAGCTCCATCCGAAATTGAGGATAACTCTGTCCTATCGAGCTCAAGCTTAGGAGGCTGATGGCCTGTGGCTTAGACGGTCGCCTGCTTAGGCATGCGATTCTGCAAGCAATGGCATGGACTGTGAACCATAAGCCCAGCGTGGCGCATCAGGCTTCAAGGCTGGCTGAAGCGGGCGCTGCACTCCAGTGGCTGAAGAATGGATGAATTTCAGAGGGGAGTAACTGCTGCTGTAAAGCCGTGACTGTACTGCGTACCACAATACCGAACGTCCCATCCGTACATGATCCAGTCTCCCTTGGCCGCCTAGAGCAAGCTTGTGAAGCCCGTTAGAGTCAGCTCATAGTCCATCTTCGGACTCTTTCGGCTTCTCTCCACTATCCTGCCCCTTTCCCCGAGCTTCAAGAATCTGCTTGTCCAACATGAACTTTTGTGGAGGGTTGTATTGCCCTTGTGTCGTTTTATCACCTGTGGGCGTCATGTTCCCAACATCGATTTGTTCCTTCAGCCACTCCTTCTTCCTAATGACTATCCTCTCAAAAATGCTGGCCGCTTCGTGTGGGTCATTTGGAAGCTTCACCGACCCTATCCGGAGATCTTTTGGCACAACGACCCAGAGGGCCTCACCCCGCTGGAGGTCGACCTTTGGCTTGACGACCTGGAGCGCTCCCTCCGGCAAGGCGCGCAAGATCACAGCCGGGTGCAGATCGACACGTCCCCAGGTAAACGTTGAAAGGCCCGTGAGGCCCTTTCTCGGGTGCGCCTTGATGTGGAACTCGACCGGAAAATTGCGCACCCCGGTCTTGGGGTCCAGGAACCTGTATGACGTCTCCAGGAGGTTCTTCAGGCGGGGCAGACTGGTGAATACATCCAGGCAGATTTTCTTGGCGTCCGGCCTCTTGGGACGGCCGCGCCTGGAGCTCGCGGTACTGGTGGTCTTGAGGTTGCGCACCTCGTAGTCGTAGCTCTGGGGCGCGGCACGGCTTTTCTTGGCCGGCGGGTCGCCCCTCAGGCCAAGCATCGTGCCTGGGCTCAGGTAGTCATTGATGACCTCCTTAACGGGTATGAGCCCCAGGTGTTCCTCGCCTGACCAAAGCGAGATTTGTTGGGATCCAATGTCCGACACTGCGAGGTCCTCATAGTTGAGGAAATTTGCTTGACCATTGGGTTGTTCTTGGCGTATGGTGTGCCAGAAGTGTATGGACGCTCCTCGCCATTGCCGTGTGGCCCATGTGCTCGGGATTCCTCTCCGATACACATTAAGCCGAGATGCCAACAGAGAACACATTGATGGTGACGACCTGGCCAGAGAACAATGTTTTGGCAAGTGACTCCTGTGACACGGTTTTCCCCATCAGCGGGGTCGGCATGTGCGTCAGGGTTAGGAGATTACAGGATAGTGGGGCTGTTTGGACGAGAGCGAAGATTCCGAGAAAAGCAGAGAGATTTAAATAGAAATTGACGTTTCCCAGAGTAAAATTGCCGCCGTCATGGGGGTCTAGTGAAAGGTCTACTTGTTGGGGATCGATCCATTGATGGAGATGCACCACGGTCAATGGCTGCCATCGCTACCTTGTACCCCGGCCCTGCCGTGCAACAGGCCTCATCTGCGCTTTCCTGCCGAGCTACGGCCTCGTGCTGAGCGCACTGACTAAGCCACCAGCCCATGGCACCCTCTTGGTGCCTGCGGCATAAGTACAGGATGTGTATGTATTTATATGGCTCTTCTCTTCAATTTCTGTCCCCTTGACTGTGGTACTTGGTGACACTGGCTGCAAGTTCATGGTCGTCCCGGTGTTGTTCTTGTTACAGGCTGCCGAGACCGACTCGCAGTGGTGAGCCAGCTCAGGCTTTGCCGTTGTTGGAATACCGTGGAGAGTCGCGTATGCACTAGCACTAACGCAGATCAAGTTGGATGCCATAACCACAATCCGTGCAACAAACATAGGATGGAGGACATTTGTCACCAGTGCCATTTGTCTGCGATGGATTTCTGGGAGCGGGGTGGTGTAAATGCACAGGATTGGGAAAGTTGAACCCAACCATGACCAGTAATAGGGAAGCCGACAACTGGCCTGACCAGTGAAGGCGGAAGATCAGATACCAAAGCAGCTCGACTCCTGCCGCAGTACGGATTTGAAACGCTCTCCAGATACTAGCCTAATGTAGCCAGCTGTCACCGATAGAATATGTTAGACATCCCACCCATGATTGTATAACCTGAGCTGTACCAATGAACGCCCCGTGGCAGCGCAAGGGGTGCGACCACACTTGCGCATTGGGGCTTGCCCCTGCGGTCAGATGCGGGCCCGTAGCTACATGTCTCATGAGGCCAGCATTCTCGTCTAGGAATTCGGAAAGCTGCAGTGGTATGTGAGGGCGGGGTCAAATGCATTGCCTCCTCCACCTGGGAAAATGCCAAAGTCAATGGCTTATATCTGTGCATCCAGCTCACATGTCCTTCTGTGGCAATTGTAGCCCTTCTCACATCACCTTGAGCTACCAATCTTACGGGCGATCTAACTTGAAGTCTCTGCCTGGCACAATTGACATATTCAACAATCTGGCCTCGCCCAGGCACCATGCCAAGTAGCCCTTCGCGCAAGACTGTCCGGTTCAGTGAGGACACCACCTCCCGCAGTGGGTCCTCCCGTGCCACGACCTCAAGGACTGATTCAGGAGCTGGTTCATCAACCACGAGTTCAAAACTACTCAGGGGCAGCATATCATGATCACTACACAGACCCACTGTACGAGCAGCAGGCAATAAAACAGGCCCTAGAGAAGACTGTAGAGCAGGTCGACGAGTGGAAGGCGAAAGCGCTCGATGTTGAAACTCAACTCGCTGAGAGGCTCAGACAGGCAGATGCCAATCTGCAAGCTGTGAATGGTCGATGCGAAAGCCTAGAGGATGAGAGAAAAGAGCTTAAACGCCAGCGGCAACAGCTTCGAGACGCGAACAAACTCTTGAAGGCTAAACTCGAAGCTAATAGTTCAGGGTCCGGAGCTTTGTCTGGGACCGAGGTGAGCAGCACGGAAAATGATTCCCCTTGGAAATTTACTCTGACATAAATGCAAAGAAAAATTCAGCAACATGGACTGCACGTATCTGTCTCTTGCCCAGCAACGCGCTCCCGTTCCCTCTGGACGAGAGCAATATCAACGCCTACAAAGGCTACCTATCAAGGGGCCTTGACAAGATGGTTGTCGTTAATGGTCTGTCGTCTGAAACATTCACCTCGGCTGTATCGCAAGCGTTTGAGCCGCTTCTTCAGGACAAGCTATGGACACCACTTCAGGCAAAGCCGTGCGATATCGAGCATCTCGCAGGCACTCCTCTGTTAAGACCACTGGGCCCAGACCTCGAAGGATCAAAGTACGACTTCGACTTTCTCCGCTCCCATTGTGCTGTTCTCGACGATCAGGGCAAAATCGACACGCTCTATATCGCTATGCAACACTCTGTCCCGTCATGGGATTATCACAAGACAGACGATCTTTCGGATGTTGAGTCTGGCCTCAGTCACAGATGTGCCGAGTCTGACCTCTGCCACGACATTATCGTCCCACGGATCGCAGCTTAATATCTCAGAAATGACTGAAGAGTTAGCTAGATTACTGCTCAAAGATGAAACCCTTGGCCCGCTCTTTCATGTCAGTCTCCAGAGGGCAGCAGCCAACAAAATTGAGCAGAATTACACTCGCCTTCTGAGGAAATTTGCTAGAGACCTACAAGAGGAAGCAACGAACCCGGTTGAGCACCACGTCGGAAGATTAGTCAAATACAGAGCACGCTTCATTTCGCACACGCTCGTTTCAGCAATCAACCCCTCGAGACAAGATAAGACAGCTCAATGGGAGAATTTCCTCTACCAAAATGCGGGAAGAGAATTGAGGATAGAGCAATATCTGGAATCGCTTACCACGAGTGGTGATTTCGCTGAAGCGGGCAAAAGCACACCTCTACCGGTTAACTCTGACGGCGATATATCGGACGACAGTGGTGAAGAACTCAATCTACCAAGGCTATCTCAGATCAAGGATTTTATTATGTCGTCCGAAGCACTTTCTATGCTACGAACGAGATTTAGGGATTTCGTCTCTCCGGATGAAGTCATACCAACAGTCACGGAGCAAAGTGATACCCAAGGAGCGTATGAAGGGCCCACCAGCGACCGCCTCTCCAACCTTGAGGTTTACCTTGGTGCGTTGCTTCGCCGCGTAACGAGGATTGACCAGCGCACTGTGTCTGCTGCAACGAAGTCCTTGCTGGAATTCCTCAGACCCAGGGTACCAAAGGGTCACCAGAGGATTACTTGGGTTTGTGTAGGTAATTCCAAGTTGATGTGTCACTCCAATTAACCACTGATGATATATCGCAGGGGTGCGGCAAACCAATGTACAGCGACGTCCAGGAACTCTATGGCGGAGGAGCAACAGACCTGGAGCAGCAATTGAGGCGCGCGGCTGGAGCTGCAGCCAGATCTCAGGCAGGCCCGAACAACTCCCCTCAAGGAACGGCGATCAGCAGTAGCGACACCAACGCCTTGTCTGGCTCATCGTCGGTTCCTGGGCCCGGCGCGAATCCGGATCCGAACTTTTCAGGGACTGCACTTGGTACTATATTGGCAGTTGAACCTGGACCACATGCAGGGCCTCTGATCACAAGCCGATTCCTCCTGCTCTGCGTTAACGGGCCGAGGTTTTCCCAATTACGGCAGGTCCCTCTCACATCACAGCAAGTCTCAGTTGCCTCCCACGACAATGACAAGATTCTATTTGACAATATTCGCAAAGCTTATACAGAAGTTCGTCAAAGCTATCAGCCTAGCTTGCATCCAGAAACTCCGGTGGTAGTTAAGATCTTTGTTGAGGCGATATATCGCACTTGGAAAGCTACCCAGATGTTGACCGCTAAGACCTTTAAGCTTTTAAGGCTCCAATGGCTAGTCTGGTGGATAGGAGATGATGTATTCTTTATTCCAAAGTCAGCAGATTTTGTAAGAGTACGTCCAGCTCATCTACGTCTTGTTTGGCTTCTCTCTCTCCTGGCCCCTCTCTCCCATCCCCTCCGTCTTCCCCTCTTCCCCACTCCCTTTTTCGTGTCTTCCTTGGTTCCTTCCCTTTCCCCTTTCTCTTTTTTCACTTTCTTCCATCTTCGTCATGCTATTCCCTCTTTACATTAACCAAATATACGGGCATAGTTTGAAGTAATCCCAATTAAAGAAGAGCATGTCCCTGAGATCCTGGAATCAACATGCCTTCCACCGGAGGAGGAAGTGCTCAATAAGAACTACCATTACGCTCCTTGTCCACAAGAGGTCAAGAATCCACTTCTTCGAATACCTTGGCTACACGTCCTCTTTGAGCCTGGAGCTCATTCTAGTGATTTCTGGACCCAGCGTGTACCGAAGAAATTGGCACAAATGCTGGATTACCCTAGTTCGAAACCAGTTATTGGCTGGGGAGTGCATATTGTTGAAGGGCCTAACTGGACCGCACTCACTCTTCTAGTCATCATGTTTAATTTCCTTAGTCTGTTGATTGCTTCGATTTACTCTGTTATGATTGACGTTTCAGGTGGCTTTGCTGTGGGGTCCTTCTTTCTCGCTGTGGAGACAATGGTGGTGACGCTAGTGCTGGCAGTTGTAACCACGTCTCTGTTGTCCAGTAGGTAGGAAGGCAGGGAAGCTATGGGGGCCCAGGGATTCAACGTCATAGTGTCTGCGAGTATAGCTTCTTGCAGTCAGAGCACCAGCTTCAAAGATAATTCTATTAATCACTGAGTAGACATACCCTATGAGCTTACCTTCCGAGACGTCTATATCAAATAAACGGGTGTTGTAGCATCCCGAGAGGCCAAGTTTCCATCCATGATGCCATGCACATAGGCATCACCGACAAGGGCAAAATAATTGAGATGATTTTCGCCACAACGTGTCTCCTTAGCCATTTCGCGGTCTTTCAAGGTCCCGGCAGCACCTGGCTGGCCTGCCACAATCCTGGTGTTCTGCTCTTCAGCGGACAGCACCAGCCTCTCGATCAGCTTGTCTCTACACTTCTTCGCCCTACCAGACGCTCGAAGGATCATCGGAACCCGGCTACCGCTGAGTAGGTACGCCTCATCCCCCTTTTTGCAATTTTCCGGTCCAAGTCCCATCCTGCCCGCCTCAGTGATGAAGAAGCTCCTACCACGAGAGGCGCACTCGACGGAGCTCTGGAACGCCAAGCTCCTCTGTTCAGCCTTTACTTCCTCATCGGTCCTGCCTTCGATGTAAATGCCGTCTACGATGGATGTTCTTCGAATTTTCGAGTTGTAATCGTTGTCGGTGTACCAAGCGTTGAATAAAACCGCGTCTGCCGGCGTTGTCCTCCTGTACTTGTTCTTATCTGACACCGCGTTGGGCACGTATATCAGGTTGGCGCATATAGTCCTCCAAGAAGCGTCTTTTACCGTCGCTACTGTCCCAGGAACTCCATCTTCGTAGTAGGCGTGGGCCGGCCAAGGTATAATGCTCCACCACCACTCAATGATGCTGCGCAATTTGTTTCCTGGATCCTCATCACTGCTGGACGTCAAGGAAATACGATCAACACAATTCCCTCCAAGTTCCAAGAGTGTCTGACCATGGAGTCTGATTCCCTTCATAGCATCTCCAGCGGCTTTGTATAAATGCTGGGCGCTTAATCTGTCCGCCTCACCGGCAGGAGCAACATGGCTCCAATCCGTTAACCAAGTTGGGAAACCCTGGCCTAGATGCCTCGTACTTGTTTTTGTCCCTGACAAGACTGCAAGAGACTTGTGACTCCGAATGAGGTGCTTTGTCGTCCCCAGGAAAACTACGGAGAGTCTGTCATCGTAGTCAGGTACAAGAGGTTCACTTCCACCCCAGTACTTGACCAGTCCGAGGAGGGCGAACACCTTGTCACGCCGGTCGCTTGCACCCCTGTTCCGAAATTTCCTCAGTAACGGAAGGAGGGCTGAAGGCTCAACTGCCCTCCACGAGGCCCTCGTGCCATCGATTTCACTGATTTGTCGGTGAAAGCAAGACAGCGTGGGACCATAAGTCCTCGCGGGAGTGGGGCCGAGCATTTCCACGCTGTGTCTCGATATTTGAGAAGCTGCTCTAGAGAAGACCTCCCATGGCATCGAAATATTGCTGTAATAGACGACAGCCCTTGAAGCCACTACAGTTTCTTGGACTACCCACATCCTGGTCCACTGATTGTACGTGGCACATCTCAGTCAGTCAAGGAATCTCTGCTTTGCGATACACAGACATTCACAGATGGTATACACACCCAGGACATCTCCATGAGAGAGCTAAGTCCCTGAATTATGGCTGGCGCATAATCAAGTCTCCTGAGATACCAGATCTTGGAAGCGTTGAGACCCTGAGCCAGCAACGAGATGATGCAAAATGTACCGTACATGTCTGTGCGGTGGGCCGAGGATAATGCGTGTTGCTTTTGCGAATACATCCGCTCCAGGTGGCTGCTAATGTGCCCAATGTCTCGGTCATCTCCCCAAAACTCGATGATGGGCCGGTTGCTGACATCAGTCTCGCCTCCAGATCCAAGCCAAATGATGACCTCGGTACTGTTAGCGTAGATGTCACGCATCATACCGACCTGATGAGTTCGCTCCTCTGTGTTGTTCTGGTCAATGCAAAGCCAGTCAATCCACAGAATGACAACATGCGTGGCGTCTCTCAACCTTCGCAGGACTGCATAAAGATTTGGCATCACTCCGATCTTCCCGAGATCCTCGCAGTAAATGTATTTCTGGGCGGATTCTGTACCTCCCTTCCAGGTATAAGAAAGTGCTTTGTATCTCCCCTTTGCATCTTCCAAAGGGCACTCCGTCAGTCTGCACGATACGTCTCCACTTCCAGGCAGCAGGGTCAGAAGGCGGATGGTTCTTTTGGTTTGGATTAATGGCTTGTACATGTTCAGATCGGGCGTATTCGATCACCTGTCTGAATCTCGGAGGTCACTGTAATAGCAAATTTCGAATAGGAACGTAGATGGCGTGTTATCAAGACACTGGACCACATGCAGGCCACGAGGGATTAAGAATTGCCGGCTTACTGCATTTAAGGCGTCGTGGCTGGTAGGATCACGCGCATAACTGCGCCACTTGCACTACCACACCAGATGTGCGGGCTTGAATCCTGGAAAGAACGTCAAATCATAAGAGCCCTATTGAGACGGCGCCCTGCGGCTGCACCATAGCGTAAAACACCAACATGTCAGAATTGCCCAGAACGCTCTAGATAACGTGCTAGTAGTGTGGCTTGTGTACCTGTCCCGTCACACCTATAACGGAAATCATGCTTACATATAAATATCTTCGCTTAGACTTTCATTACATACACTACATATCAAAGACAATAATAATAGACTCTTTTGCATTTCTGGAATCTTCATGTTAGGAATATATCGGTGACATAGGCAAAAAGTAGTTCACTATAGGCGTACGTTTTCATTTTAATATGCAAAAATGACAACTAAAATCTAACATTGCCTCGCAAAAGTACGTTTGATAGACTAGGAAAAGTGGTTAGACTTGAGACAATGCGCAAATTGTAACGGGTTCTTGTGTTTCCATTGACAATGCGATTTGACTTCAAGGCGCCAAGCTGCCGACCTCGTCAAGCGTTATCAAGTAATGCATTGTAGGTTTCTCAGGACGAACATGAATATGGTATTAATTCTCGGAAGTCAGACCAAAACAACATCAAAAAGTTGATTAGCAAGGAGACTCAGATCTTGACTACTCTTGCACGAAGTCGTTTCAAACTGGTGTTTGACTTGCCCATCGTTCTCCCGGGATAATAAGGAGCCCAGGTCTATGCGATAACATGCTGAGCAAGTTTAGATGGAGATAACCTTCTCGGACCCAGGATGCTTGGTTTCTTCTTCTCTGTCCGCCGTTTCACTGCCAACATTTTCTCGCAGGCTTGTAGATGACATCTGAGTCTCTTGGACGGTGTGATTTCGATATTTTTCAATAGTGTGCTTATCGAGCTATGACTCAATATGTCAGTACATGTCTCCTCATGGCCAGTACCGGGTTTGATCATGACTCACCTTCCACACAACCCACACGTAGCCCAGCATGACGCAGCAACACACAATCATGACAATGCCACCCTTCCTCCAGTACGGCGCCTCATCAGCTGCATAGAACACTATCCCCCAGAATGTGTACAGCGTCAGGGAAAGGACGTTCATGCAGTAGACCGTGACGCTGCGGACCGCGTCGTCCCCAGTGCGCTGGAGGATTATGCTCGCCCAGCCAAAGATCAGCGGGTTAACCATGTACGCGGTCCCGGACAGGTAAAACGCGAAGAAAGTCCCGGCAAACGGCAGCGTTGGGACTAGAAGCATGATGGCGCAAATCAGCTGCAACATCACAGCCGCAACGGCCATGGGCACGCGGGTCCCGGTGGCGTCCATGTGCCAGGCGGCCAACATGTTGGATGCGATACCAACTGCCTGCACACCGAGAGGGTACGTGTTTATCTGACTCTGGGAGAAGTGTGAAGACTGGTATTTGAGCCAGATGAGGAAGTTGTTTTGGACGGAGTAGGCTTCGAGGGTGGCGCAGACTGGGGACCAGAATACTAAGATCCAACTGTTTGCAGGTGAGTGAGTTGTGTAATGTGAGAAGGCACATTCAACTTACAACATGGGTTGGAGGAACAAGCGCTTCATAAGTGAAAAGGGGCTAATGCTGTGTCCCCCTTCCTTAATGGGAGGAAGTCGGGTAACGGCCATCTTCCTCTCGGATTCATTCAGGTAGTCCGCCGTGGTGTTCTCCGGGATGTCAGGAAAATAGAAGAACCCGAACAGCGCAATGGGGAGCGTGATGATTCCGTCTGATAAGTTGTCAGTGTCCGCCTCGTGTTAAGTCCACCTCGAAATTTCGCAACTCACCAATCAGAAACACCCACTGCCAGCCCTCAAGGCCACCCAATCCACCCATACCCTTGTAGATGGCCGTCATCATGACGCCGGCAAACATAGTGCCGACCTGGCCAGAGGCCGTGAATATGGCCGTCCGTTTCGATATCTCCTTGGGCTTGTACCACGAGCCGATTATGTAGATCGTTCCGGCATATGTGCTGGCCTCTGCAACGCCGAGGAAGAAACGGACGACGCAAAGCTGGGTTACTGTCTTGCATGCTGCACTAACCATCTATTAACCAAATCAGTCTGGATCGGTGCCTCGATTCTGAGTCAGATTGAACATAATTACCGTCAAAGCAGTCCAGACGACGACCATGGACGGAAGCCAGATGCGCGGCTTGATCTTTTGTATAATCAGTCCGTGCGGAATCTGGCCGATGGCCATTCTGATAATTCTGGTCAGCTCGATTTCAAATGCTACTAAATTCTTCGGTCTGGGAATCTTTGTTTCACTGACCCAGCAGTCGTGACGGAAAGGACGGTATTATAATCATGACCCCTCATGTCCAGGGATTCGCGAAGCCCGGCTACCTGTGCATCGACCATGAGCGTTAATTTGCAAAATACGCCGGGGTGTATGCTTACATATGCATTTGCAAAAGCAGCGCGATCTATGGGGGAACGTAAAGGTCAGCTGCGATTTCGATATCCGTCGCTCAGTGTTTTCAAGTGCGGCTCCTACCAAGAAAGTTAAAAAAGTAACTTAGACAGCAGTAAGTCTGTTAATGTGGTTAACTAGGGGCATCATGGACGGCCGAGCGGATGCATTACCAAGATGAAGAAGTCTATGTCTCCGTCAGCTCCAGGTCACAGAGTATTTCCTTGGTGTCTCCTACCGATCTTCTGCACGAGCTTCCTCTCCTCCTTAGTCTTTGCCTCGTCGCCCAGAAAGAAGACTGTTGCAACACGGTCAGCCTCAGTCCCACTTTTCCACTCGACTGTGTTTTACCTCGGATTCTCCCTCCAATGGAGTTCTTTTCAGCAGACATTGTGACAGCCGTCCGCTTATACGGGGATCAGTTCTTGTACAGTCAAAAGAGAAATCATGTTCATAGCACAGTAAATGCAAACGGAAAGAACACATAAATACAAGAGATTGTCCACACATCTTGACCGCCCTTTGACAGATTATCTCTAGATCTGATAAAATTTTTCCATCAAATTAGGTTCTCTCGCTGTGGGGCCAGGATTGCTTGGCTTTGGATCTAATCCCACAAGTCAGTTGAGATGAAGTACAGTGATACAGCCTGTTCGGCAATATTACCCGTCGGCAATTAGGCCCCTGACTCTACATTTGGTCACAAGACTAGGTTCTCCGTATTCGACGTATTCAAAAAGGGAATACAGCTCGCAGGGATCCCAAGGACTTCCCTGCACAGACATATTATCCTTACCTTCCTAGGAAGAGTGGTTCCTCCTGTCGTGTTTAAATACTAAGGCACGTGGGAGGCTACAGATTTTTCAATCTTTCATGTAACAACCCAATGGGTTTTAATGCGGGCTATTTTGTCTCTCATGTTTATCCTGTCTCTTACCCTAACTCACGTGGTTGAAAGCCACCTAGATATATGCTAGAGAGACCTGTGGATCAGCTTGCTTGGGGTGTCTGACGTTGGCAAGGTGGAGACAATGAAGGACTTTTTGACTGGTGTCAAGATCTAGTGCATTGGAGTTATTGAACAAAGAACGACTTCTCCTTCCCATATCCGATTCCTCAAATTCTTATTGACAGACTAAACACTGCTTCCTGATTGAGAGCTTTCTCTGAACGCCGACGCAGTACAATATGAATTCAGCGTAGCTTTGGTCAAAGACTCTGTGAATCCTGATTTCACTATGCGCCGTCAAATAGCTGTCAGAGAACAGCAACCAAAGCTTGCAGAGGTCGTATGATACAGGCTAATGATCAATCTGTGTTCATCCACAATACTGTCTAAACTTTCAATAAGTAGACTGGTAGTATCAGTAGCGTGTTTCCGCTGATTACGTTGGAGACGTCATATCACCCATTTGCTCTGCAGTTCGTTCGTTTGCAACAAGAGAGAGGAACTGAGTTCTGCGCATTGTTTTATGGCTCTGCGATATATTGGGACTCCCCCGATGACGATGATGTTATACTTCCACCCACATGCCTTATGTCAAAAAGCTTGATCAGGCCCCTGCCAATAGAAATCAACACAAAAAAGATGCCGAAACAGACTGTTACCGTCGCCTTGCTTTGTGTTCCCAGAGACGACGTCCACACAAGTACCATGACAAGGCCGGTTGTCAAAACAGCAAGAGTAATGACACCGGGGGCAAAGAATCGACGCGACGGCTTCCACCTTTTGCCAAGGGCGGTCACTCCATGGCCAGCGCCGCCAGCTTCTCGCCCAGCTCTGCCCATGCTCAAGACTTTGACGATCCCGTGGCCGATTTCATCTATGCTGAATGCAAGACCAACGAATGGTATAGCTAAGGCGAACCCGATGCTCACTGGAGATTTCTGTTAGCATCGTTGATGCGCGATGGCTAGTGCAGCTGTTCAGCACCAAGCATGCGTAGATGTTACTGCTTACACATGTATCGAAGAAGATAGTTGAGTGATATCTTGTCGTTTTCATTCCAGGGAAATGCGTCGACGTTGATGGCAAAGAACGCCGCCAAGAAGGACAAAGGCAGCTGATGCGGGATCAGAGACAAGATCCACAAATTGCTCCGCTGGATGCTGGTACCACTTACAAAGATTATGGTGACCACGGTGAAGACCATTAGTGTCTTTCCCTGCCTCGTGGTCTCTTCAGCCTGTTTGATTTACAGTGTAGTGTTCTTGGCTGTCTGTTCTGCGAGCTCTCGCGCTGAAATCGCTTCGGAGAAGTTTGCCTGCTTTTGCTTCAGATCGATGAGGTGGCGCAGCTGTGGTACGTTTGAATCCAGTTAGAATCCATCAATGAGGAAGCATTCTGGGCAGTAACATACAGACGACAGCGCTCTTTCAGCGAGCTCATTCATCTCCGTTATGCGGTGCATTTGAACATCAATGCAACTGTAGTCCACCAGGTTGGAGTTGTCGTCTTTGTAGTTGATGTATTCTACCTTGGTTCTCGCTTGGTGCAGGAATACTTCAAGTTGCTCCATACTCTTCCTCTGGTCATCCAGGACGGCCTTCAGGATGTGAAGCTCGTCTTTGATATCCTCAGTTTCAACGACCAGGTCGATCTCGCTTGTGAAGCTAAGCTCCTCATGCTCAGCAGCTGTGAATTCGAGGTGGAGTCTCTCAGGGGTGCTTGCAGATTTACGCTGGGCTGCTCTGGCTGTGAGACTCTGTTTGAACTTGTGGAGGCTGTGGGTTACTTTCTCGTTCTGTTCAACGTTAGCCCTAAAATTTCGCAGACGATCGGTTGCCGTCCGGTGCTTTCAAACTCAGGAAACTTACGACTATGCTAATCGAGTTCTCGAAGAAATCGAAGAATTGATAATCGTCGGGAACTTGAGTTTCATCAAACGTAGAGGCACAGCATGTGACGATGAGTCCTGCAAGATCGTACAGTGAGGCGATAGGTTTCCTGGCTGTCTGCTGCAGATGTCGGAGGACTTTCTGGTGTATGCTTAGAGGGTCCTCCGAGAGGTTTGGCTCTAACGAGGCTCCTGTCGGATCTGTGTGATTCCTTCTGAAAGTAGCTCGCATGGAATCCCGTCCTGAACCATAGGATCTTATCGAAAAGTCGGTGGGGAAACCCAGGGTCTCATAGATATCAATGATAGGGCCCCGTTGAAGGCTCTCCTCAGAATAGTTGGACCCTGATCTCTCGTCGCCTAAACTGGTAGACTTTCCATGTCGCCATTGATTGGGAGCACACGTGATGAGCGTATCTAACATCCAAGTGTTAGTAACAAGTGGCCCTAATGGTGCGTGATTCGTCCATACCGCCATTGATCAACCACATCCACAATTGATCCACCATGAAGATCTTGGGTTCTGTTGAATTCTGCGGGTTGTTGGTATAGCGGTAAACTACCTGGTCCTTATCTCTTGCAGCTGTGTTTTCGAGTTGAGAGTAGTAGTACTGATCAAGAGAAAGCCTTGGTTGGAAAGGAATCTGCCCATTGGCCTCTGAAACACCGTAGCCGCGAATATGCAGTTCGTTTGGATTCACCTCTCTGGTCTCCTGGGTCGTGTCCCAGGGCTCTTTGGTCTTTTTCCTCTTCGGCGGAGGCGCGCTTGAGAGCCATTCAAGGACCCTTGGAGGGCCTTTTTTGGGCTTCATAGGTTGGGACATATTTGCAGGTATCGGACCTTGTCTACCTTCCATTGCTTGCGGGGATGCAGCTCTCGACTCCACCATCGTAGCAGCGCTGTGTTTAGCCGCATTAAGGAGTTTCGACATGGCGTCATAGTCATGAAACAATTCTGAGCTCAGAAAGGGTATCTGGTTACAAGGTAAGTGCTTGACACGGATTATCTTTGCGGTGAGGGGTGGAAATTCGTACAAAAGCTGCAGCCTCATCAAGGCTGTTGTCTTGCCATGACATACTAGGGTCATTCTGAAAAGCGGTTTGAAAAGTTAGCGTGGGGATGTTCCACACTCTAGAATCGAAGCGGCGCTGGCTGGGATATGCCTCCAAGTGTACATTGGAACTCACCACGAAAGGCTTGCACGATGGCCGCATGAAAGTGAATGTCGTCCGAGAGGCGCGTTTTCCGTGACTGTTCACCAGATTCTTCAGCCCAACATTGTACCTGAACTTGTCATCCGGCATGGCGGCTTCATTATTCCTGTCTGCAAGCAGTCTTGTAATCAAGTCCTAGTTGTGTAAACTGTGAGTCAGCTTTCTCCAAAGAGCGCCAAGGTGGAAACACCAGCTGCTGTTTCAACCGCAGACACACGGAGCGATGAGCTCGTACATTGACCCAAACAGTCTGTTGCTATGTCAGCTGGCAAAAAAAGCTTGTGAAAACTACCCAGAGTCCTTGACACTGACATTATTCGCGGGTATGTGATACCACGTAAACGTCGGGCTGCTTCTGACGTTCGCGGTGTACGTCTTGGAAACAGCATCTGGTCCTTTGCCGTATAGAAGATCGTAAACAGGAACAGAAATTGGCTGTGACCTTTGCTCTCGGCGGCCAATGAAGAACGTCACAATAGTCGCTTGCATGCTTTGCGCAGCAGACAGTTGAACCGCATCATCGGGTTCTGCTGGTGGATGGACGAACTTGAACTCGGGTTTCGAAGATCTTTTTTTGGGTCCAATCTCCGGACCCTGAAGTAAGTGATCCTCTCTCAGCAGCGCGAGTAGGCTCTCATTACCCTGTGCGCAGTCTTCCATCGTTGTCCCATCTGTCAGTCTACTTCTCTTGTCCGCGCCATGCTGCAGAAGGTATTTGACCAAGCTTTCGTTCGCCGATGCTACGGCGATAAAGAGTGGCGTGTACCCACCCCTCCCTCTCGCTTCGACATTGGCGCCAGCCTCGACGAGAAGATGGGCCACGGCCTCGTGACCGTTTTCACAGGCTCGGGTCAGTGCCGTTGGCTGGGTTGAGTCAGTTCTTGACTCCACGGATGCTCCATTGGATAACAGTAGCTCCATCATGCCTGTCAACCCTTTTTCTGCAGCAATGAACAAAGGCTTCTTCCCAGCGTCCCCTGGAGTTTCTGCGTTGGCACCATGCTGCAGGAGGTGTCGCACAGCTTCTTCATCATTTATAGAAACAGCCTGGCAAAGTGTCTCTCTGAGGCCACTTCCAACAGTGTGCCAGCTTGTTGTCGAAAGGCTGAGATTTGAGCGGCGGGTCGTGTCGTTACCTCGTTGTTGTTGCTCGACATTGAACTCTGCTCGTTGTGTGGTGGCCGGTTGCGGTGCCGAGCCCGCGCCTGGACCTGGGACAGTCATCTTCCGAGCAAGTCTCTCATTCTATAGTTCTGGGACCTGTGTGTAGTAGTAAGTGAATATCTGAACTTGAACGGCGACACAATCTTGGGCGTGGATATGTGGACGTGGTACGAGCAAGCAGCCTGTCAAATTGATCTAACTGAATTGGGTGAAGCTGCCAATGTATCGGCAGGATTTTTGTTCAAGGCCCGTTGCTCCCTCAGTCTAGTGGTGCAGTCAGCTTCGCTTATGCAGCTCCACAGCAGCCAGCCACGCCTGTACCACGTTTCTGGCTTAGTCGGTATCTAAGCTTCGTTACATAGATTGAGGACTGGTAATTTCCCAGCCATCTTATGTGCAACAGATAATGGGCTGTAAAAAATGGCGAGCGATCGACCCCGCTCTAGGTGAAAATCAGCCCCGTGACGAGTATCCATTTCTTGCCGGCTTCTACAGGTGCCGGATCTAATGTACTCAAGCGAGGAAGATCAAAACGGCAAATTTCCCTTCGTTATCCAATACGTCTCTCTGCCTAAAACCACCAGATTGTGCCGGCGTGGCCCTACTTGCAGTTCTACTGTTGCTTGGTCCCCTCCAACAACTTCACAACATGGCACGATTCACAACAGGTAAACTTTCCGGTGTCTTGCTCTTGCAGTAAAAGTTCTCAGTAACTTGAAAAATGTTGACTTGTTGTGTCAGGGTGGTATCGGTTCATTCCCTACCTTGGGTATCATCACGTAGTCATGATGCTAATCGCTGGGAGCGTAGTTATGACCAGTAAGTTCAACTGCAGCTCGCGCACCGGGTTGCGGTGAAACTGATCTCCGTAAATCTCCTCGTCAGGCGTTATTTCAGCGGGTTGTACATCGGAAGGAATGCGAAACGTATACCTGGCAGCGTTCTCCTACTCTGAAAACCCAGTGAATCCATCAGAAAATACCGTTGCATCGGCACTCGCATCTGCTGTCGAAAATTCAACTCAGCTATTAGAAGTCCGAGTCGGATTCCTTGGTGTCTGCGCCAAATTGCCCGCCGACACGTGGGCTTGTTCGTCCTCCTTCGATACAATATCCAAGCAACTCGCCATAGTACAGGCTGAAGCTTCTAATGGCTCTTACGACCCACTTGGCGTCATCGATCTTGCCAAGGGCTTCAGAGATAATGTGGTCTTTGACGGCCTAATGTGAGTTTCTACTTCGGTCTTAGGTTTCTTTTTTCCCCCAATTCGAAGTTTTCCCCACCTAACTGGCCAGGGAGTTGCTGACCTCTACCAGGTTTATATCCATAGGTTTCAGTGTTCTGTCGTTCTTATTGCTGTCAACCTTTCCGGGCTGGCATGAAGAGGAGGACTCGGAGGGCAGCGATCGCGAGGTCAAGCCATTTCCTTCTCGACCAGTATCTCAAGCAGCATTGTGTTTCCTTGGGATCTCGGCTATGATGACTTTGCTCTCAGCCTTCTGGCAGCACATGGCAAGCTCAAATGCCGCTACATTGATGAAACTTGTGACTGCCGGTGTTGTGCAAGTACAGGTCGGTGCTGCTGCAATGGGGCTGGGCTGGGCTACTTTCTCTCTGAACGCTATCCAATTCGTCGGGATTTTCATCATGGTCCTTAGCATTCGTACCCTTTCAATGCTTGCGGACTGAGGTATGAATGTTCTTGGGTAAATATAAACATAGTTCGATACTAAGAAACCTAATAGAGAGATGAAAGCGTCACATATCCACCTATACTTTATTTATGCTCTTAGTCCTCCACGAGGCCACCTAGAGCTTTTGCGCGTATTTACTTAGTCGATCTAGATCTCAAGCGCAATGAGTCTCGTCTCACTTTATACGTATGTCCAGTCCGCTAGCTGACATATGGCCGAGATACAAAAACCCGCAGAGGTGGTCGTATTAAACCAGACGATGACCAGCCTGTATGCAGGTCCTCACCGATGAAGAGCCACCGTTTCCCTGGTATGAGATACATGTACTAATGATATCAGCGGTATGTTTCTGTTGCTTACGTTGGATATCGCTGCTGACCGGTGAGCATCAGAACTGAAATCGGCTTGGATCATACTTGTTTCTAGAGACCTTATTGGGCGGCAAATGACTCATCCACTATCATGCTGACTGAACAGAATCTCTACCTCGAAACAGTTCAAAAATGTCAAAATTCGTGAAGTGCGATGTTATATAGGTAGTTCTGAATTGCGTGCTATTGCCTGTGACTAGCCGACTTCTGCTCTACGTGAGATTCTCATTGCCAATTGCTCCATAATTTGAACGTATCGAAAGTTGAATCATTCCCTATATCTGGACATAGTTGATTCTTAGCGCATTTTCAGCATGGATTCCTTCGTAATCGTTGGGGTCTCTATCCGAATGCCCCAGGAAGCCGTAGATGAAGACAGCTTCTGGCATGTGCTCGAGACTAAGAAAAGTCCCATGACACCATGGCCCAGGGATCGTGCAAACTTGGAGTCGTTCTATGAACGTGTCTCTGAGAGCCAGCACAACAAGGTGCGTTGGTTATTGACCAGCAGCAACAACCACGTGGATCTTTGCTGAACGATGTAGCTAATTCAAAGATATCTAATAGCTACACGCACATGGTGGATAATTCATCGACGAGGACCCAAGCGTCTTTGATGCTTCGTTCTTCTCCATTGCGCCCCGGGAGTCAGCCGGCATTGACCCTCAGCAACGCTGGGCTCTGGAGGCAGCATATCACGCTGTTGAGAACGGTAGGTCCCTGGCGCTCTCCTGAGACGGGCAGTGACTTGAGTGTTGGATAAATACATGCTAATTTGGACCATTTACAAGCTGGTATCCGCATGGAAGACCTCAAAGGTAGTAGCCTTACCGCAGTGCATGCCTCGTCCTTCACGAACGACTACATGCATATGTCAAGGAAGGATCCCGATGCGGCGCCACCTCAGATGGTCATGGGCACGGCATCCTCCATCCTATCGAACCGTATCAGCTGGTTCTTCGATATCCATGGGCCGAGTGTATTTATCGACACAGCATGTTCGAGCAGCCTGGTCGCGTTGGACATGGCATGTCAAGCAATGCGGAACGGTGACGCCACATCGGTTAGTCTTGTCATTTTCTTGATCAGGTATTGGCCCTCGCATAATTTGATTCCCCGCGAGTTAGCTCAAATTGATTGATAATCTCTGGTTTGGCGCCCAGGCTCTCGTGATCGGATCGAATCTGCTTCTCAGCCCGGAACTGCCCACATACCTCGACGGGCTGGGATTCTTGTCTCCAGACAGCCACTGCTACTCATTCGACTCCCGTGCTAATGGCTATGCGCGCGGTGAAGGGGTCATTGCATTGGTTGTCAAACCTCTAAGTGAGGCCTTGAAGGATGGGGATGTCGTGCGAGCTGTCATACGTGCGACGGGCACCAATCAGGACGGGCGAACTCCCGGACTGACACAGCCCAGTACAGAGGCACAAGAGAGACTCATACGTCATGTATATGCCAAAGCGGGCCTCTCCTTCGATGAAACCCTGTATTGTGAAGCACACGGTAAGTGGAGAGGGTTGTTGGAAATTAGAATGTGTCCCGTTTGGAAATGAGTATATCGCAATGACTCTCAGCTAACCAGTGTCCCCAGGAACGGGCACCGCCATCGGTGATCCTATTGAAATGGAGGCCATCGCAAGGGTATTCAACTCATCACGATCCTCAGGAGATCCCCTCTATGTGTGAGCAGAACCACTCTCATAGCTTAAAATTCAACACGTTTGATGTGATTCTTTACAATGCTTATTGTCACCCCAACAGATCGGTTAAGCCCAACATCGGCCACATTGAAGCAGCTAGTGGTCTTGCCGGAATTGTTAAGTCCGTCCTCATGCTGGAGAAAGGCTTCATACCTCCAAATGCGCTTTTCGAAAACCTCAACCCGGAGATCCAGGCGAAGGGTCATCATGTTCAGGCAAGTCATATTCTCATTGGTTCCCGGGTTGGTTCCTTCAAGGTGTAAGCTGGCTCGTGACGCGAGAGAGCATCTGCGAGGCAGGCGGGAAAATGGAAATCGAGAATGAGTTCGTAACGGACTCTTCCGTAGTTCCGATATAGACCCCGAGAGGAGTCTGGCCGCCTACGGGATCGATTCGCTGATGGCTGTGGAGAGGGCACAGGTCGGAAAGTGATGTTGGCTGATCAAGCTGAGATCAGCGTCTGATTCGGGCCTTCCATGGATCTTGATGCTCATTTTTAGCTTTTACCCGGTGACAGGTGCACCATCCTGCCTATGTCTGAGAATCCCAGATTTTGCGTGGGTCGAAAAATGTTCCAGTTAAAAAATCGGAGTTGTTAACATACCTCTGCTGTCGTATCAGGCGAGGATAACACGCTCAACCACTATATCGGTGCTTGGCTGGAGTGATGTTGGGTTCTCTGTCAGTAATGACCGTCTCTCTGCCAATGTGCCACCTGCAGCATGCGCTCTATCCTTGTGCCTCACACTGACCGGTAGTCCCGGAGGCGGGTTACACAGCAGCCCTATTGCGGTGCTACGTAGGTAGACTAGTGCAGAATACGAGAAGGATTGCATGCGTGCCCCACAACGGCCAGTACCCAGTCCCAGGCAACAGTTGTTCGTATATTGTCATCACCGTATTACAACCCCGAAATCGTGCAAGCGTCTCCTGCTCAATTACCGTGCTGTGCCGCAAACCAAGGAATGTAGCCGCATACTTCAAGCGATAGGTGCCGGTAACGAGGGCTAAACGCATGTAAGATTAGGAATCAATAAATATTATGGCAGCAGGCCAGGCAGTTGGGTAGGTAGAATACGATATTGGCACCAATTTCCTGATACCATACCTCGAATTCAGCTTATCATGACCTGACAGTCGTAATACGACAGGGGGTTTTCATTCTCCAAGCGGTCTAGAGTTCGGAAAAGAACTCCGAGGAGGACTAACCATATCCACGACAAGGAACGCGCTAGACGGCGGCTTGGGCATGCAGCTGCAGGGCAAGCTTCTTTTGACCTCAACATCTGACGACGGCCAGACATTTAAGACCTGAGTGAGTCCTAGAAGTTATTGATATTTGTCCTCGCCACCGCGCATTCCCACCACGCTGCCGTGTTCCCCTTGCAGAACCCGAACAGCAAGCCCGCCTCCTCCTCGAAATCAAGATGCACTTCTCAAATCTCATCGCCGCCTCATTCCTGGCTGTTGTCTCGGCCCAAGACACCTCCTACCCGACAATCAACCTAGGGACCTTTGGCTACCCCCACGGCAACCAGTTCGTCGCCTGGTCCCCGTTCACACCGACCACGACCCAGGACGTCACCGAGCTGTGCGACACCGGCGGCGCCATCCAGGGCACGGCGACGTGGACGGCCATCAGGGTCTACAACACGTACGTCTTCGACCCCATCTGCCGCAAGCCCTTCAACATCACCGACGACGCGACCAACACCACCTACTACGACCTGGAGCTGGCGTGCGTGGACGACAACATCGACATCCACGCAATGCCTGAGGTCACCGCTGTCGTCGAGAGGGCCACCAACAAGACGGTCGAGGCGTGCGCACCCGTGCCGACCGTGGAACCGTATGACTGGTACGGACCGTGTTCCACCGGCGGCGGCGCTGGGTTGACGTGGCAGTTTGCTTGCTCCGCTGGGACGGTCGAGGATGAGTGATTTGGGATTGGGAGAAGTGTGCAGGCGCAAATGGGACGGAAAAGGACGGTATTAATGTGGAAGAAAACCATCTCTCCGGGTGTGTATCTTCAGTTGTGGACCAATACCTCTAATTACAATCAGCCTTGGGCATTCAAAGGTCATCAGCCAAAACATGGTTGCTTTGATCATCCACAACATGGTACTACAAAGATGCTCAACTCTAGTAGACTTAAATAGATTCTAATATCCGTGTAATTCCCTGCATACAGTATGGGAGATTTTCGCGCAACTCTTTTCGAAGATAGGATCTGAATTTGCAGGCAATCGGAATGGAATGACGCATGATCTACCTCTATTGTCGATAGATCCAAAGCATATCCAGGACATTACGGTAAGTCAGAAATCAGCACTAGCAATGCCAGGTGGAATCTAAGGTCGAACCCTCTATGTTCTCTAGTGCCCATGCTTTCCACCTCCGCGGACCCTGTCAAGCGACGTGCAGCGCGGTCAGCCTATTCTGAACTTGCTCAATGGGACCCAGAGAGCCGAGCCTTGTCGGCTCCGCTAATCACTTCCCTTCTCCACCCATCGTCGCTCAGGATGCTTCTCACGCGAGCCTCCAGCCACTCTACATTGCCCCAGAAACCCCAGCCGGCCTGAAAGCGCAGCCAATCGACCAGTGCAGTCTCCCAATGCCGCACAAAAACAGCCCAGTCGTAATCTTTCCCACTAGTCTCCTTTAGTCGTGTCCAATATCTCTTCAGTAAGTCTTTCTCGCCGTGTTGCATCTTTAACTCATGAGGAATGTGACGGTCGGCTACGAGCATGCTTAAGGGAATTGAGCACGTGAAGAGCTTGGCCAAGTCGCAGACACCCCAGGCCGATCCCTGTGTACTGGAAGTCGTAAAACGCAACTTCTGCCCCCGAGGTACTAGTGAATAAGTTCTCGGACTTGACATCGCCGTGGATGAGTGTTTGATCCTCAGTAGGTGCCCCTCCCGATAGCCTCGGTGCGATATATGCAGCGACGACCTCAGCGATGGAAACGCTGCCTCCGTCGATGCGACCAGTGATCGGCTTGTTCCATCCGTCATGAGTATTCTTGGCAAGTCTGTTGTATTCTGTGCGGCGTGTCGCAAGGTACGTGTAGCCACCGTTTAGCCAGACCGTCTTATCCGTCGCGTCTTGACCGTCGCGCCGGACTTCCTCGAGAGGCGGCAAGACTAAAGAAGGTCGCTCAAAGTCTTTCGATCGTGGCCACCAGAAGCCGTGGAATCCTGACAGCCAGTCTAGTGCTGCATACGCTTGGGTCGCAGAGAGCACGTCCCGCTTCTCTCCTGCGATGGGATATTGCACGCGAAGATCGCTCAATAATGTCGCCGTGACTGTTGATCCATTCTTGTTGTGCTGTTTGATGCTCCCCAAACATTTGGCAACTGGGAGCGATGCGGGCATCTGTGGGGCAAGATGGCTGTAGAAGAACTGTTCAACCTGATAACTCAGGATCTTCCTTGTGTGGCCTTCATCACCCGATTTGGTCGGCGGTGGAGTGACCAGTTTTAATATGTATGTCTGTAGTTCTTGTGGTCTAGAATTTGCGGCCGAGGCTGTTCGCTGTGATGCGGTGGAAGAGCCTGGCGAGCTGTCCGGGGCAGCGGTGACACGGCAGATCTCGCCATAGCCAGCCCACAGTGACTGTATAGTCTTGAGTGATTGCAGCTTCAATCCATTTGAAGCAAGCAGGGTCGCTGCGACTTCTTCTGGCGAGGGGTGCTCGGGCATGAGGACGGTAGATGAAGACCGGTGGTGGAGGCTCAATGCGACGAGGAGAACCAGTGCCGAGATCAGCAAGAGAAAGCGCATCAAGCGCGGCCGCGGGAACACGTCGAGCAAGCTCACGTAAACAAGATCTGGCAATTGTCCTCGTGGGTGGAAATCGTTCACCAATTGAAGTAAAGACAGGAGTGATGTCAGAGCATTCCTTTGTCGAGCCCCTGAAGTGGATCTTCTGAGGACAGACTGGTGCGACGGCTTCAGACCGTTCAGCCACACTTCACTAGCCACTCACATTCGTGGCTGAAGCTATCAGCCAATCATAGTTAATTCGTTTCTCAAGGCCATTAATCTCTGTCCAACAGAGTAAGCTAATGCTTGCATGCCGCAGAGTAGAAGTCCTCGGACCGTCAGATGCGGCGGTGAGATCCTTCGTATGGCTGCAGTCATGCTGCAGGTCTGGGGCAAGCTAGTCAGGCATGAGGCTGTTTGAATGGAGCTCACCGGCGAGTGCGGATGGCAGAAATCTGCAGTGTAGGATATGCTGTAAGCAGCCACTTCGTGGTCAACGTGTAAGCATTCAAGGCCGGTAATCTCGAAATAGAGCAAGGAACCATAGCATCATCCTCGGGGCAGGTCAATGTCTCCATGACACTTCGTGATGCTCGATATGCCGCCCAGTTCCGGCCCAAGCACCGCTAAGTCATACCTCCAGAGGCAAGTAATCGGTCAAGTTGGATATTTGGAATTCGAGTCGAGTCCCACTTTGTAACCTCAGTGATGGACCAGAAACTTTGCAAGGGAAAACGGTCGAGTTTGACGAAATTGTATGTAAAGCCATGGACCGTAGGGACACTGAAGTTTACCCGACAGGGTATCCCTCCCAGATCGCTTGGCTGCTTTCTTCCCACAACCCACACCCGTTGACGAGAAAGACTTTTGGTAAGGCGCATGATTCACAGATCCCCGGACTCGGCGGTCAATCAAACCCTCGATATGCTTTTTATTTCACAATCCTCGGGTCGATGCTAGTGCTGAACTGCACGAGGAAATAAATGCGTGACAAGTGGAATCCAGGCTGCCTTTTGGGAACTGAACAATAGCTGTCAAAACCACCATGGCCTTACGGTCAAATCAGTTAAGTCAGCATTCATTGTACGGATCATCGTTTGCAATTTTTTTCGGGGTTCGAGAATATTCTCGAACACTCAGGTCAAGAAGGCGGCTGCTGTTGGCTCGTGGAGTGACAGAAACGTGTGCCTAGAGATGAACATGTAAGGAAACTTTTCCTTGTTGAAAATTTGTGACTTCATAATAAAGTGTGTCTGAAAATGGAAATACCCCGAAATATAGTCTTCGACTTAACCGTGGACGCCTTGGCCTTCCAGTCTAGCGTTTTGAGCCACAATGCTGGAGGTCATCTGTCAAACAATACGGAAGTATATTCCAAAGTGAGAGAAACAAAGGGCTAGAATAAGCCATGGCACAACCCTTGGCATTGACTATTGAAGGTTGCCATTTGCGGGGTTCACACTTTACTTACGGTTATCTCGGGATGGGCTTGAGGCTCGTCCTACAAATGCAACAGTCTCCTCGCCTTGAAAATGAGACCCGATATACCACCTCCCTGTTTCATGATCCCCGGGTTGATTGCCTCAACATTCTCTAGATCCCTCACTCTTTCTTAGATCACTCAAAAAGTTACCACAATGCCCTCCCCCAGAAATATCGTATTTATCGCTCTCGGCCTGGGGCTTTCCTCAGCTCAGTATCCAGCTACTATCAGCTTCAATCCCGTGTACGACTCTTCCTTTCCCGTCGCGAATACAGCATGTGGAGGTGCAGAGGGCCCCAATCCCTTCTCAACACTTGCAGCCTCGAAGGGGTGGACTACACTGAACCAGATCCAAGCAAACCTTGTTGCTTCCCCGCTTGCGGTAAATCGCAATGAAGTGAGTTCCCAATGCTTATAGATACGACTTTGCAACGGGTCCATTGATTCCCTGCTGTAATGTCCATGGAATCCTGCCCGCTAACGTGTCCTCTGACTTGCTAACAATGCTGTGCATCAGTGTGGCCAATGCTACAAAATCACAGTCAACGGCGTCAGTATCAATGCCTTGATCGCCGATGCTGCTCAGTCAGTGTGGGTGTTGGGTCAAAGCCCAGAATGGGCCACCATCAGCGCAGGAAGCCTTGCTGGACAACTTGCAGGCACGGTTGAGCAGATCGGACGGAGTAATTGCGTTGCATAATAGCACACAGGCATGGCCGACAGGTGGATTATTAATTATAATCAAACGATCTGGCTCCTCCGGACTTTTTATAGGACCGTAGCAAAATATGAGGCCATGTTTGGAGCAAAGTTTTGAACTGGTTGTTCGTGCTTCATTGGTGGCTCACTTCTAGGCAGGCTCATTTGTGGCCATGCGAAACGTCCATTGCATTCGGTAGACAAGTTGACGAGGTAAATGTCTTGCTTCGATTTGGCCAAGTTTTGCAGATGGTCATGCAGAATCCCCGGCTTCATGACTTCCTCTACCTTTTTGTAGAAAGCCTTTCCACTGCAAAGCAGATAATGATTAGCCAGGCACCGTGATTAAAATCTTGTCATGGTAAAAAAAGATCAGTGTGTGAGCCTAATCACTGGGCGGATTAAGCGGGCTCCAATTGGTATTTCCAGTGGGCAAGGGGCAAAAGAAAATCGTAAATGAGGGGTATATCATATCCCTTTTTTGCGGAATCTTGCCACAACCGAGTGCCTCTCAGCATCTGAATTGGCATTAAATCATCCTTCATGGCGCAATTGGCTAGCGCGTCTGACTGTTAATCAGGAGGTTGGTGGTTCGAGCCCACCTGAAGGAGAGATGAGAGATGTGGAGTATGAGGGCGTTAGGAGAAGGCTTCCATTTTCCCTTTTTGAATTTTTCTACCAGCAATGGAAAAGCTAGGTGCAAGAAAGGTGATTGGTGAAGCAAAGTTTTGCCTGGATGGAGCAGCAACAAGACTCTTGGGTTCATAGTTTGTCATCCAGCAATTCTCGCTGCTGGAAATGCCAAGGTACTCTTCTAGGCCCAAGCATACAGAGACATGTAACAGATTGATTTGTAAACTTAACCCTTGGGATTGGAGGAGATTGAACATCGCCGTGTAAAATACAAAATAACACAAAAATCCAGCCCGTTCTAACTTCCTGCTCCCGCGCCTGTCTCGTCAAAGATGAATACAGATTGCTCAAACATCATTCGCCCTTCGTGATTCTGGTCGCCTTCGATTCTACCCTCAACGGTACCAATCGTCTGGAATTAGCCCGCGATCGCACATATAAAGGCCTCGGAAGTGTAGCTAGCTACGAACTTTGTTCTATCGCCGGGCTGGAATTGAAGACCGAGTCCATCTATAGGCTGGCTCACGGCGGTGGGATGGTAATTGCTGTTTGATCTAGAAGGGTGAGCAACGGCAGACGTCCGGGTCCAACGAACCTCGAGGACACTGCCATCCTTGGTGACAGGTGTTGAGTCGTACTGTCTAGCATTGACGCGAGAGAGGCAAAGAAGACGACCAAGTATGGTCCCTCAACGTTACGCCCGTGATCCCAGTACCATTGTTATGCACTCTCGGAAAAGGCCCGGTCGTACCAGTCTTTGTCGCGAAACATCTAGCAAAAGGATACGAAACATCTAGCAAAAGGATAAATCCTGACTCGATGATGGAAAGTGATAATAAAATTTGATATCGCTTGCTACTTATGCTCTAGGCCTTCTCATCGCATTGCGGCCTTTTCCGATCCTTCCTGGATTTGATAAGGAAGGCGATGCAGACAACTATTCCTAACACTGCCAGGGCGATAGCAAAATAGAGCGCAGCTCTGTACCCCTTCAGCTTGTCCGCTTTAGTCGCCCCACCGTTGTTGAGTCTCAGCTCGATAGTTCCGGCAATTCCGAGACTCAAAGAGATGCTATAGTTGACCACCGTGTTGACGAGACTTGCGGCAATGCCCTGGTGTTCGCGCGACACAGCGTTGGACAAGATGAGGGTAGCAGCCGGGAAACTCATGTCCATACCCCAGGGCGTGACAATGAACGAGACGAAGGTCTGGGCCCAATAGGTTTGCTCGATAGGACATGTCGCGATAAGAACCGTGCCGACTGTGAATGCAACGAGAGCCGCGGTCATGATGATTGGTGGGCCGATCCGGTGCAGAAGAGACCCGACGACCGCTGCAGCTATGGCTCCGGAGACCACCACGGGCACGAAGTTGGCCGTGCCCTCCAGCGGGGACGTCTCCCGGAGCTGCAGAAGGAATTCCCACGTATACCAGACCCAGATTCCGAAACATCCCCACCCGCATGCGACTGCCCCGAGGACGAACGACACGCCGGACTTGAGGGCGTGGAATGGGACAAGAGGCTCAGGGGAGAGTTTGATCTCGATCCAGAAGAAGGCTCCGACGAATATGAGACCGAGGATCAGCGTGACGCCGATATATGGCTGGTCCCAGCCGACCAGTGGCGCCTGATTCCATGCAAAATTGAACAGCACCAGGCCCGCGATACCTGTGGTGGCTCCTGGGAGATCCAGATGCAACAATTTCCCTCGCCACGTCCGCGGTCGATTTTCCCTGTGCGATGACGGCACCGGGGGGATCACAAAGTACGCCACGACCGCCGTGACGGCCAGGGCTATGGAGAAGCACCAGAACGTCCACGGCCACCACGCCAGAGCGAAGACACCGGAGAATGCAGCCGCGATGACGGACCCAGCCGGTGCGGTCGCAGCAAAGGCCGCGAATGCCAGGGACTTCTTAAGACCGGGCTCGTAAGCCGCACCCAAGAGCGCCAGGCCGTTCGGGAGCACCAGGGCGGGGCCGATGCCTTGGAGCACACGGCCAAACACGAAGAGGACGTGGCCCGAGTACACGGACAGCCCGCAGACCAGGCTCCACACGGAGAACCAGGCCATCCCGACCATGTACAGCGTTTTGTACCCGAACATGTCGCCCAGGCGGCCCGAGAACAGGATGAAAGTGCCGACCGTCAAGCTGTACCCCGCGAGAAACCATGGCAGCTCTGACTCTGGAAGACCGAAGTCCTCGCCGATGAGGTGGATAATGGACAAGACCTGACCGAGCGCGGCCTCTGCGGTATTGTGTCAGTGGCAACCCTGATGTGACAGATTAGGACCAGGTGCCGGGATGCTCACGTGTGTAGAGCTGCGCGAGGCAGACCAGAGCAACGAAAAGGAGCTCGCGATACCATGGCAGCGTCTCAGCGATGGACTGTGCCGTCTTTGTCTTTGCGAGTGCTTGGTGTTCCGGCTCGTCCCTATCGTCGCTATCGGATGGTGGAGTGCCAGGGCCCTCTTCCTTCAGGGCTCCTGCCCCGTCCACGTCTTGGCGCATGTCGAAGTCTCGCCGCGTCGCAGAGTCCGTTGACGAATTTTGTCGAATTCCTGCTTCTAGGGGCGCCCGGCTTGTTTGTTGTCTGTCACTGCTGTGGATGATGGACAGCACTGTGACGTGGGAGCGGAGGGCATACGCATGTTAAAGGGGCTCTTGGTCGCCTCGTAGGGCCCACGGCTTATCATACGTCAGAATCGCGTCGAAATCAATCTGCTCTAAAATCTTTCATGGGACCCACTTGGTACCATATCTGGGACCATAGTCATGGACAAAGAGTGGCGCTGACAGGATCCCATTGTGGCCCGTTATTCCGCAGTTCCGGCGCTAAGTTAGTCTGACATGTTTTGCGATCTTGACAGATGACAATTTTGACACGTGCTGATGAGATGCATTTGAAGGATTGCTGTAAGCCTTTATAAGCAACGTCGCCATTGATATAAATCCGATGCAAACAATGGGTCTCACTAATCGATCCAAGGCCATGATTTCACCATCAAGTCGATATCGGAAAACGGAGCAAGCTCTGATTATTCAGTGTCCCATCGCTGCTGCCGGAGCAAAGCCCGAGTGACGAACCCCGGTACCGGGCGTGATCGCCCTTGATCTGGCCGGTGCCTGCTCCGTAAAATAACTGGGTCCTGCTCGGCCTGAGGATTCGGCATGCGAACAACAACTTTCCTCTGTTGGATTCCAGTTTTCAGTTGCCGCCCCGCCAAGCAATCCTCCAATCCAGCCCCCTTCAAAGCCAAACACTGACTGACTATCATGTTTGCCCTCTTGTCGACAACCTCAGCTCCGACTTTCTGGGATTGTTTTGGTAGATTGTACTATGAATTAACCTACTGCCCCACGAACTCAGAAACAAGACAGCAGCATTCCTTACTAATCTAACTTCTCACATTACGCGCGACTGTCACTGGGACTTAGCTAATACAGTTAACAAACTCCAACCAACCATTCAAGTGCCCGGTCTTAACTCTGTCTGTGGATTGGCCACGCCTCGAACAAAAATTACACTCCAATTACACACTTATGGCCGATGACCGTCTACCGCATCTGCTGCAGTAGCGACGACAACCGGGTCTGTGTCCTTGCGGGACTCGATGGACAAATTGTCCGAATCGGGGGTCCCGTTGTCTATGGGCCTCTCCGGCACAAGGAACACCGCGAACGATGTCGCAGGGATGCAGATGACAAACATGACGAAGGCGACGACCAGGTTCACCATGGGCGAAACCTTGACTGCCCCAATGCCAAACGCCAGGCACGATCCGATGGACTCGAAGGACCGTACCAGGCCAACCCCCAATGTCAGGGTCTCGATGTCGTCGAAGAAGGTGCCCATTATCCAGTATACAAACATGTAATGGGACTCATTCATGAAACTGGCAGGATGTTAGCAGGATGACTCTCAAAGTCTGTAGAATCCAAATGTCCAGGACTGACCGGAAGAGGACATTGACAGCAAAGCCGCGACCAAAGCCCGGGCTGGCCCAGTCGAGAGTGGGTTTCGTGTCCTCATTTAGCTTCTCACTTGCTGTTTGCCAGGCGAACAGGCCAAGCATGATGGCGGAAAAGCTGAACCAAGTAATCCTGGCAAGAGTAGGGCGGCTGAAGCACTTCAGGTCGTAGAACCAGCCCCAAAAGATGTTGGCAGCCGTTGCCGCAATCCCAGATGTCAACGAGCCAAGAGTCCTGGCCCGGACGGAGAAGTACTTGGTGAGGTAAATACCCTGGTAGGTGTTGTTCCAGTTGAAGCCAACGAGGATAGGGATCAAGAGGTAGAACTGCTTCCTCTTGAGCAGCGCGATCCACTTGTGGAACTCCTTGACCACAGCCTTGTTCTTGGTTGGGTCGTAGGCCTTCCTGCCGTCGCGATGGATGACCTTCTCAGGGGGTGACACGAGCAGTGCAAGGGGAAGGCCGAGGCACTGCAGCGCGATCAAGACGAGATATGTCGAGTATCCGACCTTTCCTCTCTGGCCGTTCTTGACATTTAGTGAGAGCTGAATGGAAGACCCGATGAGCTGTCCGAGCTCACGGAGACCAAGCCAGATGCCAGCTGCAAGGAAAGTTGTTAGATACCAGTTTTGAAGCATTTATCATATCGGAAAATTTTGACGTACTGAATTTCCCCCGGTCGTGTATGTTGGCATACCCGAGAGCAATTGCACCCTCTGCAGCCCACAGGGCAGAAGCCGCGACACCGCAGGTTGCTCCACCAAATAGGACGAACCACTCTGTGCCATAACTGTATCGTCAAATCAGCGGGGAGATCGGGAACAACCTTACATTTTTGCTTGACGGGGTTCGTGACGCGCAGTCTAGTGGGTTGTAAAACTTACCGATTGTTCACATATAACGATGCCGAATACGGCGCGTAGCCCAGCGTCCCGATAATAAGCACCTTGTTCAGGCCGATCTTATTTGCCAGAATAGCAAAGAAAGAGCACCCAAATACCATTATACCAAATGTCAGCGCATTGGACCCGTTGACCAGATAGGGCTCCTGCTGTCCGCCAGCGCCAGTGTCTAGTTGAGGCCGTTAGTCTTTTGAAACATCTATGTCGTTGTATTCCAGGAGTCGCAGTCAAACATACTATTCAGCGCATTCCAAATACCGGGCTGCGTAAAAGATATCATACCAACGAGGATGACGTTAAAAAGCGGGCTCCTGAACCACCGCGTGAAGCGGGACACGGGCTTAGAGGCCTGCACATCCTGGGCTGGGCCGTCTTCGGGCTGCTTCGCAACGTCGGTTGACATGGCAGCAACCTAGTGTCCTGAGGCGGCGATGTTGTTTTACGGGACTCTCATGTTGGGGCAATCAGGAGAATTGAAGAACTCGATCATGTATTTTATATGAACTCTATTGCCAAGCCCATGCGCTAAATAATTGTTCTTTTACGCCCGTAGTGTCGCATCAAGCCGACCTTTTTCTCCGCCCGGGTCCGCCTTGAGATACTGATCTGGGGTGGGATTGGCCGGTTGTGAGGTCTTTGCGGGCTTGGCTCCTAAAAACGAAAATTAGAAGTGCTTGCCTGCCTAGATGTAAGACCGTCCTAGCCTTTGTTGGATTTTTTCAGTCTTATCCCTGGTGACCCAAGCTGTCGGCGCTGCGTGCTGGTTGAAAAACGTGGACCGGATAGGGCCGACGTCGCGTCGTGATGCAAGGGTCCGATGGTGAGATCTGTCGTGACGGCGCCACAGCTCGCCATCTGCCGGAACCACCAGCGATATTCGATGCTATACGGATGGCACAATCCACATGCAGAATCACTGATGAGTCTCAATATGAAAGATTTATCTGCTGGATTTGGACTTAGGAATGAAAATACGCCACAGTAACTAGAATCAATCATAGTAATCAGAAATTGTTTGTCATTCAAGACTGTTCTGGCCAAATTCGTTGACATGGGATCCATCGCCAGGGCTTTCCGGCCAGCCCCATACGGCCCCTCCGTCAAGCTGCCTGATCCCTATCCGACGGATACTGACTTCCCGCTCTCTCTCGCTTCACCCAAGCCAAATGGAGACACATTGGATCTCGTTGCTGAGGTGGAAGAGCTGTCTTCAAGCGGCGAACTAGAAAGACTCCTGAATAAACACGGCACGATATACTTCCAAGGTTTGGGTCTGAAGAATGCCGAAGAGTTCTCTCGGTCCGCACATGCCTTTGGCTGGGCTCCACATGAGGATATTGGTAACCCGGTGCGGCGTGTCGTCCATGCGAAGAACGTCGCTTCTGCCAACGAGGGACCAAACACTCAACCCGTGTATCCATACAATGAGTTCGGATTGAGTCCGCATTATCCAGCATACGTCTTCTTCTATTGCGTCTCACCTCCGGCCACAGGTAGGTCCCAGACCTAATCTGCTGCAAGCCAGACGCAACTGATCTCCAAAGGTGGCGAGACTCCGATCAACAACTCTATTATCCTATACCGCCGTCTGAAGGAGAGGCACCCCGAGTTCATTGAAGAAGTTGAGAAAAAGGTCTGCACTCTGACATCATCATGTCTTGTGAAGTCCATGGACCGGGTCTGACGATGCTGTGAAAGGGCGTCAAATACCAGCTGTTCTACGACAATGCCCCTCGAGATCAAACCTCATCAGCCCGGAATTCAGTCTTGCAAGCTCACGGAGGAACATTTCTGGACAGTGACGACACGGAGACTGCGAGGGCGAAGATCGAGGCCGAGATCAGACGTCTGCCAACAGCGACGTGGGGCTGGGAGAACCAGTCCGGGGGCAACTAGCTCGGCGATCTGCGGGTGTGGCAACACCTGCCCGGTAAGCGTGTCTCAAAGAACGATGTTAGATGAATTCTGATAGCAGGAAGCTGTTCGCGACCATCCTCGACGGGAGACACTGCCTTCTTCAACAACGTGGTGTCGCGGTTCTGTCATGCTGTAGAAGCGGGAACGCTGGAGCCGCCGCATATCAACAGCAATGGGGCATTCCAGCCGCCGCCTCCAGTAAGATCGCTTTCTTTATCACCATCATGGCATATATCATTAACAAATGTCAGTACGGCGATGAGTCACTTAACGTCCCCGGCCCCGATCCCGGCCGCCCCCTGATCCCGGCCGGCCCATACCCGCATATACGTATAAATGCATTTATACCCACCTTATATTAACTTCTTAATATCTTTATAAGGAATTTTTTTTAATTGTTAAACTTTTCCTAAGTATTATTCTTTTTATTATAAAATAATATTTTAAAAATAACCTTATTAATGCTTTTATTATTATAAGAAATAAAATATTAATTTAATAAGCTTTTAAAATATAATATATTTTTTAAGCTATATTATTTAATTATTTTAATAATATTTAAAATTATTATATTATTATTAACTTTTAAAGGCTTTTTTTAAATTATTAAAAGGCTTTATTAATTTTATTTATAATTAATTAAAGTAGCTTAAGATTAATATTAATATAATTTAAAATAAGGGCTTTAAAAGTTTAATTAGCTTTTTTAAATAAAAATTATCTTTTTTTTAAAAAGAATTAACTAAAAGCCTTTTTTTTATTACCTTATTCTTTAAAGCTAAAAGAATTAATATATAAAGGTTATTTATCTTTAATTAATAATTAAAAAAAATATTACTTTTTAATTTAATTTTTTTTAATTATTTATTATTAAGTTTATTTAATTAGCTTATTAATAAAATATTAATATAAAAGGATTAATAAAAGGTTGCTTAAAAATATCCTTACTTTTAGCTATTTAAAGAATAGTTTTTTTTAAAAGGACTTTAATTTTTAAGCATAAACCTTCTTTATAAAGTATATTAATACCTAAAGCATAATCTTTAAATCTTTTATTATTTTTAAGAAAAGGAGTATATAATAGCAGTGGTTTTTAATTACCCTTAAGGATTACTTTAATTAGTAATTTATAGCTATTAAAAAGGGGTAAATAAAGGAAAGAATAGTTATTAAATAGCTAAGGAAAGTCTTTATTCTTAATATTATTTTTAGCAATTGTTTTAAATAATATTTACTTATAATTAATGGGTATTATATATATATAATTATTAACTTTATATAAAAGTATTATTTAAATTATATATATATAATTTTTTTTACTTATATATATATTATATATGCTTTAACCTTTTAATATAATAGTTTTCTTACCTTTAAAAAATGCTTTTAAAAAGTATCTTTATTAACTTAAATAATATAATTTATTAATAATTATAATAAAGAAAAGGTTTCTTTATTATTATTATAAGGTATAAAAAAAGCATTTATAAAGTTAAATATTTAATTAAGGTAAAGAGTAATAAGTTTTTAATTAATATTTAAATATAAAGTATTTAAAAGTTATTATATTTTTAAAAATTATTAAATTTAATATAAATTATTAAAATTTAATAATATAAAAAGCTTTATTAAGTAATTCTTTATATTAAAGGTTTTTTTTTAATAATTAAAGCTTATTTTTAAGATTTTTAAGTAATTATAAAAGGTATATTAATTAATTACTTATTAATATTATATTAAATATTTAAGCTTTATATTATTAATATTTTTTTTAAAAGCTTTTTAAAATATATAATAAAAAAAAAATTTAATTAATAATAATTTTATAAAAAAATTAATAATTTAAACCTTAAATTAAAGCTAATTAAAAAATTATAAAAAGAAAAGTTTAAATTAATTTAAATATAGCTTTTATTAATATTAAGGCTATTTATAAAGCTTAAATAAAGATAAAGAGGGTATTAAAAAAAAATAATGCCTTTGGAGAATTAGAAATATTAATGAAAGAGGGATTGTGTATTGTGATGATGGGTAATTAACGTTAAAGAGAAGGCGTGTATGGGTGCCGAGGGCGGCTGGGAAGGGGGGGCGGCCGGGATCGGGGCCGGGGACGTTATACCCAGAAAGTATTTGGACTCTGCTCTAGAAATAATCAGGTCGGTACTCTTTTGCTTTGATAAAGACAGCTTCGACGCTGATTCCATCGCAGGGACACCAGATCATTAGTTTCTTGAACGAAAGGAGATGTTCTCCTCCTCGGCGTAAGTTCATCGGCCCCTCTCAATCGACTACGACAAGAACTGATCTGTTAAACCTTCGCAGAGTCATGCCGTACAGCATGCCAGAGAGCCGTGGACAGGGTAAGTCACGCAGACGACCGAGCTTGTGCAGGACACTAATGTTGCAGCAGAAACTGAAAGCTGCTGGCCAGTCTGTGGGATGAGCCGTCAAAAACAGAGGCCTGATGTGAGATTATAGTGCTGGTCGCCGGCAATACTCCAGGATGTCTTGCTATCATTTCGTCTGCTCCTGCCTTTGGTATCCGTTGCATGGACTCAGAAATGTTACGCGTGTGAATTATATCGCACATTGACCTCTACTTCAAGGATCTCTCGAGGAGTAATGACCTGAACAGCTGGTTAAAAAATTGCAACAGGTTTCATCCGTGCAGGGATTTTCGCTCACTTCTACCGTATCTCTGAGGTTGCTCAATCGTCTCAATTTACAGTGCACGAGGTGGTGTATTTTGCTAATACTGGACGTATCGTGTCGACCACACGATGACTCGCACTGATCATGTGAATTCAACTTGAGACAACCACTTCTAAAAGTTCCACCTGGTGGTGCTTCCCAACTTCACTTCCCCTCCCGCATCAGACTTGATACGGTGTAGGCACGTTCTTCCAGTCATCCCGGTACTCCCGCGTCTCCTCGGCATACCTCGCCCACCACTTCTCAAACGCGGGCCTGTTGTACAGGTCCTCTGGTGGTCCGTCGCCATCTCCAAACAGGTCCAGGATGTGGTCGCATCGCAGTACATCCAGACCCCCTCCAGGTGCTGCTCTAGCAACGGCTTCTTGTCCAGCCGCGCCACGAGCACCGTCCCCACACCGGACTGCCAGACCGGTGGCGCGAAGCCAGACTCCAGCTCGATGTTCAGGTAGGTTATGATCTGGTTGTCCAGGCCGCCGGCGCGGGTGTCGAACTGGGAACTCGGCAGGGGGCGGAAAATGAGCGGGATCCCCAAGAGCGCGGGCAGCGGGGCCTCGCTCTCGTGCTGCTGCTCGAAGATGGGGTGGGTGCTGGCGATGGTGGTTGCGGACCACTTGGGGCCGGTGGTATCGCCGATGCAGCGGACGATGACTGCCTTGATCTTCTCGTTTGCGGTTGATGCATTGGCCGCGGACTTGTCAGTCGCGGAGGTAGAGGCTTGAGACGGCTGCGCTGGGGTTTCTTGTTTGGCCTGCGGCTTGAGCGATTTTGCTGGCTGGGGCACTGATCTCACCGGCTCGTCATCCGAGTCGGTGTCGATGTTGTCCCACTTGGAGTAGTCGATGACCATCTTGGCAGATCTGGAAATGACCAAAACAGTTTTGCAGAGTGGCGGGTGGGTGTTGGATGTTGAGTGTTGTCGATACTCAAGTTCAATGTTGATGCCGATGTCTACCCCACTCCTTAAGATTTTGTCGAAAAGTGGGATGGTATCGTCCGCTGCAAGGACCCGACCGAGGAGAAGCACGGACTGTGCTACCGGTGAGCGAAGGTTTCTTGAGGGGTGTGCTGCTGGGCGAAAGAGAGGAACTGGGCAATCAGAATGTATTGCATTAATCGAAGAAAGGAGAAGGAAAAGGCCAAAATGGCTGCCATCTAGGCTCTAAATACTCCACAGAGTTGGCGGTGACTGGAAGGGCCAGTGAATGCCACTATTCATTGTACCACAAAGGATCTCGAACATATTCATGTACAGCATGTGAGTCGTGGCTACGTTGAGTTTTCCATACAGTGGAATAGCCACAGTGAACAAAACCTTCACTGGACCGTGTTTCAATACTGAGCCAGTAAGTAGCTATTTACATAAAACAATGCAGGCAGTATAAACAATGAATTTGTTTGTACTTGTCAAGAGCGTATTCACCTAACTGTTACCGCACAACACAAAGACGTCTGATATAGCCAAGCACTGGCTCCGTGCAATCCAGCAATGGTGGATGGGTCACATATCTAGGTAGGTGCCGAATAGGTGTGAGTGCAACATCGATCATCCCACTCGTTTGCTGCACCAGCACCCCACTTGAGAAAGGTAAGGTAAATTTGACACTCCATCTCCTCTTCTTGAAGCATGAGAAATGTCCTACCCCATGTCTCTGTAATTATCAGTACTTAAGTAGTATGCCAGTATTGAGCACGCAAATTCGATACAGATGCACGTCCGTTTGGACGATTAGCTAGGCAGATCTCTTACCAAGTCAAGAAGCTTGGGTCACCCCATGTACGCATGTCTATCTCAACATGGCGATGATCCACTAGGTGGATCTCCTCGACATTTGACATGATGGCCGAGGAGTCACCTTGCACGTGCAACTGTACGCGTGCGCCGTTCTATCATCGAGCAGCAGTCAACATCATGTGTATTTTTAATGCAATTTTTGAGAGGCTGAAACTTCGGGGAAGACTTTGATATTTCATTTAAAGAAATGTCTGGCCTGGTTGTATGTGTGATAGGGCGGACTTAAAAATAGCAAAGTGAAGAAACCAATCAGGGCTTACATATTTGATCAACTTGCTCTGCACACAAACGCACCATCTAGGCAGGGGCCAAGAGTGAGTTGGAAATTTTGGATGACCAAACAGGCTAGCCATTCGGGGTTTGAAATCCCATCGTTAATTTCGTTGGCTCTACTTACCGCCAGCCCTGCGCCTGACTTCTACCGGCAACGTACGATCCACACAAGACATCGGCCCACAATCGTCCCCATCCGGAATCCAGGGATCCGGGAGATGGATCCTCACGACGGACAGCATATATGGGCAACATCCGCTGCGTTGGCATAGGGTGAGAAAGGCGAAGGCATTATCTAATGTTCCCTCTTGGGTTTTCAGTATCCTTCTCCATCCACGTTCGACTATTGTCGACTTCTAATTTGACGGACTCAACTCTACTCACTCTTCCACCTGTATCCTTTTGAACACACTGCATCGCAAGCATCGGAACCAGCCGTTGCAATAATCCAGACCATCCCTGTTTAACACATCACCACTGGCAACCCCATCGTCGACCATGGCCAACAAAAAGTCCAGTGGCGCAGAGATCACCGAGGCGGAGAGGAATGACCCCAACGCTGCATGGGAGGCGACCATCACGAAAGGAATGAAGGAAACCGAGTCCGAGATGTTTCTGCAGTGGATATCCATCATCATGATAGGCGTTGCCGTCGCCGGCTACTTGTACCTATGAAAAAGGCAGCAGATCTCACGCCCCACTCAGCAGATCAACGACGACAACGAAGCTTACGAGAGGTACCAATGGATCGATACCCACAGTCAGCAATCGAAAGGAATCTGTATCAACAAGCTCTGGTGGATTGGTTGGTTGGAGAAAGGAGAATGGGCATTCGTCAAACAGAGACCGCGCGAAAGTGGAAAAGTCTGGGGCAGTGGTATCTGTCGGTTCGACGCAATGGATCAAGTGCAACTGCACGGTCATGTGAACAGCGCAATATCGTGCTTGTAATTAACTGGTTCCTTGTATTGGACCATCTCAAAAGTAACATGGGAGCATCCGCTGCCATAAATGCTAATGTATTTGCAAAGCCCTAGAGCCATCTACATAAGCTACCTAAAAGGACTGAGCATGTTGCCAAACCATAATGAGCAGAGTGAACTCCCGTCGCCGGACCCGGGCTCCTCGTCACTCATGTCAATTTCTTCAAACAATGCTCCTGCGGGTTGTCAGCCTCACTGCCCTAGAACTTGTTCATGCCCTGCTGAGCTGGGTGCACTTACCGGCTTGTGACTTGTTTCATAGTCTATGTGGACGTAGGCCCTTTCTACCGAGGGAAGCTTCTCCAGCTTGATCTGCAATTCCTCCGCGACGTCGTGTGCAACCTCGACGCGTTCGTCTTTGTTCATGACAACGTCGACCTCCGCAATCAGTCGAGGGCCGCAGTAATACGCGCGGACGGTGTCGATCTGCTGTATCTCGGGGGAGTGGGTCATTGCTGCACGGTCGTGTTCAAGTCAGTATGTGACACACTCAGTTGGGTTGTGACTTTGACGCCTGCAGCCACTCATCGAATGAGGATGCACGGAGCATAGAGCGACTCACCGATGTAAGTGATCAACCTTAGCGTCTCGCGCTCTGCGGAAACCCCGATGATGAGCTGGAACTCGTCGTACGCCGTATGGAGCCAGAGCGCAGCTATCGTGACGGACAATATGGTCGCACCCATCAAGTCGATCCACCAGCGCAGCTTGCTACCCCCGAGCGACGTCAGAATACCAAAGCCGTTGAGGAAAAGGTCGTTGCGGTGGTCCCGCCAGAGAATCTCCACCTGGGAGAACAGATGCTTGATGGTCCAGCAGTACAGGAAGAGGCAGAACTTGGTGGCGAAGGCCGCCGACACCGAGATGATGGAGGGCAGGAAGAAGGGCCGCGTCTCGTCGGTGGAGCCTTTTATGAAGGTCTGGAGGGCCTGGACCAAGATCACGACCGACACGGTGAACATGACGAACGAGAACACGATGTTGCCTGCTGTGGAGATGCGCGCCCTGCCGACCGGGTATTTCGTCGGGCTGGCTTTTGTCACTGTCCGGTGGGCCAAATAGAGTAGAAGTCCCGAGAACGGGTCAAAGCACGAGTCGACCATTGTTGTAATTAGCGACAGGGAACCTGACGAGATGGCGGCGTAGAGCTGCAGCCCCGAGAGGCAGACGTTGGCGCAGAGGCTGCCTTTGACGGCGATCTGATACCGGAGGCCTGAGGCAGTTTGGGTGTCCTCCAGTGACTGCTGATGCTGCTCCACAGGCTTGAGAAATGACCGGATCTCCTCATTTTGCACCTCGTAGAAATCTTTAACTGGCTTTTCTGGGTGGATGGAGATTTTGCGCTTCTTTTCCACCTGGATGGATGATATTTCGGACTCTGCTTTTATCAGAGGCGACAGTCCGAGCGGATCCGAGTGCGCAGCTGCCGGAGCTTCGACATCTCTTGCAGATCTGTTTGATCGGAATTGGGGCCAGGGATCTGTGGCTCCGGCGACTGACTAGAGCTCGAGTGAGAGAGCTGAGGGGCAGCTCGGTCTTCTGTTCTGGCTGAAGGTGGTCTGCCATGGTTGGGATTGGAATGAAATTTGTTACTTAGACCGTGGATGTCATGGGCCAAACATACTGTCAAGGGTAATCAGATGGCACCTTGCTGACATTTATAGGCCGCGAACGCTTTGATGAGGAGCTCGTCGCGTCGCCATTGGGGCGGCCCGAGCTTCAGCATGGCAAGTATTGTCGAATATTGTTAAAACATTGCCGTGCTAAGGGGGAAGATGAAGCGGCGGCCACCTGCAGCTTGAGGGGCCTTGTGTCCTTGGCTTCAACTTGGCGAAACTAAGGGGACCGTTGCCCTGGAGCTCCCGAGCGTCTGTTGACCCGCTCCGCCTGGTTCGGTCTCGGCTCTAATACTTTAGTCAAGGCTTGGACAGGCGACTGCATTCTTGGTTTTCTGGGCAGACTCCTGACAACAGCGAAAATGTCGCGCCTAGAGCTGGGCTTCGTAGCTAAGTTCCCAATCTCTTGGTTGACTGTAGCTGCAGCTGGATAGAGTTGCTAAGGCTTCGCTCTCGCGGATGGCAAGCGGAAACCCCACACCAGCATCACGTAGGCTGTCTGCAGCGTAGTTGTTGTGCGGTCGTGTGCATTTGTATTTGCCGGTCTGGGAAACAAGTGCCGGTAGAAACAATGATCGTGACATCGGACAGTGCCACGAGCCCGACTCCCGAACAATCTGGATCACCTTCATCGTCTTCTCTTATGCCGAAACGAACGATAATCCTTCCATATCTCGGTCATTGGTTCCTGCACAGGTATGAATCGCCAGCCAACAGGAAAAGAAGCCGGTTTCTCTTGGGGAAACAGTCCTGCCGGCATCTTTTCATCAGAAAAAATGGTACCGGGTAATGACCAGACAGCGAACTGGCACACATACACGGCAATCAAATTAAGTATGATTCTCTTAACCGGTATAACACGCGCCTTATCAAGTACAATTGGTACTTCGACTCACGCAACCCATACATGTCGGATTTGTCGATGCTGCACCCTACACTTCGAAACAAGCCAGGACTCCGACGATGAAGGTAGCATTTGGCATGGGAACGGCTGAGTGATTCAATCGACTAATGTACAACATGAGAACATGGACAGAGTAATGGCCTGAAAGGCAGCAAAGGACATGACCTCAAGGGACCCACTCGGACATATTCAGCCTGACTGTGTGCACTCGGGGGTTAATAGGCTTGGATACCAAGGTACAGACTGCCAAGGCTGCCAGTGATGCTTGTATTCAGACTGACCCCTGGAGCCCAAGGTGTCTATTTATGCTTCTGGAATGTGTGATTACTACGGTCTCGTCGGGAATGGCATTTCCTGCATGCTGCATCGGTGAAGCGTCAAGGGTAGCACTGCAAGAGCGCTTCGACTGTCACACTGTGAGCCTCAGTCTCACTCCGATCATTCGCGACAATACTGACTGGATCGAACACCCTACTTGATGCATTCGGAATCAATGTGGTCTTTCCTCCGATGTTCTAGAATTCCATAGCCGCGAAGGATGCGATATCCTACTTGACGGTCATGTGAATATTGTGGAGGCGAGCCGAGATGGCCCTGCTAGCTTATGTACGCGTCCAATTATCTGCAAGCCCACACCGGCATCCACCGAAACAATTTTACTTAGTGCCTTTAATGGATCTCAGCATGTCCGGGGATGGGGACAGATAGAACTTCAAAACATTTAAAGATAGGAACGCGGCCGTACCTCACCGCGACTGTGCAACATCAACGCCGATATCACCTCAACCAACCTCCACGTGCACCAGTTATACCGGTCCAAGACATGCACTGGTACCTCGCTTGCGGCGGCCTTCTCACGTGGGCCGCCTTGAGCACCAGTCCAGCTCTCGCATCAAACTCCACTTGCATTGGCATCAATGCAGTGAAGCCTGAGTGCAAGCCTGCAGAGCCACCGTATCACCGGGATGTCTTCTTTATCGGTGGCGAGTACGTGACCAGCGGGACGTCATACATCATTTCGGACCAGATGTACGTTGAAAAGCTGACATCCATCTCTGGCGTCGACAAACCCTTTCCGATCGTATTCATCTCTGCTGGTCTACCCTCCGGGAACGTTTGGCTTAACACTCCAGACAACCGCAAAGGATGGGCATCGCATTTCCTTGACAAGGGGTACCAAGTCTACATCGTCGACATAACCGCCAACGGACGGAGCGCACAAAACGATGTCAACAAATACCCCCTCCGTCTGGGATCGACAGTATCCATCCACGAGAACGGCTTCACTGCCCCTGGGTACCTCAATGCGTACCCTCAGTCGCAGGGGCACGACAAGTGGCCGGGCAATGGGACAAAAGGAGACCCGGTCTTCGACGCCTTCTTTGCGTCCACTGTCCCCTTGACCTCCAACAGCACGGCACAGGAGCTGTCAATGCGGGCAGCGGGCTGCAAGCTGCTGTCGCTCATCGGACAGTCGTATCTCGTGGGGCACTCGGCCGGGGCGACATACTCTGCGCTGATGTCGGACGAGTGCCCGGAGACGGTCCGGGCCACAATCAACCTGGAGCCGGGGAACATTCCGTTCCAGAGTCTCATCGGCAACGCCACCGTGCCTGCGGTTGGACGCACCCGCAGCCGACCTTGGGGGCTTACCAACACCCCGATCACATATGACCCGCCAGTCGTCAATGTCGCTGAGGATCTGCTCACGGTCGAGGTCGGGGAGGACACGCCCGCCTTGCGTTCGTGCTTCTTGCAATCCAACGGGACCGTGGTCCGATCTTTGCCTCAGATCGCCAAGGTGCCCTATGTCGTATTCACCGCCGCCAACTCCCCTCATATAACGTATGATCACTGTTTTATTTCGTACCTTCAGCAGGCCGGCGTGAAGGATGTCACATGGGTGAAGTTTGGGGATTTGGGACTGTTGGGCAACGGCCATTTCTTCTTTTTGGAGGAGAACAACATGGAGCTTGCTGCAGTCGTAGAGCAAGAGATAGCAAGCAGGAGCTAAAAGAGATTTTGTGCAAAGGCTGCGTTTGTAAAAACAGTTACAATTGTCTATGAAAGTTCTCCAGAATCCGTGATGCTTAAAGCCATCCATGTTCACATACAGGCCTTTGAGGCTACTTGCGGAAATGTGTTTGCTAAGCGAACAGCCGTAGTAGAAATGATACTGCGACATTCTCTGTAAAGTCTAATATCGTTAACAGTAACTCATCTACGTTCAACCCATCGTACCATGAGATCATACTAATGATGATTACTTTGCTGGAGAGTCTAAAGGCATTTCCTCTTCTGACTCCGAGTTGCCCGAACAACCTAACTTCATTTGATTCATCTCGCAACCCCTTTCGGCCACTGAACTATCTATCCTCGCCCGATCTTGGGAGCCTTTCCTCTTCTGACAGCATCTCGGTACAGCGAGTACCTTCTCTCCTGCGTAATCGGCAGGGTCTACCGGAAACAACAGGTACTGATTAGCATATTCTGCGCCGTGGGCAAATGGGCAATCATCTGTCTCCATCTCGATGATATTGATCTGCAATACGTCCGGATCGGGATCGTCGGCGGGGACCAGGTGGTCGAACGTGACTCCGTAGTAGTCGATGGTTCTTCAAACAAATGGTCAGCAGCCAGAGAAGACAATACAAAGAACCATGAGGTATGTCCTTACTTGTATGGTATCACGTCCGTCACCCAGCCCAAGTACTCATCCCTCACAACCACATCAGTAGCGACGTCAGGACGAACATCCCGCCCAAACAGTGCCTGGTATGCCAGCTTTGCAAGCTCATGGCCGGCTGGCTGCGGGAACACCAGGTTCAAGGGATCGGTATGCCATGTTATGGAGGGAAGGAGTTTCTGTATGGCGACTACGGGACCCTCGATCTGAATCCTCAAGGGCTTTTCGATTGGTGGTGGGTGAAGCGGGTGAGCGCTGTCGCTGACGCAAGGCGGGATGTGAAGCTGAAGACCCATGACGATCAAGGGAGCCAAATCAATTGTTTGTGGAAAGAGAACCTAGGTCACCGGGAAAATGGACTTAACGAAGACCATGAAGAAGGGAGGGAGTAGGAAGAAGGTGTAAAAACCAGGGCCTGTTGGGAGGCTGAGCTGACTAACATTGCCCGCATCTGAACTTGCCTAGGCATCAATTAAGTGGGACAAATAACGGCTTGTTTAGCGCGCGCCGACATGGCGGAAAACCACCGACACAATTGTTTGATACAATACCTAGGGAAATTTCGTACGTGACTTGCCTTTCAAACTTGTGGCGGTGAGAAATTGCAGCACGAGGGCACAGGACCAGCCAAAATTTGAAGGGGAACTGCAAGCATCAGTGATCGCTTGCGTTAGGATAAACCCACCAGCTATTAACAGTCGTGTTTGGCTAGAATATGGCATGCAGCATCGATTGGCTGCTGAGAATGGCCAGGTGCCCGACCGATGGCTGGGGACGACCTGGTCCCAGTTATGCCTCGCAAGCAGACAATGAACTGACCATGCACGCTGTGACATTGGGTGTGTGGGGAACTCCCTAGTGTTGGAGATACAGAGTCTGTTGCCTAGCATTGACCCAGCAACTCGAGCCAAATTAAGTCAAATTGCCGCAGAGCCTCGTGTAACCACGAGGCGCTGTAGCCATTCTCCCAACCCATAGTTTCAGAGCTGAAAAGTATAGGACAGCTACTGATGACCGCAGTGCAGCACGGTGCAGGGCGGTAAATAGGATGATGAAAAAGTTACAATGAAGCATACAAGTACCGATCGCCTTCTCCAACATGGCTCACTATAAACGTAGGATCATGTTCAGACGAACACCAGCATATTTTAGGCAACTGTACCCAGGTAGTCTCATCGCTAGACTTCCGTCACTGAAAGCGCGAGATCAGAATTAGCAACGAAGTCCCCATTTGCACCATTCGAGACTCGAAGGGGTGGGAATAGGCCATTCATATGTCGTCTGGTCTGATGCTTAATTTGAGCACTTTGAGCCATGAGATCAGGGCCCGGGATAATGAAGAATAAGAGCAAACTTCGAGCCACAGTCATTCGCAAAGGAACCAACCTGACATTTTTTTTCCAGCGGATGTCAGCCAATCTGGACTTCTGACCGGCGATACGGATAGCTCAAATCACATCACATTCTTCAACTGATGGAGTTCTGGTAAGGGGTTGCTTACAAGAGTTCGTGTGAGATCACGCCAGAGAACGCCATAAGACGCGGCCTCTGCCCGCTCCTAGCAAGCTTCAGCGGTCCCTCATTAGATCAGAAGTCTTGTTGCGACAGACCAAGTGCAATAAGACTTAGCAACGGACGACGTGGGCCGCTTTTACAGTTACCTCGCACATGACGTGAAGACTTAGTAGGAAACCTTGATCGGAGAATACGTCAGTTCCTCCGTATTCAATCAATAGCCCAACCAGTCCATATTCAAATGATACCACGCTGTATGCTGCTTGAAATGTCCGTGCCAAGACTGACTCCATGAGCAAGCTGCCCAGCCGCGACTTGGCTCTCCCCTTTTCATGCGTCGAAAAGTCTCATGCTCTGAGCATCGTATGCAAGGGAAGAACTTCAAGTGAGAAACTCGATTTGGAATTGCTGTTTCATTTCTTATGAGACGTCCAACCGCCGAGTTACTAATAACAACGAAATGCCTGTCACTTTCAACGTGCAACGAAAGCTGATGAAGCAATGAAGCAAACGATAGTTGATTATTGTGTGTTGAGGAGAGAAGTCTCTCGTTATTAAATGCTTAGAAGGAGCCTATTTATAGGCTAGCGCTAGCGTATAGGCATATAACCCTCATACCTTTTAATATACCCCTTATTATAAGTATTATTATTTAATAATAATAAGAGATATAATATATAATAGCTAAAACATAATTTAAATATTTTATTATAATTTATATTAAAACTATTATATAAATATTATTTAATATTTATATATTCCGTTTATATTATTTTTAGTTAATTATTTAAATGCTTATTTAATAATATAAACCCTATATTTATCTTAATTTTAATCTTATATAAACCTTTTTAAAAGTAAAGTAAAGTAATATATTTATATAAATATTAATAAAATTATCTTTAAATATAATATAATAAATATTATATATTTCTTTAATTTCTTTATAAATAAAGTAATAATAAATAATAATATATTTTAATTAAGCATTAACTTTATAATTTTAAATAAGGTTTAATGCTAATTAATTATTAATATATAAAATAAGTAAATATTTAAATATATATTTAATATTTAAATTTTTTAATGCTTAAATAATTTAATAAAAATATAATAATATTAATAAATATACTATATATTTTGCTTTATAAGTAAATTTTATAACGGTAAATTAATGCTTTAATAATTAAGCAATTAAGCCGCCGTTAAAAAATTATATATATTTATTAAATACTCTTAAATTATTTAAATTAATATTATAAGAAGCATTAATATATATTAAGTATAATAAATTAAAATAATAATATTTATTTTAAAAATTATAAGGTATAATTTAATATATGCTAAATATATTAAAGCATCTTTTTTATAATATTTAAATAATAAGTTATAGGCTTTATATTAAATATTAATAGCATTATATATAAAAATGCAAAGTTAAGTTTTATTTTAATAATAAGAAAATTAATAGATTTAATAAGTAATTAATATATTATTATATTTATTATAATATTATTAAATTTTTCTTATTATAAAAATGAATTTAAATTTATAGGAGTTTGTTTTTAATTATAATTAAATATATTAAAGCATTTTAAAATCCATTAAGTATATTCCTTTTAAGAAATATAAATTTTATTATTGATTTATATAATTTTTAATTTAAGTAAGTATTTATAGAAATTAAGGTTTTTATACTTAAAATGTTGCATAAGCTTAATATAAAATTTATTAACTTAGGAGGGACTTTTAATAATAAGAATGTTATTAATATAAATAGCGATAATGATTTAATTTTTAATAAAAATGCAAGGGTTAAATATTATCTTTATTAAATATTTAATTAATTTATTTTTAAAAGTATTAAATTATTTATAACTTAATTATTTAAATTTATATAAGGCATTAAAAAGTTTTAAAATAACTTGCTAATTATTAAATAATATTTAATATCTTTATAATAGTTATATATAAATATTATATTTTAAATAGCTATATAAGTATGCCGTTTTAATATTAAATTGCTAAAGCTATTAACTTATTATAATAATAATAGTAATAATTAGTTTTAAATTATAATAATGCATTATAAGGCTATAGGTATTATTATAATTTATATTATGGATTTATATATATTTATAAGTAATAAGTTAAGCTATATAATAAATAAGCTTATTAAAAGCATTAAACTTCTTCATATATACTTAGTAAGGATTAATAATATATTAATTTATAATAATAGGTACTTTAATTTATATACTTATATTTAAGAGTAATTAAAGTTTTCTTTTAATAGCTTATTGCTAAACGTTCTTTTTATTGCTTTTTATAACTTATATATATATATTAAGAATATTATTAACATTTATTATATTAGCAAGTAATGCTTAAGTAAAGATTAAATTAAGATAATTAACATTAATTAATATTAATTAAGCAAGATTTAATATAAGGTTTATATTAATTAATACTAAATTATTAAAATCTTTAAAATAGTTTATAATAATGTTTATATTTTCTTTTGCTTTTTGCAAAGGTTAAATTTATTATCTTTAAGAACTATATAATTATATGGGTTTTATAGGTTTAAGTAGTTTATTTATGGGTTCTGCGTTATTAATAGGTTTTATTAATTAAGATATTAATAATACTTTTATTTTAAGTAATATATTTTTATTTAAATAGCTAATTATTTATATAATCGTTTTTGCTAAATTAAATTAAGTAATATAACTTAATATTGCAATTATAATAACTTTTTAAAGTAATATATATAAATAAAAAATAGTTTTATTTTTAACCTTAAAACTTATAAAGTATGCCTTTTTAGCTTTATTTAATAATTTTATTTTTAATTTATAAGCTTTAATAAGGATATAAAGATATATAGGGTGAAAATATAATTAAAAGTATTTAATATTAAGCTTTTATTTATAAAGTATCTTAAATAGCGTTATTTAATATATTAAAGCTAAATATAATTTTTAACTTTATAAATATATTATATAAAAAATTGCTTTAAGCTATAAAAATAAATAGTTTTTATTATAAATTATTATATAAGCATTAATAATAATGATATATATAAATTTTTTAAATATATTATTTAATTTATAATAATAAGGGGGTAATTTCTTATAAATAATTTTATATCTTTAAAATATTATAATAATTATTTTATTTATATATTTATCTTTATTATTTAAATTAAATATTTTAACTTTTATATTAAATTAAGTTTTAATTATATTTAAGAATTCTTTAATAATATTTAAAATATTATCCTTTTAAATAATAAAGTAAACTTAATAAAATTTAATATAATTATTAATAAATAAAATAAAGTATTAAGAATTTTTTAATAATTTTATTAAGAATTTATTTAATATATTAAATTAAATATATTTAAATAATTATATAAATTATTATTTTAATAATAAATATAAACATTTTTTAATAAACTTTATAAGTTAATATAATTTATAACAAAGATTTATTAATTTATTTAATATAATATTTTTATTTTTATATAAGCATTAAGTAATTATTTTTAATAAATTATTATAGCTAAAAGCTTTATAAAATTTATTATGTATTATAAACATTATAAAGTTATTTTTTATTATTTAAATTTTAAAATTTATATATTAAAACTTTATTTATAATATTTTATAAGATTTATTATCTTTTAATAATAAAAAAATATTATTTTTTTATATATTTAATTAAAATCTTTTTTAAATTATAATTTAGCTAAATAAATAAGTATTTTTTAATATATAATTATATAAAATATTAATAAAAATACTTTTTATTAATTAATTTATTTAATAATTATAAAAAGAGTTTTATAAAGTTAATACCTTTTATAATAAGTTAATTATTGCTTATAATAATAATTATATTTAAATATATTTATAAAAAGTTAAAGTTTTTTATATATTTTATTATATACTTTAAAGTATTAAAATTAAAGATTTATAATATTAAAATACTTATAATTATTAATAGCTTTATTATATATATTAAAATATTAATATATAATGCTATTATATTTTTTTTATTATTATTAATAATTTTAATAACTTTTTTATTTATAACTTAATTTATAATAACTTATTTCTTATCTTTTCTTTATTTTTAATTAGCTTTATATTTAATAAGCTTAATATAATTAATATAAAATTAGTTAATAAATATAAAGTTTTATATATAATATTAAATATATTTTTTATTACTTAATATAAAGTTAATACTTATTAATATAAACTTTATAGCTTTTTTTATATCTTTTAATATTAATTTCTTTTAAATAAAGATAAAGTAAGCTTTAAATTATTTAACTTTTATATTAAAAATAATATTTATTATTTTAAGTTGAATTTTAAAAAATATTATAAGGTTTTAATTATTTAAGTTATTATTAATATTATTTATAATATTTAATAATATTACTAAGAAAAAACGCTTTTAATCTTATTATTTTTAAAAAGTAATTTTATTAATCTTTTAATTAATTATCTTAATATTAAGATTTTAATATAAAGTTTTATTTAAAGATTTTAAAAGGTATTTAAATAACTTTATAAATTAAAGTTATTTTTATACTATAAGTTTATTAATTAATAAAAAAGATAAATAATTAAGTTATTAATATTATAATTAAATTAATTAATTAATATTTTTTAAGCATTAAAAGATTTTTTATATAATATAATAAATATTATAAAGCTTAAATATATTAAGCTTTTTTATTTTATAAAAATTATATTTTTATTTAATTATTCTTTAATGCTTATAATATATTTATTAAGACTAATAAATTAAAAGCTATAACTTTATATTACTCTTTAATTTAAAAAGTTTTTCCTTTTTAAGTTTAATTTTAAAAAAGATAATAAATTAAGCTTAAAGTTAAGTATATTTAATATTTTTTAAATAATATTTATATATCTTTAGGTATATTTTAAATAATATTTATATATTTATTTATTTATAATAGTTAGCATTAATTAATATAAGTAAATAAATAAAAAACAATAAGTAATTAAAATATTAAATAAGGCAAAAATGCTAAATTATTATAAATTATTATTAATTATAATAGCTATTATAAGGTATAATAATAATATATAAGTAAAGATTAATAATATTAAAATCTTAATAATTTAAATATAAAAATAATTATAAAAATAAAGGTATTAATATTTCTTAATACTTTAATATATTTTAAATAATGCTAAGCTTATAACTTAATAAAATAATAAAGCAAATAATAGTTAATTATTATATATTAAGGAGAGAAGTTTCCTGCTATTAAACGCTTAAAAGGAGCCTATTTATAGGCTAGCGCTAGCGTATGGGTATACGACCCTCGCACCTTCCAACAAAAGCCACTGTCTCAAGCCAACCTTCTTGTCATTGTGGGAGGGTTTTAACGATTGACGTTTTTAACGCTGGGTGTTTAAGCGTTTAGCACTGTATGAAGGGGCTGGATGCATATTGCTTAAGAGGCATAGTATGTGTACAGATTAAAAAACGAGACCACCTTAACGATTGACGATCAATGAAGGAACGTCGCTTGTGGATGCTGCTCTTAACAGTCGTCTTTCGCTCGCCCATCTTGACCTCTTTGTTTGCATCTATGTTCCTCTTGTCAGGGCTGATGCCTCCTCTGCCAATTGTGCCGTCGCCAGTTTTTGGTAATGAGTCTGGGGCCATTGTGTGGCTGTCGCGGGCCAGTCCAGACTACCCCTGAACGCTTGCCAGGAAGGACGGTCGTAATTGGGGCTGTGGCCGTGGCCGCGGCAGTCGTGGTGGTGGTGGTGGTGGTGAGGGTGAAGGTGAGGTTGAGGGTCGAGGTAAGTGGTCTCGTTTTTAATCCGTGCACATACCTACCTAGGTAAGCAGGATGCATCCGGTCCCTTTTATATAGTGGCAAACGCTTTAACACCCAGCGTTTAAAAAAACAATACCGATAGCAGTAAGGTTTTGAACGCAATGGTGGCACGTGGCCCAGAAAACAGTGACAGCCTTGTGACAGCGGCACAGACGAGTCTAACGAGAACCGCTCCTAGCGCCATAGACTAGCAAGTCGGGCAATTTGTCATACGACGAGATGGCCAGCTGGAAGTCATTCTGAAAAGACATACGTAAATGACGATGAGTATCTAGCTATCAATGCTACTAAGGGCAGCTCTCTCCGTACAGAAGTAGATGGATTTTAGGCTGTTAAGCCACACATTATTCATCGTACGAGGTCTTCGCGTGCCCAAATGTGCTTAGTACAAAGGACATCATTTCCGATAAATTATCATTCTCGTTTAATGTATCTATCAGCGGTATCAAATGGGTCTGACCTGCCTCAAACTCCCATGCATGACAACTCGCAGCTCACTGGTCAAAGCCGATCAGTCATGTGTATTTCTCGGAAACCAGGATCCTGTTGACTGCAGTACAGCATGAGCACCTTTCAATGGTTGCAAGGTGCAGATTTCCTCACACACCATAATTCACATGCTCACCTGGCCAGCCAACATGGACCGCCGAATCACAGGTTTGACATGCGCACTCAGCCTCGTCAAGCACAACATCATCATGGCAGTATTTGGAATGCAGGTTGAAACAAGAAGCAAACCATAACAGAGTCCAGCCCTTGGTCTGGCTTCAGAATTCAGAGGGAAGCTGGTGTTCCTTGACTCAGAAAGTCTAAGCAGCCTTCGGAAGTGCGAGGGACTGTGGTTGACGGGTGCACTACTTCCGAAGACAACCAACCACCAAGTCCCATGTATGGCAGTGGCTTGGCGCCACACCCTGAACTGAGTCCTGGTCAGCGTCCACTCCTACATGAATCGCAAGGCGATAATAAGGTTCTTCAGGCGCGTAGTGCATTTGATTTCGACCCCATCTCATTTTACAGTATGCTTTTCCAGTCCCCAAACACAGTTCAATGTTTTAGAAGTTCATTGGATCCATGGTTCACGTACGCACCCAGCATATGCCTGCCGTAAAGAAGTCACCAGATTTCAATCAGCATCATCGAGATTCCTATTTTTTGTTCTCAGCCGAGCTTTAAAATGACCGAGATCCAGTGTGGCGTCAAACTTAGGAGGTGGCGGTGCTGACGCCTGGCGAGTGGCGTTGCGTTGGCATCTGTACGTTAGAAGTGGGCTCTGAGGCACGGCACCAGAGTCTTGCAGCATGCAGCTGGAGGGCGGTTCATGATTTTCGCAATTGCATCTGTATTCTTCCCCAATCCATCATGCAACATGGACGGAGTAACAGACGGAGTCGCCTGCGCTCGTCGGATGGTCAAGGTTTGGGCAGAGGGACTCGGATGCGGCGATTGTCCGGCGGAGGCCGAGTGCCAAGGATCATGCCACTCGTTGGTGGACATGGCCTGATGCTGGCCTGCCCGAACGTTGCACCACAGCAACGTGTGCTGAGTGCCGTTGTCGTATAAAACACGCGCCGAAAACATACTCCCCTCCAACCCTGCATCAGCCCAAGAGTCATGGATGCTGGCATGACGAGGCGTCAATTGCTGCTCATCGCCATACTTACCGCCCTTACTGTCTTTGTTTATCAACGGCAATACTTTTCCGCTCCTGAGCAAGGAACAACCTCGCCCGGTCAAACCATGCCACCCAACCCACAGTCTCCGACTGTCATAGTCGTCGGCGCCGGTCTGGCCGGCCTTTCGGCCTCATACTCTGCCCTGAGGGCCGGCGCAGCAGTCCGGCTCCTCGAACGCGCCGAGAAGCCGGGCGGCAACAGCATCAAGGCCTCATCGGGGATCAACGGGGCACCGACGCGATTCCAAAAGGGGCCCGACACGTCATTCCAGAGCGACACGGTCCGGTCCGCAGGCGCCAGACTCGCAAAGGCGGACGAATCCCCGGTGAACTTCAGACGGAGGGAGCGCGAGTCGCTCATCTCGCGGCTGACCGGCTCGTCCGCGCAGGCGGTGGACTTCCTGGTGGACGAGATCGGCGTCGACCTGAGCGTGGTCGCGCAGCTGGGCGGCCACAGCTTCCCTCGCACGCACAGGGGCGCTGGGAAACTCCCGCCCGGGGCGGCAATCGTCACTGGGCTGCTGGACAAGCTGAAACAGGACCCGAACTTCCAACTTCAGACGGGATGCGAGGTCAGCAAGATATTGACGCTGCCTCAGGATAAGGGTACCGTGACTGGCGTCCAGTACACCAAGGAGGGCTCGCCTCATACGCTGGAGGGCGCCGTGGTCTTCACGACGGGAGGGTTTGCAGGTGATACCTGGGGGCTGCTGAAGCAGTACCGGCCTGACCTTGCTGGTCTCCCCTCAACGAACGACAACAGGCCGGGGACGCACAACATCCTCAAGGACCTGGGTGCTCATCTCGTGGACATGGAAAGCGTCCAGATCCACCCGACGGGTTTCATCCTTCCCTCAGAGCCTCAAGCAAGGGTGAAGTTCCTCGCCGCCGAGATGCTCAGAGGCGAGGGGGGTATCCTGCTGCACAAGGGAAAGCGCTTCGTCAACGAGATGGACACAAGGGAGCACGTCAGCGGCGTCATCATGAAGCTTCCTCCAACCGAGCCAGACAAGGGGAGTGCCGAGCCACTAACTCAGTGGGACGTTGAGCTCCTGCTCGACCCCGGCGCGTGCGACGCAGCTGCATCGCACATTGGGTTCTATATGTGGAAGGGTCTGGTGACGAAGAAGAAAGTCAAGGAATTGGATGAGACGACGAAGCAGACGATCCGCGACTACTCAGCCGTTGCAGCCGGTAAGGCGAAGGACAACTTTGGGCGAACCACGTTCGGGTCCTGGAAGCTCACGGGCACCGACGCGGACGACGAGCAGGAGGTCTGTGTCGGGCGGGTGACGCCCATCACGCACTTCACCATGGGCGGCGCGGCCATCAACGACAACAGCCAGATACTCGTTTCGGGCGGGAGCGGGCCGGAGCTAAGGCCCGTCCAAGGTCTGTGGGCAGCTGGCGAGATAACCGGCGGCCTTCATGGGGACAACCGGCTTGGCGGGTCCTCGCTGCTCGAGTGTGTCGTCTTCGGACGAGCTGCGGGCCAGGGAGCGGCTGCGTATAGGCGGCCGGCAGAGGTCTAGATCCTCTGCTTCACGGTGTCATTCTGAACAGAAAATGGAAAAATATTTTGAACTTACAGAGTCTGCTTATTGGCGGCGCAGCATCCGAGGTGAAGAATGTCGTGCGTCGAATCATGATTGGAAGCCCTGAAACACTACCACATTGCCCACGACGGCTGTGTAGCATGCGAGTAGGATTCCGGGTCTGAGATTCTGCCCAGCGCCGTCCACCACCACCATCACCACCACCACCACAAGTGCCCGAAGCCTAGGGCGAAAGGCAAATTTTGACTGTAACGTCGCTATCCATATTCGGGTAGATGATGCCATCTCCGGCCCCTTCAAAACGCAGCCGTGCCGGCTCTAGATGCACACGCTCGGGACTAATTCAGTTGACTCTGTCAACCAGATACTGGAATTGCAATAAATACGCGTATATCTTAGGCCAAGTTTATTTCGATCATAGACAACCAGGGACATGTGTAAAGCGGAAATATGTGGCATCTTGAGGCGGGTAGAGCATCGTCCCATGACCTTACATAAACTGCTGGTCGTCGTGTGTTTCCGTCGGAAGGAACTGAGGTTTCACAGTTGTTTGCCCAGACTGCTACCCGATTGAAGCGTCGAGCTAATTTCCACACGTGGGATTCTGGCCGACCCTTGTGGGCCCCCCTTGAAACCGTGACAGGGTGTGTGTTAATTAGTCAGATTACCACTCTAGCAGACCTTGTCGAGTAAGACGGAACGTCCACATGTGAAAGTATCTATACACGGATATGTGACCATACTCATACTTTCTAAATGCCGTCGTGTTGAGCCTTAAGTTGTAACGGTACGGTCCGTTCAAAGACAACAGTGCGTGACCCGGCGGCCTCGCATATCCCAGATTCCCGGGACTGGTTGGGCCTTCGAGTCTCGTTGTGCCCTAACTAACACTACGCTTGATTGCATCCCGTTCCCCTGCAAGGCCCTTCACAGACAACAAAGAGACCTGAGTATAGCTGCCACAGCTTGACTTTGCTCCGAGTCAAGTCACAGATAGCTTAACAAAACATACTTGTACATCCCAATATCGTTATGCTGCAGCCCCAAGCTCTCTGGCTCTGTTTAGCAACCGTCAAAGCCGTAGCATCCGCCAACCACGCCCTGGACTAGGGGCGACGTGATTGACAAGACGCTGATCACTGCCGCGTTGCAATAGGAACCCGTCCAAGACGGGCGTTGACTTCACCTGGCCCCCGCTCCCATTGGACGATTCCCACCAGTCGAAGCAGTGCCGGACAGGAAAGCATGCCACACTAGCTTATAGAGACCCACGGCACTTGGTAACCATGCTGCAAACACACACTGAAAGAAAAAAAGCAACTATGAGACTACCAGACCACACGTGAATGGTGGAAGCCCTCGCGCCTCGGAACTCTCGGCACAAGCTTTGGACAATGCACGCTACGAACACGTTCGCAAGTCATACAATTCATGCTTAAACTCCCACGGGCCAGGGACAGCACCTGTTCGTCCCAGTTGCAAGAGTAATGCGGGAATGCGGCACCCAATCACACCGGCAGAAAAGGCCGAGCCGAACGTCGAGCTCCGACCGCTGGGAGGACAAGGTGCTGACGCCAAGGGGATAGGGTGACTTAAGCTCTCGTAGCGGCGAGTCTGTGCGGTGCCAAACGTCTCGCCAGCAGTTCCACGCACGGGTCACACTGTCACCCTGTCAAGGGGGTCGCAGTGTGTGTGAATCAGTGCGGGTGTCTGCAAGCGACGACCAACAAGAGGGGAGCTGCCGCGCCCGCAGAATAATAAAGTTTTGTTTTCCAAATGGGACGATTTGCGAACTCACCGGTCGGGCGCGATTGGTCGTCAGGAAAGGTTTGCCTTTCGGCGTGATGTCCACGAACAGAAGATCCCACCTGAAACTCGTTTGCGATAAGCTTTTGCAGAACCCTTGCCCGGGCGACTGGTTGACACGTGCAAGGCCTGCATGTATAGTGATTGTTGGTTCTCATGCAGGTACAATTTCTGGGTGATACGCTTCATCTATACATATGCCGTCTTGGTTCGGATCCGAGGCTGTCTCCAGTCCCATGTTCCCAAGTCTCCACCACGTGGCTCCCGAGGTCCTTTACGCTCATTCCTTTCTTATTGCAAAACACTCCTTCCGCCTATTTTTATGTTGTGTTTAGAACCAACTCGCTGGCCGATTGATCTGGCACTATTGCCGTCTATTAGGACCCGAATATGAAGCAGCATGAGGCTGGAGCGGTGGGAGGAGGAGGAGGAGGAGGAGGGGACACGAACAAAGACTCCTGGGAGAAGTGGACCGAGGAGACGAAGGCGGCCATCGAGTTCGAGGAAGACCCTCACAGGGCGGCGCTGTTCGACAATCCGAAACTTGTGTATGTTGGGAAGAAAACATGGGCAGCGCTGATTGTGCGTTTGGGAACCACCTCACTCAATCCATGAGCACGGCTGCTGACCTGAGGGCCTTTCTCTCTAGGCACTCGGAATCTCTCTCGGGGCGCCCATCGGGCTGACCTTTGTCACATTGAACTCCATACTGGTCGTGGTTACGGAGGAAGTTGGCGGCCAAAACTTGATACCTTGGGTGGTTGGCGCGTGGTCAATCGCCAGTGCGTCGACAGCGGGAGTAGGAGGCTACCTGAGCGACATATTCGGCAGGCGTAACATCATTCTCGTCGGTAACCTTCTCGTTTTTATTGGATGCATATTAGGAGCTACTGCTCGCAGTATCGGGGTCATCATCACTGCTCAAACGCTCGTCGGGATGGGCGCCGGGTTTCTGTTTGACGCCTATGCTGCAGCCACCGAGATGCTCCCTAACAAATGGCGGGCACTCGCAGCCGGTATGGTGGAGGCAGGAATCAATGTCCCCTGGTGAGTCACTCCCAATGGGTCTGCAGAGACGAGACAATGAAGCTAACGTGAACCTCTCGGTTTGAAGGGCAACAATCTCGGGGGTGCTCGCCAATGCAGTCGCCCGCTATGCCAGCTGGAGATGGATATACTACATTGCGATTCTTTGGAGCTTTCTGGCGTTCAAAGCCACGGCACTCCTCTACTGGCCTGTCTCAAGACCACGGGGCGACTTCCACAAGTCTCGTGGACAGCAGTTCAAAGAGCTGGACTACATAGGCCTGTTCTCTATCACTGCTGGCCTAATCATTTTGGTCAGCGGCCTCACACTGGGCGGCGAGACCTATCCATGGGACCATCCCTTCACCGTTGCTCCACTCGCTGTCGGCCCTGCGATCTTGCTGTTAGGATGCATATACGACTGGACGGTGGCGGCCAACCCGATGATTCCGCTCAAGCTTTTCAAGCCCAAGATGTTCCGCCGATACGTGGCCGTACTCATCGTCCTCTTCATGAGCGGGATGAATTTCCACGCCCTGAGCACGCTGCTTCCTCAAGGGGCTCTCCTGATGTTCACCACGGACGGGATGAAGATAGGAGTCATGTCACTACCAAACACCATGGTCCAGCTCGTCGTGGGCGTCATAGTCCCGCTATTCTCCCACAGGATCCCAGAGTACATACCACACTGCACGATCAAGTGGCAGATGGTGGCCGCGATGGTGATGCAGGTCGTCTTTCTCGCCCTGTCGGCGGCGTCTGTTGACCCGAACAATTACTACGCCTACATACTCCTCACGGGCCTCGGGGTGTCAATGTTCACGGGCGTCACGGTCCTTTCGTACGCAATTGCCGGAATGCACGTTCCTCACTCGCAACTCGGCACAGCACTCGGATTCCTGGGGACATTTCGATCGACCGGCGGAGCGGTTGGGAACGCTCTCTTCCGTTACATCTTCCAGACCACATCGGAACGCATGACCGCCAAGAGGCTTCGACCAGTATGTGAGAGGCTTGGTGCGTGCCCGACCGAGGCTGCGTTCAACACGCTCCTCGTCGATGCTGTGGCCTACAACCAAGGAGTCCCAGGGAAGCTCTCAGACCTGACCCCACAGGTACGGCTGGCCATACGAGAGGCACTCCGTGGGGCCTACGGCTACAGCTTCAGGGTCGTCTTCTGCGCCACCATCCCGCTTGGTGTTATCGCTCTTCTCTGTGCGCTCTGCATCGACGACCCCCATGCTTTCATGAACAATCACGTTCAATTCAGAATGTACGAGCGCGGGGGCCTCGGCTTCCGCAAGTCAGACAGCCCGGCGCCCACCGGGGCCACGGTCCTGTTTCCGGGGAAGAAGAAGCACTTCGATGCGAAGGATGGCGAGCTGGAACTGCAGAGGGGGCCGTCCCAGAGCTCACATGCACAACTCAATCCTGAGACCAAGTCCATCTGAGCCGGAAGTCCCGGCTTCTCCTTCCATGCGAGGTCATCGGGGGAGAAGCTGAATCAAGGACGGGAAAGGAGGAGTGACGCAAGCGTCCGACTGTACCGAGATAATTGTAATTCTATGCTGCATGATCCTTCGTGGGAAGTGCTCCTTATCTTTGGTTCTGTGACTAAACATTGAACACGCGTAAGCTCGGAGATCGCAGGATTCAACACTCAAAGTTGACAGGTCTTCTCGGCCGACGATAGTGGGTGGATGCAAGTCGTGCCCCATGAACGTGGTCTACAATTTTAGACTATCTCGGTAACTAACCGTGGTCGAAGCCATAGCCTTGTCTAGTGAGGTCGACACGGTTGCGTAAAAGATATGCCCGCCAGTTCAGTGCACGCTGGCGCCAAGCCAAGAATGGGACGGTATTAGGACGATCTATCAGGGGTAGCGCTGTCGCACGCGACGTGTTTCAAGACGGCATCTCAACGTCAAGGCGCTACCGACATCCAGAGAAGCCATGACTGCCGACACGTTCGCTCTCGAATTCGCAACCATCGACTGCACCCTTCACTCACCGCTGTTCAATAGTCTAGTTTTCTCAGCCGGGACGGCAGCCAACCAAACCAAACCAAGCAGCCAAGATGGCAGACCCGTCGCCGCCCACACGGCATGCCCTGTCGTGGCTGACAGATGCGAACTACTTCAGCATGTAAGATCCACACATCCCGGCCCAGCCACGCGAGTCGCGCGCTTCAAATCTTAGCCTGTGGAGGGGGGAGGTGGAGGGAGGGGTTGAACTGACCGGGCATATTCAGACCTGCATGGTACCCCATCTACTTCCTCACGAGCCAACTGCGCTCGCTGCCCTACCCGGAGACCGAGTATCGTGGGAAGACGGTAGTCGTGACCGGCGCCAATGTGGGTCTCGGCCGGGAAGCCGCGCGTCACTTCTGCCGCCTCGGGGCGGCCAAGGTCGTCCTGGCCTGTCGCGACCTCGACAAGGGCCGGGCGGCAGGGGCCGACATCGAGAAATCCACGTCGAGGGCGGGGGTCGTGGACGCGTGGCAGCTCGACCTCGGCAGCTTCGAGAGCGTGAGGGCCTTCTGCCGGCGCGCGGACGCCGAGCTGGACCGCCTGGACGTCGTCGTCGAGAACGCTGGCGTCGCCATCGGGACCTACGTCGAGTGTGACGGCGGGTTCGAGAGCACCGTCGCCGTCAACGTCGTGTCGACCTTCCTCATGGCCCTGCTCCTGCTGCCGACGCTGAGGCGGACCGCGGCGAGGTTCAATGTCGAGCCGAGACTGGTGGTGGTGTCCTCGGACGCACACCTTTTTGTAGGCGCCATCCATCCTTGATCCTTTCCATCGATGACCTGCATAGGCAGTATCCGACCGCGTGGCTGACATCGACCAAAATAGGCAAAGTTCGCTGAGCGGCAGCAGCCGAACATCTTTGAGGCCTTCAAGGGCAAGGAGAACATGAACGAGGACCGGTACAACCTGTCAAAGCTGTTGGAGGTCTTCGTCGTCAGGCAGCTCGCTTCCGAGATGGCGCCCAACGACCCTGTCATCATCAACGCCCTCAGCCCTGGCTTCTGCCAATCAACCCTCTTCCGCCATGCTCCTGGCTTTCTGCGGGCTATCCTCGAGATAGGCGTCCGCATCATTGGGAGAACCTCCGAGGTGGGCTCGCGCGCTCTGATGTCTGCGGCTGCCGCCGGTAGAGAGACACACGGCGGGTACATGGACAACTGCAAGCCCCGAGACCCGGGCCCGTTTGTGCTGAGCGAGGAGGGCGCGCAACTTCAGCAGCGGGTGTATAAGGAGCTGATGGAGGTGCTGGAAGATATTGAGCCGGGTATCACCAAGAATATCCGCGCATGATGGCGCTTGGAGTTTTTCACGTTTCCTATGTAGTCGCACAAAATAGTTGTTGGAATTGTTTCGCTCTCTGAAAATAATCATAGCATCGCACGCTCAGTCAACCAACAGGGCAGAGAAAACACGAAGTGAAGTTCCATTAATATTACAAGAATCAAACTCTCAACTACTGTCCCTTCTCCTTGTTTCATCACCAATGTACCGAAGTCCCTGATGCGCTCTCGTTTCCCCGTGAGACTATCCCCATGGACCACTTTTTAATGGCGGTGTTTGCTGCGATCCAGAGTAGCAGGGGCGGTGGTCTTCAGAGTGACTGGGACGCTGCCCGTCTGCTCGATCCCAGCCTTGTTCCAGTTCAATGTGTAGAGATCGGTCTCGCCAGTAGCCTTGGCCCAGAACTGCGCCTCGTAGCTTGAGCCGTCGCTCCAGAAGGCTTGCTTCCCGAACAGGAAGAAGCCAGTGATGGAGGCGTCAGTAGGCAGGGTCTCGTTTGGTGATTTGAAACCGCATGGCTCATAGACAGTGTCTGAGTTGATGATGTAGAAGACCCGGCCAGTATCAACTGGCAGCTCTGGGTCGGTGCTGTTGGCGGTGACATTCCAGGTTGCATCCATGGATGGGGAGGACCCTGGTGGATCATTAGTATTTCCGAATCAGACAGACACATCGAATGCATCCTAGTGCAGATGCGGGAAGGGGGTGGTTTCTCTTACAGGTCAACTCGGTGAGGTTGGCACTAGGCGAAGCAGCAATGTAGGCCGTACCTGGATGTTGGTTTTCACGGTTAGTCAGATCCCATCATGCACTGAACATCCCAAATCTCAAACAACGACAGATTCAGACTTACCGTTTAGCCCAGCATACACCTCAAAGCCGGATATGCCCTTGCCGTAGGCATACAACTTGGTGCCTTCATCACGCTTGACGAACCGCGGTGTCACGGCAGTCGCAAGTGAGAGCATGAGAGTGAGCGTCTTGAAAAACATATTGCCAACGAAGGGAGCGAATGAAGGGTGTGGAGAGTAATAACGAGTGTAGATGCAAAAGTTTGGGAATAAGGGCCCAGTGGAACGATGGAGAAGCACGCGAGTTACAGTATATAACACGGAAGCAGGAATGGGTATTCAATTCTGAGGCTGCTCAGACCTGATGCGGAGATATACACTTGCCGGCGTTTACCTTACTCGAGCACCGGCCACTCATGTCTTTTGATTCGGACGTTGGTGGCGTTCCTCCGAGCGACCGAGGTGGATGTTGGGACCCCTGGGTGCTGACGCGGCTCAGCCTCGTACCTGAATACCGCCGGGCGTGCACCGAGTGACCAGCCCTCGAGGGTGTGTGCGCCCCCGGAAATGATTGCAGGTATTGAGGTCTGCATGTCTTGGCTGCCTGTGTGTGTGGGGGGAGGTCGCAGTGGAGGCAACCTGGGCCCGGAACGGATCCGGTGGATCGCAAGATTATTCGCGTTCGGATTCTCAGAGCCGCCTCCTGGGACATGGCTTTCCTAGGACTGCCTGCAGTGTCAAAGAGAGTTAAAACAAGACTAAGTAATTCTAAATGAGTGCGGACCGGGTGGGGCGTCCCGCTAATGTTTTCCAAAAACAACCCCGCCACATTACACGCATTGATTCTGGCTTGCGGGCTTTTCTTCGGCAGTTACGGCCTATGTTCGCAAAATTTATGGGGCTATAAGCTTCGAATTAGACTTGAAATTCCCCGATAGCGGATCGACCGTTGTTGATCCAATGACGTCGAAGGGGACTGTAATGTTCTAGTCAAGTGTCTTCCCAGTTGGGCGTCTCTCCTGAGATGGCTGATAGAGTGCTCGCAATATATTGCAACATTTCTGATAGATATCTTCGGGAGCTCACCGTGATACTATTCATGGTCATGTTCGTCCACACCATTCTGCGGAAATGACCATGTCATCCTCAGGACGCCAGGCGCTTCAACACACATGCTGACTTTGCATGTCCTCGTGCAGAAGAGCATTCTGGACCATCGATAGATACGTGGACCTGCGTGGGCGCCAAATCCTCATCCCAGAAAGAAGCATGTCCCGGTCAAGCAGAATCCGTTGGACTATGGTTGCCACACTATATGCACTTGCTGTGCCGTTGATTCAGCTGACATCTGCGCCTCCATGGCGCAGGTGCTCTGGCCACTTTGACACCTGATACCGCACCAGCGAAAGCGAAGTGGGCGAAACATGGGATTCGTGGTCCTCATGTGCCACTGCAGGTCCACGAAGTCCAGCGGGAGGATCTGTAGATCTACCCTACGCAAGTCCTCCGAAGCAGAACAGACGAACATGTTTCGAGTCTATGCGACCCTCTTGCCAAAACACGAAACATCTCCGCGTACAAAGCGACGTACAACCTGAGGGCCCGTTCTCGTGACAACAAATCGCCAAAGGAGCGGTGGTGCACATCTGCCGGGACAAGGCCGGGTCCTGTTCCTCGTTTACGGAGAATATATCCACTATTTGTGACAAGCGTACCCTTGGTAGCTCCCACGCATGCACGCGGGTAACCCCAGCCAATATGACGGGGCGGACGCTTTACCGAGCGGCTATATCTGCCAGATTCGTGAATTCTCCTATCGTTCTTGGATTTCGGGATGGCCCGTTCAGTAATGTTTGGGCGTTTTGTTATGTGGGTTTTTGTCTGACGCGTAAGCCATGTTGTCTGAGCGACAACGGTTATCCACCCGATGCTGCGCTATAGTAGCATCACCAAAACCTTTGTCGCTTTCTGGAGACGGCACATGACCAAGGTTGATTTTACGATCATTTTCAACTCTAGTATTCAGTGCATCATGCCAGCACGATTCAATGGTTAGAAGTAAGCAGTCGTGCCTCACGCATAACACGATGGCGAAGCCTCCGGTCTCTCCAGAATTTGTTGTGGGGGGTTGTCAAGTGTTCCTTGGTTTTGACGGCCAGAAATAGTGGAGGAGGCTCGTGCATACTGACTGCAGGCATATCCCAGATGCTGCATTGTGCCATTTTGAGCCGCATAGATACCGCGTGGGGAATTGCACATCCCAAAAGGGACATGGCAATTACGAACACAGGTATCCGACCCCCCTGCCGGGCATACGTGGACGGGGGGACCGTCGGGCTCGGAAAAGTTTTAATAGATCCGAATATTGAAGTATTATGGCCGTGCCTGCAGATGTCGTGCCGTGGGCGACATGGATCTCGTGTCCACCTGACTGGGCAAAGATCCATCATGCAGTATCGTCACACCCTCACCCAAGCACGCTTACGAGAATACGAGCGAGCCCTGCAGTAGGACTGTTCCTCTCGGAATCTCGACGGGCAGTGGCCGCGGAGTCCAGCTCCACCCGGTACACGCCACCAGCGACTATCTGTGACAAGTCCTGAGATCCACTTCAACTCGGCCGAGGCCAAGCGGCAGGAGGCTTGAGTGTGCAGATCTGACTCGGCTACCGATGAACTCAGGACTTGGTGCTCACCTTTGCAAGGCAATGTGGGCCGATGTATAGGCTCGTGGTGTTGACCATGCTGGCCGCGGGAGTTTTCATAAAGCCTCGACGAAGTCGTCGTTGGAAATCTCGACTCATCCCCATCATCAATGCACACCTCTCTTCTGTCCTCGACTAAATAGTCGTTTCATTACACACAGCTTTGTCCTAGCTGGCCTGTCGTTTTATCAAGTCCCACCACTTTCGTTTTCCGCTTGAGCCGGACCAGCACCTCGTTCTTTCAGACATCATGGGACTCAAATCTGCCTTCCTCTCACTCCTCACATTCGTGCCACTCATTGCGGCAGCTCCCAGCCTGTCGTCGTCGCCATCATTGTCCAAGCGATGTGTGAACTCTCCTGATGCGCGTAACTGCTGGGGAGATTTTGACATCTCCACCAACTACTACGACGAGGTCCCTGACACCGGAGTTACCCGTGAATACTGGTTCAACATTGTCAATACTACCGCTGCTCCTGACGGGGTGGAGAGAATAGTCTTGGCGGTCAATGGAACAATTCCGGGGCCAACCATCATCGCGTAAGCAATCACTCCCACCTCCCCGTCCCTGCACGCAGTTGCTGACTTGCTTTTCTCTCTCAGTGATTGGGGTGACACGGTCGTTGTGCATGTGACCAACTCTATGCAAGACAATGGCACCTCCATCCACTTTCACGGAATCCGCCAGAATCACACAAACCAGAATGACGGCGTTGCTGCCATCACCCAGTGCCCTACTGCCCCTGGACAGACAACCACGTACAGGTGGAGAGCTACCCAGTACGGCTCCTCATGGTGGCACTCGCACTTCTACGTCCAGGCTTGGGACGGTGTCTTTGGAGGCATCATCATCAACGGCCCTGCTTCTGCCAACTATGATGTCGATCTTGGATCCATGATCTTGGCTGACTGGTCTCACGACACTGCGGATAACCTGGCTCTCGTGTCTCGCGTCAGCGGTCCCCCATCCATGGACACCGGACTCATCAATGGCACCAACACCTTCACTCAGGACGACGGCACTGTCGTTGGAAAGCGTCACGAGACAGTCTTTACCGCTGGAACTCGGTACCGCATCCGCCTGGTCAACGTTGCCGCCGACACTCACTTCAAATTCACCATTGACAACCACACCATGGAGGTCATCGCCAGCGACTTCGTTTCAGTCAACCCTTACTCGACTGATGTCGTCAACATCGCCATCGGCCAGCGGTACGACATCATCGTGACTGCCAACGCCACCGCCGACAACTACTGGCTGCGGGCCATCGCCCAGACATCCTGCTCCAACAACGACAACCCGGGAGACATCAAGGGCATCATCCGCTACGACGGCACCTCCACGGCAGACCCGACCTCCCACGCCAACGACAGCGCCGCAGTCGACGAGTGCATCGACGAGACAAGCCTGGTCCCCATCGTCAAGGTCGACGCCTCGGACCTCGCCGACGTCTCGACCGACTTCTCCGTCGCCGTCGCCGCCTCCGCGGGCCGCTTCTACTGGTCCATGGGCAACAGCTCCTTCGTCAACCAGTGGAACTACCCCTCCCTGCTGCAGGTCAACGAGGGCAACAACACGTGGTCCGCAGAGCAGAACATGTACCAGCTGCCAAACGCCAACGAGTGGGTCTACTGGATCGTCCAGACCAGCCTGGGAGCCGCCCACCCGCTGCACCTGCACGGCCACGACTTCTGGGTCCTGGGCCAGGGCGTGGGCAAGTACGACGCCGCCACGGCAGGCCTCCAGACCGTCAACGTGCCGCGCCGCGACGTCGTGCTGCTGCCGGCCAGCGGATGGGTCGCCTTTGCTTTCATCACGGACAACCCTGGTGTAAGTTCACATGTCCCTTCCAGCTCATTACCGTGATAGTGGTTCACATTGCTAATTCTCTCTGGCTATTAGGTCTGGCTCACCCACTGCCACATCGCATGGCACACCTCGGAGGGCCTCGCCGTCCAGATGGTGGAGAGGCAGTCCGAGATCGCGGGCCTCACCGACAGCACCGAGCTGAATGACACGTGCGACGCCTGGAACGCCTACGCCACGACGGCCGGCCTCGTCCAGGACGACTCCGGCTTATAGACAAGCGGGTCGTCAGTGTACTGATATAATGGGGCTGGGACTTTTCATGTGTAGATATTGAAGAGGGATACCCGAGCGCTCTTCTCTCGTAGTAATGTGGTAATTAATTAGCGTAATGTGTGGGCTCTGGCCCAGAATAATACAGCTTTCAAGCAGCACGGCACAGCGCCATTGATTCCAGTTTGTTTGTGTTTTTTGCGTTTCGGCTTGGGGCTTCTTTCTTCCCGTCATTCGTATTCTTGCATAGATCTGCCATTCAGAACTTTAACATAATATATCCTTACTTCCCGAACTTGGCCGAAAAATGCAACAACTGGGAGAATGCAAGTGATGACTAACAGAAAGTCCAGAGTTTCTTCGAAATAATGTAATGTTCTGAATGACTATAAATGGCCGGTAGTTGATCTCATCTAGACCGCCGGGAACATATCTAGCAAACAAAGACCCGGGAGTATTCCGAGGAAGCATGGGGCATAGGTACTCACTCTGCATTTTATTACATGTACGATACGCTTTGTTCAAGAAAAATAACTAATTTCAATTACTTACCATTAACTCCTAACACCTTTCCGTGCCAACATGATACTTACCGTGCATCGTAACCATCTCCGCGCTATTTCGCATTCTGCGCACTCTTTACAATACAACTCCATCACCACTCACCCATCATGAAACTCCTGTCCAGGCTGGCGAGGGGCCTCGCCCCTGTCTCTGACAGCCTGACCCCTCTGGGCCAGCGTCTGAGCATCCTGCTGGCTCTCCTCGAAGCGATCGCCCTCAACAGCTAGGGCGGTCAACCGGGCGGCCCTGCTATCCAGGACGCTGAAGGGCCTGTTCATCAGGCCCCGGTCCGACTCCGGGATGTCGTCGCCGTACTCGCGCGGCCTCTGGCCGGCAATGGGCCCCGGGACGCGCCTGACCGGGCTGGCCAGGAACCCCGGGTTGGAGGAGTCGTCCCCCCCGGCGGAAGCCGAGTGCGGGCGTTCATGCTGGCGACGCCACGTGTCCAACACAGCCGTGATGTTGCCGATGGACGGGGAGAAGTCAGCGGGGAGCCCCAGTGTGAGGGGCTCGAGCGAGTTGTTGGGGCCGGTTTCCGACGAGGAGGATGCGGAGTCGCTGACCCAGATCTCGAAGTTGTCCCGGTTGACGCTGACCTGGTACCGCGAGGCCGGTGGAGTGGTGGACACAGATCGGTCTCGGCGCGAGGTCAAAGCTGGCCCTGCGTCGATCCGAGCGGGGGGCTCCGACGGCAGGGGGGGCTGGAGGGATGGCCACCGGCGCCTAGGGCCAAGAGTCCTGCCCTGCGACTGTTCGTCAGTAGTTGGTATGGCTGGCAAAGGCCGGTGGCCAAGATGCTTGGCTCCAGACATGAGTGGATGTCTTGGCGCAGGCGTGTAGGTCAGGTTCCAGTGAGTACCAAAGGAGCTGCTGCTCCCTTGTACCGTGTGGTCAGGCTCGGAGGTACTGGGTCCCTGGATTGACCTGGGGGACAATGATTTCCCTGGATCGTCTGGGCTGGTCAAGTCATTGAAGAGACTGTACGTTTGCTGGCCATCACTGTCGGTCATTGTTGGCGGAGAGAAAGTCACTGCGTTTTGGAGGAGTAAAAGGTCCTCTGTGTTCATGGTAGATGATTCCGAATGACTCTCTCGTTCGGCTTCCTCGGTTTTTGTTCCATCGTTGACGTTTGATTCCACAGGGAAGCGCAAAGCGTCCTGTAGGAGGAGAGCCTCGTCCACTCCCAAGATGGATGAGTGAGTTGATGATGAGTGATCTTCAACCACACTAGTGGGCTGCACCACATTGCCAAGCGGGATGTTCCCAGCAATTCGAAGTGGTTCATTGATCTGGAAAGGGTCGCTTTCGATATCCAAAGTAGCGTGGGACGCGAGCACAATTCTGTCCACGGGCGAGTCCTCAAGAACGAGGATCTTGTGTGACAGGGGACGGAGACGTTGACCAGACCGGTTTGTCCGTGCGAAGGCTTGCAGTTGGCTTGCCTTGTCCGGGAGCGGAGAGGTCAGAATCTGATAAGAAGCGACCTGGAGGTTCACTCCAGTACCAGCCATAGCGAACGGAGCAATCAGGATTCGACTGTGCTTCACAAGCTTAGCCGCGCTCAGACTCATGAAGTTGTTGACGATCTGCTCCTTCTCTTGGCTTGATACCCAGTTGTGGATCAGAACAACATCCTTGCGATGGCGGATCAGAGCGAGGTAAAGGAACACAGCACTCACAACCGTGGGGGTAATGATAACCATCTTCTTCATCTTCAGGTCCTCGCCGGCACCGAACTTGGCCGAGCTGCGATGTTCGATCCGCTCGCGCTCGCGCTTGTCGAGACCCATGCGGTCCAGCTCCTCGAGAATATAGTCTAGCTTAGGACTATCTTTCACGATGTGATCCGCAAGCCGTCGAAGGGGCTCGGACTCCTCGATGTGCAGTCTGTTCTTGACTTGCCTGACGAAATCGCGGATCGCTGCCACGTCGAACGTGATGGGGTCGGCCAAGATTAACTCTGCAGCTGCTGGGAAAAGGGAAACAAGGTAGAGCAGCCCGCGCTGACCTGGGTCGGTCAGCCGGGGGTCCTTGAGAGCGACTTGGTTCGAAAGCTCTTGGACGGCGGTCTTGTGCTGCATTGGTGTCTCCCTAGAGATTACGCTGGGCACGATGGCTTGGACGTCAGAGATGGACTTTGCAAAGAATGAAGAGGTTCCAAAATGCCTGACAACGAGCCTTTCGTCGAACACAACCTTGAATTGGTCTTGGAGGGTCTGGGCGTCGTCCGCATCACCGGATGATTTAGCAGTGTCCAAAGCCGTAACCAACTCCTGCATCGCCGCTGCTCGGCTAGGGGCAATGAGGTTCATGGGCGCGACCCATTGGGCGAGAGTGCACCCGCTGAATGGAGTAGCCGTGACAAACCACACGTCTGCTCCATTCCCGGAGAATTCCGAAACCATTCGGAACGTCAGCGAATCTTTCCTACGTAGAACCTGGTGAGCCTCATCAACCACTACAAAGCCGGCGTTCAAAGAACCCTCTGAGAAAACGTTCCTAAGCCGTGGAGAATCCAGAGTTGTGATGAAGATGTATGATGCCGGCGAAGGGGTCCTGAGGTCACTGTTGACCCCACGGGAGAGCGTGTCGACCAGGGGTTGCAGCGGGCGCGTGAAACGCTTGGGGGCGTTGGTGTGCACCAAGCATAGCTGGTATATCGAGGGGCTTAGCGCAGCAGCCTGGACCATGTTTAAAATGTCTGGCCATGTCTCGATAGCACAATAGAGCGCGCTCACTCCGCTAGGGGTGTGGTCACAGAGGGTCCTGGTGAATGAGCCAGGGACGCAATAACAGACTATGGCGCCGTTTTTTTGACTAGGGCAACTTCTCCCGTTGGCGCCCTCTGGAAGATGGTGTTCAGCGTGTCTGCCAACTTTCTTTCTGCCCTTTCCGCTCCAGTATAGCCTCACCGTCCTCGCAGACTCAAAGCAAAGAGCTCTTAAAAGACATGCCGTGAAGTAGATAAACGTCTTCCCGGTATAACTTAAATTTTATGAGCTGCAGTGTTCAAATCACATGGAGTTTTCAAACCACATGGAATTTCTTTGTTTATCTGGTTTTGATTTCAAAGATTCACGCTAGCAAACACAAAGGGTGCTTTGATCTTGTTCAAGACACAATCACCGTGAACAAAGATGACTTCAAGCATCTCCTCATTAACAAAGGGTGCTTGGATCTTATTTAAGACATAATCACCGTGAACGAAGATGACTTCAAAAGTCTCCTAGTTGTTTACCTAATGTTGATCACTATCATCTACTAGAATTAATGTACATAGTAGCTAGTACTCAGTGCGAAGCTACGTCGCTAGTGTGAAATAACATAAAGATGATATTGAACTACCAGCTATTGTCCCTTCGTATTCTTCCACTTTTAAGTAACCCAGTCAATTTCTTCCTACTTAGAATGTCCCATTCCTATTTATGAAGCGTGCGGATGTATTGTATGAAATCTGAAATATCATCGTCGTCGTGTGAGATTGTGAGGTAATGACCGCGGCCACGATTCTTCTTGAACCCCGGTATTGCTTTATAAAGTAGGCGGTAGTTCATGCGTTCCACGTGAGGATCTGCTTCCCCTTGACGCTCAATTACCTCGTCAAGGTCCCCGCAGAGTGCTTTTGGTAAGATTTGCCTCTCCTTAGCCACAATATCAATTACAGCCAGAAGTTTCCTCTCTCTGTTGAAGCTCCATTTTGCGCCTGAAAATGTGCCAGGGCGTTCCCAGAGATGGCCATAAAGTCAATCAAGATCAACCAATAGAGGCACCTCATTCCGCCCTTCATACCACTGCTCATAGAGCTCTGTGATTGTCCGAATCGACTCATCAACTCTAAGTTGCGGCCGACCCAGCCTCTTATCTGGCAAACTGCATCTTGACTCAAACCGGTAAAAACAATTTATACAACTCCGGGTCTCAGCCATATCCTATCGATAAGGAAAGCGGATACACTGTACGAAGGGGCCCAGGCTGGCCTGGCACTTGGTGCAGGCTGGTAGTTATTCTTCACCATATAGGTGAAGGAGTGCACTCTGCATTGCTCTAATGGTTGATTTGAGGTCCCCATGTGATACTAGATCGCGGAGTTCCAGATGATGTCTCATGCGTGGAAGTCTAAGGAGACCACATTTCGCTATGAGATGGTTTGAACCTGATGAGAAGAACTCTGAAAGTTCTCTCATGAACTTTGCTTCCAACTGCTCCTCGGGCTCCTCTGTTGGGGCGCTTTAAATCATGGAATGAGCGTGGCTTCCATGTGCCCCTTTTCTTGAGTGATTTCCCTCTTCCGCTGTGGGAAGTGGTGCTGCTGGCCCTTCGCGTCGTTCTAACCTGACTGGATGCGGTTAAGACTAAGATGTAGCCATGCCTTTGGCTTCGGAGTCAGCTTTTCCCGTGCGGTACAGGTTTTCATATGTTTCCTTCCCATGAGTTGAGATCAATCTGAACAGTAACTGGGTTAATAGCCGCGGAAGGTCATCGCATGCCTCCTTAAGGGCGTCCACCGCTGCACGAACATCTTCATATGCAGCCTTGGCCTGCTCATACTCAACCTGCTTAGCTTTGAGGCACTTAATATACACCAACAAAGCGTTTTGTAGATGCTTGAGCTGGGGCCAGGCAACAGGATGCACCTATATTTAAAACCTTTATTAGCCCACTTGAGATCCAATACCAATCACTATGGATAACTCACGGCTATGCATTCACTCCCATTTAAAGCAGCGTTCATCACTCTAGAGTTGACCTTCTTAAGCTGTTTGCAACCTTTGCATTTAGAAAAGTCTGACACAAAATAACATTCGCCAACAATCAAGCTTATAAGACTAAGCCTAAATAGTTTCGTTAGCTGTATATCGAGAACACAAAAACCTAAAAGCTATACCTACTCAAGAATGCAGTTTAGACACTATAAATGGGGAAAACCTTCCTTCTCTTCCTCCAACAGGTCGAAACCAGCTATTTAAGCTACAATCACTACACCTCTCCTAAAACCAGCCGCAAATAATTCATCGTCCTTTAGCGAAACATAGGGTGCTCAGCCAAATGACATCAGGATACCATATCTACTTCTTATGCCCTGAATCGGACGATTGATGAGATATTCCTATTAGGTTAGTATTAATAACTGGCAAGGCTCCACAATACTAAATTATTTTGCCTACATTAGCTACTTGGTCATACAACATGCCATAGTTTCTGTGGAGCTGAATGAGGAGGTTATCTTCTTGACGAGACCACTGGTAGTTCCTTGCGCTTGAGATGTTTCCGGATGATATTGTGTGACATATCTCCCGAAATTGCCTCAGGGTAGACCGTGTGGTTAAAAAGTTAAACCCTATATCATGAGGCTATGTTAGATTCGTTTATTAGGGGGAGTTAACGGGGATGGCCTACAGTCAGGTAGCTGCTTTGCCTCTTGTGCGCATTCATCTATGTTTAGGACCTGGAACCCTCTCGTCTCATTGGCAAAGTCCCCAAAGCTAATAATGCTATCCTCTAAGGTATCTGCGTAGCAGAGTGAATACCCACCCTCTCTACTCCCCTCATCTAAAGTAGATGCAACTCCAGATTGCTCCATCGCATCCTGCTCTAAAGCTGCATCATCTGGGAGCATTGGCTGATCCTGAGATTCCGTCGTTAACTAAAGATCTACTTATCCATCAGGCAACCTTAAGGGACAGAAATACATCAGAACATACCATAGCTAGGCCAGAATCGTCTTCCAAGATCTTGGATAGCTCCGCCGGGGTCCACCTAACTAATTCACCAAGTACCGAGCATCAAACAAGATCGGAAACATAATCCAGTAGCTATCTAATAGTCTCCAGGGCATTTTCCCATGCTAAAGGATAGAGAAAATGGCCCGTTGCTTTGAATTTCACCATAAACTAAGCGAAAGCCATCAACTTATAACGATGCAAGCCACAGACGGCTCTGTTAACGCTTTCGATATAACTTAAGGGCAGTTTCTAAACCCAAGGGTTTGCCTAACTGTCGCTCAGAAACCTGTATAACTAAAGTGCCAGTACCTTAATGTCAAGGTTTAGGCCCAACATCACCCCCCTGCTCAAGTGCTGATCTCAAGCGTGATAGCTAATAAATTAAGGACTAGTATTGCAAAGTATTGTTTACACTCTACGCGGAGACTTGAAAGTTGCCAGTATCTATTAAGCCTAACATAAGTGCCCTGCGGGCATCAATGCTAACTCAAGATCTTCACCCAGCGGCTTAATAATTGCTAGCTCCCCAGCCGCTAATATCAAGTATCTAAGAGCTTTCAGCACCTCTCAGCCCAACGCTACTTTTCACCCAGTCAAACAACACCAGCGTTTCCGGACCCATAAAAATAACCACCTTATAAGTCTAAAGATCATAAAGACTACCCCTGCAGAGAATCTAGAATGCTGGCCAATAATGGTAGAGTAATCCTGTAAATGGTTAAACGGCAACGCATAAGAATTTGCTCATTGATTATTTCTGCTCAATGGGTCCTAGGACCTCTCTGAGAAATGAAAGTGACGCAACTAGCTAAGAAATTACTAAATAAACAATTTAATGTGCTAAACAATAGCAACAGTAGTGCAAAGAAACATAATGAACCAATCCAAATCATGATACTCAAGGCATGCTAAGCAGCTCCCTCACGCCACAATGTAGCAAAGTTTGCATCCTACTCTCATTCAGCGCCTATAAGCGCCTAAAAGTCCAGAATCCCATCCATGCGCCCATCTTTAAAGAAGTCAGCAAGTACATGCAAAACTACATCTAATGAATATTCTGCCTCCCAAAGCGGCCCAAAATAAGAACGCATGTCTGCATACAGGTCGTTAATCTCATCAACTGCCTCCTCTATCAAAATGTGGCGAATGCGCCTGGGGCCACCTGTATTACTAGAGAGTGATATGAAACTCCAAGTGCAAGCCACAATGCGCCGAAATGCACCGCAAAGCCCTAACCAAAGCCGAAAAGAGAAAGCAGTTACAACTCTATCATCCTAAAAAATGCCTGTAGTACCCTAAGCTAGGGGCGTTAATGAATTTTGATATTTATGATTAGCATCATCAGAGACGACATAGGAGGGGCGTGATTAATCCATATAGCCCTGGCACTAAACACGCCAGCCATTAACGCCAAAGTGGCTGGGTTGTCTGTAGGTAAGGGTGTCCTGAGTGGTAGCAGGGTTATCTCCCATGCCAACATGCAAGGGGATGTCCCAACTGTTGACTGGTGCCATTTCACTCCTGGTCCATCTGTCATTGTCTTGCCGTGTCCATTCAGCTGGAATTCAACTAGGAGAGGCCGCAACAGCTCTGTTTCTCTGTCTCTCCAACACCAAGGCAATGGGAACAACATTCTCGAGGACTTGGCTGGCGAACTGGTTGAGAAGCTGATGTGCCTTTCGGGCGATTAAGTGCTGGATGACCGAGACAATGCCGTCAATCCTTTCTTGAAGGCGGTCTTCAACATGGATGGGGCTATGCATGAGGCGGCTTGTCGAGGTTCTCAAATTGTGGTGATGTTGGTCCAGTATTTCCTGAACCATGGTGACCACCTGGATAGGTGCCTCGGCGGTCATAGGATCAACGTTCATGTTGTCTTGGTGGCGAAGCTCATGGTAGTTGATAGATGCATTGGTGTCAACCCGTGATTGACTGCAAAAGGGACACATGACTGAGGCTCAAGGCTGAGGGTGAGGGGGTAACTGGGTAAGTTGTGTGTGCTGAGGGCTGTGTGACCTGGAAATCCGTAATGTCTGGCTTAGTTCATTAACTGGCAAAACTTTATCGCTAAGATAAACTCAATATGAAGCTCCGAGTTCACATTTTCCCGGGCTATATAAAAGCTTAATTTTACTTAGTGCCTACCCAGCCAGCAGCTATTTTCACCAAGCTTACCAAGATCTAGTTGTCTGTCCTATTGGTTTCGTTGCGTATGATGAGGCATGCTATCAAGATTTTCGATATTAATTCCTTTCAGTCTCTGGCGTTGTGCAACTAATGCAGCATACATACCGCCATCCTGTCTTAGAAATCTATTCATTCACAGCACTCTCTTTAAAACAGGCATTGGCATACTTAAAGCTGCCTACTAAGTAGTCTGCATCGTGATTAAGTCCACAGGCATCTTGGCTTACATCTCGTGACTCTGGCGGTATGGCAGCTAACAAAGGCATGAACAAGACATCGTCCATGCGGGCTGGAATGTGGGAATATCTTTCCTAGCTGCATCACATAGTTCTTTATCTCGCCTGGAATTTGCACATCAGTGGACACCATGTCTCTGGCACAGATAAAAATTGATCCACGGTCTCCACCGAGTGGCCACCTTGCCCTTTCAGGATTGAGTGCAAATCAACCAGTCCATCTCATCCAGACCAGTACTAGGGTCAGCCCCAGGCAGCTGTATCGCGTACTTCAAATGCATGCAAGTAAGCTTGTGGCTAGTATGCTTCTTGCTAAGATGTATTAACATGTACCTTAACATGCATCTAAACTGCCTCAAGGCACAAATATGAAGGAGAAGACACAATCTGACATTAACCCATCTATACCTGACGATCTAATCAACTTAAGACAGCTGAACTGCTCCACCAGAGGCCAGCAAAACCAGAGACTAAAGACTGAGAGATTCCAAAAGAAAGAAGAAAAAGAAGGCGGGGCCAAATCCAGCCATTCCCAGCAACATAGTAAACATAAGACACAGTCCAACTCACTTCAAGAAAAGCACCATCCTATTCATCAAGAAATTCAACCCGAGATTAAAACATAAACCAATGAAAAAGCCCCAGCCCCATTAGCCACCCTCAAAACATTCCAAAACCTTATCATAATAACGCCAAGTAGTCTCGTTATGCAGCGTATCTGCAACAAGAGCAACAAGATCGAATTTAGTCAATTCGCCCTTTGCTTCCTGTGGATTTTCTTATTTCCAAATCTTGGCCGACATATCCTCATAGGCTTGCAAGATATCCTCGGGAGTGGCAGTCCTCAGGACGGAAATAAAGTCATAGAAATCAGTTGGTAATTTAGCAAACAAGTCGTTAATTTCGTAATGCACAGCCTCCAAGTAAATCTCTATTATCCTCATTATAAGCTGCACAATTTCAGGCTTTAATTAAGTAGGAAGGAAAGGGCTTACCATATCTTAAGAATCCTATGCCCAAGAAGTCGTAAAAATTCAAATAACCCAAGAAGTCAAAAGCAACCTCTCCTGCAGCAAATTTCACAATCAATTCAACCAGCATATAGCTCCAGGCCTCCCTTGCCATTACAAGCAAAGCCTAATGCAAGAAGTCGGGTTCACGGTTTTCAGCTACACCAACAGCCTCCCGTGCAATGCCAATAACTTCGCCCCCTAGTATTTTAATTGCGGTTAAAGCTGCTCCTCCTGCTAAAAGCAGTTTAACGCCGATCTTTAATAAGGTAAGACCAACATCAATCCACCCCATTGTCATTTAAGTGGGAAGCCTGTTTCAAGATAAGAATAAGAGATTAATCAATCCTCAGCAGTATAATTTGGAAAGGCTGGTTGCAGGTGCTATTAATTATAGTAGGCATACTTAAGATTTATATTGAATTGAACACAACAGGAACCATCAGGCCCCAGGCATTCTTCTATTAGGAAGGTGGCTTGCCACAAAATATGCAACTCATTGGCTATATTGTAGGATCTCTCCCGGCACTGCCGATAAACAACAGTAGTATATGTCTGCCACTATACAACACATTCACAATAAAGTGCCTTTATGGACGTGCCTCATGTTAAATATTGTGTCTTTGATGATATGTCTCATGTTTACCATTGTTTCTTTGATGCCGTGTCTTATGTTCACTATTGGGTCTTTCGTGCTGCTTGTGAGAGATGGCGATGTTTCGGTGAACTTGGCATTGCAATTTATTAGAACGAGAGGAATTGCACACCATGAGGACGGAGGTGGTTGAAAAGCTTTAATTCTACTAAGCAGGAGCTCATTCGTGCCACTTACTTCAGACAGGTGTTCAAGATGTCCAACTCACCATATTTGCATAATTTCACAAACTGGTCTAAGTTTACTTCCGCCAAACTATCGGAAAAGCTTAACAGCCTTGGCATTAAGGCCAAAAAAGGAAAGGCTCGCCGCCAAGCTCAACTAAATGTCTGAGAGCTCGGTATCAACTCAGATGCTGCCGAAGAACGGTTGGAGACTTTGTATGGGATGAGACTTGCCAAAGCCCAGGCGCTTGCCAAGCAGTACCCTATTCCTACTAGGAATGGACGCCTCTTCAACCTCATCAAGCACATATTCCTCTACAAGCATCTAGTCCTGCCCAACAACAAAAGCGCATTTAACACAACCTCAAACAAGAAAACCTACCAAGCTCCAACCCAGGCGTTCACGGGCAGTAGCAATGCCCCGGGCCTCACGTCAGTTTAAGAGGCTAGGGGCTTCCTGCCGCGACGGCAGCAAGGGCGCACAGATCGTCTTCATAACAGCCAGCCTGCCTTCTCACGAATTCAATCAAGGGCGCTAAGTCACGGCAGCACGGGCTCGTCACCACACAATGTGTTGGCAACGCTCCGGCATAGCCACGCCCAGCATCAGGCCGCAATTGCTAACGTGTTACACAGCCTGGAGGCAAATGTCCGGATGATCAAGGAGAACATGGCGTCCGTGAGGAAAATCGGGAAAGACTCAGATAGGGAGTTTGGTGAGCTCATTGCCATGATGGAGGAGAAAATGAGGCTTTGTGACTGTGGGTTGGACTTTGAGTAGAACTCGTGGCACGAGTATAGATCTCATCACTTATCGGACCTCAACGGGCTTGCTTTCTTTTTGGTATCGGGTCTTGTTTCTAGAGAGCTTTTGCGATAGATTCCTTATCATAAACCACAGTGTTGTGTTCTTCCAGCCCGAACTCATATTGCACGCCTAGCTACTGAGTCTGCTTGCTCACTTTCGCCCTGAAAGCGTTGTTGTTGTTTTCAATCTCCTCTAGCTTGAGAGCACGCAGCGTTTGGATGGAATCAATACTATCTTTGAGTGCCTCTTCTCTCCCGGTCTTGGTACAAGGCCATCCTTGAAGCCGGCACACCAATTGCAACCGTTCCAAGGCTAGTATTTGGGTTCTGAGGTCTGCACTTCTGGTGTAGGGAGCAGATATCTCAGGGAGATCCGGTGGGCTCCGTTGCGCCTGTTTAGCCAGATAGGCCTCCCTGGGCACCATTAATTGCAGGAAATCATTGGGAAACCGGCCTGTCCGAGACGACGGCGGTGGGGAGGCAGGCAAGGATGTCGTGGATGAGCGACGTTGCAGGTACCCTGGGATGGCTTCGAGGGGCTGGACGGGACTCGCAGATTCCTCGGACCACTTGTTAGTGGGGCGGCTTGGCGGCTCGGGTTGGAATATCCGGTTGGTTGGCGCAGTTGGTGTCACTGTCGCCGGCTGTTTAACTGGTTGGGAGAGGGGTGTATTGCTGTGGCGTTCAAGCATGAAAGGCGGGTTCTGTGTGAGTGGCAGATGCTGAGGTTGAGCCTGCGGCGAAGAGAAGGTGAATTTGAATGTGGGCATGCGGGCCCAGGTTCTCCCCTGGTTGGATGCCTGCGGTGCTGTGTCTTCTGGGTCGACAGGCTGCGGTGTGAGAGGAACGGCATCGGGGCCGAGGTGGCCCGGGACCGATCTGAGGGGAGGGTCTGTGGCGTGTGGTGGAGGGCCAGCAAAGACTCCCGCGGGCGTGCGACTGACACGCAGTGCGTTCCTGCTTTTCAGGTAGCGACCCTCTGGGTACGACTGGGAAGTCAAAATCTGGGGTTGTGCGTCATGTCTTTCGTTCACCATGGGTGGTTCGAGGCTGCCAGACCAATCTGGGCCTAGCCACTCGTTCGTATACGCTGGCCACGCTGCAGCCCAGCTGCCGTCCGGCTGTTTGAAATTGGTTATGATGGCTTTTCGGGCCAGGAAGATGAGCTGTTCTCTGATCGCCCTTTTGATGCTTGGGGCCAGGCGCTCCGACACAGCCTGGCCGTAGGCGTTGATGCCCAGGGCATCGTGAAGCTCCTTGATACCCGTGGTCTGATAATTGTCGAGATTAAGGCGATGCCGAGCGCAATGAGCCCGGATCTCTTTGGTATGACGGAACCAATCGATCTGGACGGTAGGATCCCTCATGATGTGCCACACGTGCACCCCCTCAATCAGCATGTCCGGGTATCCTGGATAGACAAAACGTTCGGGCGAGCACCCGGAGTGGGTGGTGGGAGCCATTGCAAAAGACAGGTGGGAAGGAACGGCCTGTGTTCAGGCAGCAGTGGTGGCGGCTGGACTTCAGGAATCCCAGGTGGTTGGCAGAGGCTGACATGAAAACAACGACCCCCGAATAAGACGGGTGCCAGGCTCTTCAGGCGCAGGCTGTCTACCTAGGTAGGTCCCTGGCAGCCCCAAACCCCGGCTCTATCCCCCGTTGGCTGCGGCGGAACAAAGACGACGTAGGTATTTGACACCGAACTCCCAATCCAAGTCTGAACGGAAGCGCCCCGACGGAGCTTTTTGAGCCTGGTCGTTTTGCTGCTGGACCGTCCTGCCCATCGGGTGCAGTCCCTTTCGCTGATCGCAACCTCAAGCTGTTCCCCTTCTCCAAGTATGCCGCCGCCCCGGGCACAAGAGCCTCATGTAAGTGCCCCTGATGCGCATGACGCCAAGAGAGTGCTAACAAGACGCTCTTCAACAGCCCCTCGGCTTGGCTGTAGCAATCGCTCAGTCGACATTCGAAGCCCGATATCAAGTCGAGATGTCACGACTCTCGTTCACTGGATTATGCACGCACCTGGCTGTCCTGATTGACTGGGATTACGTGATCGAAGACAAGGCACTGGATCAGTTTCTACTCCAGCATGGCAGGTTCACGCAGATGAGTGCATTTGGCAACATGTCCTACCACGAATGGTTCCTCATGATGGTAGATGGCCTTCCCGTTGACGATCGCGCCCCCATCATGACTCGGCGGGTGCTCAAGCAGATCTGTGATGAAAACCCATACTCTTATCGGCTTACTCTTGAGCAAATGGGAGCCCTTGTCGGCGCCATCCATATCAACGAGTCGAACGGTCAACGAATGGTGCCTCATCAGTTCCAGGAGATCAATTTGGGTGAATGGATGAGGGTTGAGATCCCGTTTGTCTGTAGGTTCTCGCCGGATTCTCGTGTCAAATTTTACATTCTCACTCTTTGAACAGATAAGACCTCTGACGACAGATATCCTCCGAGGATAGGAGAGCAGGTCAATCTCGAGCTCGCAGGTTTCCAGGGACGGGACGCCATCCGTCTTGTACAAGGCACAAGGCTCATGGGGTATGTTCGCGAGTTTGCGATCGAGCAGGCACGCAGGTTTGTCAACTGGCAGGCTCTGGTGTATCGCTGGGATCACTCGCAACAGTCTTCAAACGACACAATGTACGGCAGAATACTTCTCTGGTATCTCCAGGACCATTCTAGTCATCCTGGGACGCAGGCTTGATATTATGGGGGGTTTTCCTCATTCAAAACATGGTCAACTTTGATTCCATCACCAGTTCGTGTGTGAGATAGACCGCCAGCTACCTGCGACGGGCCCGTCACCAACTGCTACTTAGGTAGATTTGAACTGCCAATATGCCCATAGTATGTCAATCTCGCAAGCGACCTTAACCGCCTCTCTGTCTAGCTTGACCTTCCTGTCAGTCAGAGCCAGGATCCGAGACTTCAACTGCTCCTGAGACAGCTGAGAAGGGTGGAGGGTGGTGCGTGACGTGGACGCTGGCTCTTGATCGAGCACCGCTGACGGCAACTCGCGGGTCACCCGGGCGTGTGCAGCTGCCGTTGTTTGGGTCATGCCTCCGTCGGAGCCACCTGGTTCAATGTTACCTCCCAGCGACTGCTGGGATACCGTGGTAGGAACTCGAGCATGGCGGCGAAAGTCAGTCGTGTAAGCGGTGGAAGCGGCCAATATTGGGTAGGAAGTTAACTGTAGCAGGGCTGAGGGGGGCTGTTCGGTGTTTGGGTAGGCGCCAGGAATATTCTCCGCCGATGAGGCGGCCATGGGTTCCCCTTGACCTGTGGAGGATATCGATGGTTTCGTGGTTTTGGTCTCCGCCGAGTGATGTGGGACAGCCCTTGCATCATTCGCTCGCTGGTCGAGGTGCCTTTGCCACTCGTCTCTTTTGTCAAGGGGGATCAGCGGCGTCAATTCCGGGTCCAGGGGCAGGCCACTTATGCCACTTTTCTTGATGAGTGCCGCAACGACGACCCTCGGATCCTCCTCGCAAACCTCCTTAAGCCTGTCCGGGTCCGCAACCCGAAGTCTCAAAATCTCGGTACGCAGGGATTCGGTAGACGGCCTAGTGGGGAGCTCTTGGCATGGTCAGCGCAAGTTCGACGAAGGGCCTTGGGAGAACGGACGTCATCCCCATTTCTCGTTCCTTTCGGGGGCCCCATCCTGACCACTTTTCCCTTCCTCGCCATTATGTTCAGGATTTGCCTCGTATGCGGCATCCGGCGAGGAAGGGACCTCTCGGAATATAAGACCGACATTGTTGTCCTCGAGGAACTTCCTGCATTTCCCCCGTCCGTCGTGGCTACCTGTCCATTCCCGGGTGTAAGGCTGGTAGACCAGTTCAGGGCCACCACCTGTTTTTCTTTTGCATGCCCCTGTGTCTTGTAAGATCCCGAGCATCCTCTTGACTAATCCTTCAAACCGAGGGTGGAAAAGGTTGTTAAACTGCTGATCATGATCCAAGCAGACGTGTTTGTCGTGGATCAGTTCGTCGAAATGTTCCCGCAAATTGGACACGTTCAGGTTGTGCTTGACGAGGTGGATGCATATTGAAACCTTGAGCTCTCCACACCACGGGACACGTGGGGCTGCCTTCCCTGGCCGTGGGCGGAAGTCATAGAACTCCCGAGTCGCTTTCCCCTCGATTGTCTGCCAAGATGTAGTTAGCTGATGACTGGTTGTCCCAAACACCGTGCGTTCTGGAGGGGCTGTACATGGGCAGAGTTGTCCTGGCACATCCTTGTCTCGTCTGACTTCTTGGCTTGCCAACGGGCTTTTGGAGTACGGTGAATGTTGATACGGTGCCTAGAAGGATGGTGTTTGATTGCAAGAGGGAATTTTAGCAAAAATGATAGCCTGATGGAGTCGCTGGGGCTCTGGGGTTAATCAGCGCAGTGTCAACTTGAAGTGAACAAAGGAACAGCCAAGTATGAAACATTGCATGACGTGGGAGCAAGGCCCTCAGCCCCCCAGTAGCTGTGCTAAGATTAGTATATGATTGCTGCGTCAACATTCACTAACAACTGTGTTTCCTGTACAGATTGCGGGATGCATTGCAGCTTTTTAGTGCTTATATTAAGTAGATAAGGGCATGTCATCAGATGCCGGAGACTACTTAATCTGCAAAATCTATTATAAATTCCCTGTGCTCACCAGGTCTTGCCCAGGAATATCCTGCAAAGCGACCCCAAGTTCTTATGAAAGCCCCCACCTCGCCATTCAAAATGTCCTGGTATCGTTCGATAAAATTGACTGCCTCCAGAATGCTTCCCTCTAGCTGACCCTCAGCAATAGCATCGTTTGTTTGTTTGCTGTCTAGGCGTCCCTGCTTGAGTAGATAATTTTGTAGCTGAAAAGCATTCTCGTCCCATTCTCTCTGTAGGAAAAGTCGGTGGTTATTGGCCAAGTCTAGTTGCCCGAGGAAAACTCCGACTCTGGTCATGGCAAGGCGTGAATGCGCAGTGATAGCGTTATGTTGCAGGTTGGATACAAAGCCCGGCTGCAGCTTGCTAAGAGGCCGCCCATTAGTGCTCGTGAGTGATTTCAGGAGCCACCCAATGATAGTTTTTTGATACACCCTCTTCCATAACAGCCACCGAGCATCGATCCTGAAGTACTGGTCCACCGATTGCGTGGCCTCCTGCAAGGATCCATAGGCAGCGGCAACCAGTTTCCCCATGTCTTTGGCAAGCACGGTCTCCACATCCACCAGTTGACGCCTTTGCATAGATATTGACACTAATATTTCGGACTCAGCATCTAGGAGTCGATCCGTGATGCTGGCGAGTCTCTCCTCTCTTGTCGGCTCTGGACTGTCCCTCGCATGCATTAAAGCGTGCCACCACCACCACGGTGTCGGTGATTCTTCAAGGACAGCTTGCAGCTCAAGGAGAGCCTGGTTTAGGGAGACTTAAATTATGTCCAGATGTGCTGCAAGGCGTTTTCTGTCCTCAACTTGCACGGCAGCTATATGGGATACACTATTCGCGGCGCCCCTAAGGTTACTCACAACGTCTTGATAAGAGGAGTGGACGTTGTGCATCTGCGCTGCCCAATCGATGTTCCGGGCGGTAATAGAAATCCGGTTATATCTAGGGTCCTGAGAAGGGAATCTTGTGGGAGGTGCTTCTTCCTGCTGGACCGGAGCGATGGGGTCGGGGACTGCATTTGGAGTTCGAGCAGATTGGAAGAAGACGTAGACTGTAATGAGCACCACGGTTGCAAACGTGGCGAGGAGTGACAGGCGGTAACGGGAAACGCGCTGGGGAGGTTTAGCCTTGGTGATTGCTGGCTGGCTGATCTGACTGGTGGCGGGCCCGTTGGTTTGATTGGTAGTGGGATGACTGGTTTGATTACCCCTTGCTGTTGTCCAAGCAGCAATCAGCCTGGTTAGAGCAGCTGGGCTGAGTGTGTTCTCGTTCTCCGGCATATCTGTGCTGTCTTGTTGATGTTGTATGGTATCTGGTGAAAGAGCTTGAATTAGGGCTACTAAGAGCCAGACAGTGGGAGTATGATAGGCAAGGGCTGACAGTGATTTCATATTAAAGTGGCACCTATTCCGTCTTAAGGACATTCAGAGCCCCAGGTGATGTTTCCTCAATTGCCTGCTAGATAAGCCTCAAACTTCCATCAGCTTGGGGATAAAGGAGTTGGTTCCGGGTGTTGCCACTCCGAAGCCACAGAATAGATAATGTTATGAATCACTCTGTCATATTTAATCTAATCATTTCGTGGCTTAGATGATGGTGAACCTATCCCGTGTCTGCTGGCTGGCTCTGTGTTCTGAAGGAAAGACTGCTATGACGGCTTTAACTGAGCAGAAGCTACCTTCCGGGATTTAAAAAGAGAAAACGATGCTTTGAGATGATGACATGTGATACTTTTCGGCCCCAGTGCCTTCACAGCCTCGTGTAAACACATCAGGGAAGTCTGCACACGGAAATAACGTCTCTTGAGTCACGGCTCTAGATTGATGTGTCTTATTCCTGTTTATTTTCGCCCCAACAGAAAAGTAACTACCACAGTAGGCCTAAGCCCTAGATCAAGCCTCTGGAAGCTTGGCGCCCAGCCCTGAGCTCTGCTGATAATCAGCCTTCGTCTCTATCCAATAAGGACATTCAAGGCTGTCCGTGTTGCCGGGTCACCATCAGATCCTAAGGGGCCCCTAATGTCCAATGATGACAGAGCGAATCAGACACCTTGGCACCTTGGTACCCAAGAGGTTTGAGTACACCATACATTCTCCTCAAGCCTCCTCAGTACGAAGTTGTTCTTTTCACCTTTTCATCATCTAATATCAGGGGCCCTACTAATATCTGACAATGAAACGGCGGAAAGAAACAACTTCGTACCAAGAAGGCTTAACTTCAACCACTCACTTCCTTCACCTAAAGCAGTATCCAGACAGACTGCTCCTTGCCTTGCCCATGAAATCCACCTCCATGCGCCTCGCGACCCAGATTTCTTCAGAACCAGCTCATTCGTTTTAGATCCGTTTTCTTGGCTTTAACGGTGACTCTCACAAGTCATTCATTCCCTGCCAACCAACAAATAGAACCGAGAAATACCTAGGGCCCTACAGATATTTCTCAGGTCTATTGATGGACTTTGGGCGAAGTCACATGTCAAGCAGCCACTGCCATCCTGCCCCATGTCTATAGCCTCCATGTGCAAAAGGTTTCCCAATCAACAGCCTTTTCCAGCATACTTTGCAACCTCTTCGCCACCATTCGCGATCCAAGGAATCGTCTTAAAAACTTCTTCGTCGTAACGAAGGACCGATCAGACTTTTCCACTTATCTTACGCGCCACAAATCCACATACTTAGTAGTAAACCTGAACATTTCCTCTATCATCTCGGCTTCTTCCTCCTTGTTCCTTAGGGCGTGGTGGATTCGGTAGTGTACCCACAATTGGTCAGGAAACCTAAACACCCGCTCAGCCGGGCAAAGTCTGCATGTTAAGTCCCTTCTTAAGGGACGTAGTGGAGGCTCCGGGTTGCAAACAAGGTCTGTATCTGAAATTGTGTGGGTCGAATTATTGGCGAACAATGCAGAGAATGGAAGCGAGCCTTCAAACGTGGAGAAACTACCGGTGCTAATCGGCTTCACAAGACCTCGTGGTAGGCCTCGAGCTTGGCATAGCACGTCGAGTTGGATGCACATCGTCTCTTCCATCGTGAGTGCGGTAAGCTATTATGAGTTAGAAATTATCCCCAAGTAAGATGAGCAAGCACAGGCTATAACATACTTGTAGTAGGCATGGTGGAAAATGAACCGCACAGTGCTCCGGTGTAGGATAATCGTACTGGCGGAAGGTTTGCGCCGAACTCATGCACGAAGATCGTGAAAGGTTGCTGCTTTGCGACTCCCAAACAATGTGCGAAGGGCAGATGCAGTGGGCGTGGTGACAAAGATGTGACGCGTGAAATTTGTTCGCCGAATCTCCCGTCTCCCAAAATTTTGCCCAATCAGATTCGTCCTTCCCATTAGGCCAGTGGCGGTCGTTGTACCAGACACCTGCCCTAGCATATGCCATATTCCGCTTGAGAATTGTCCACGCAAGGCGTCTCTGACCAGGGGTTTGATCTGTTCTGAACTGGGTATTAAGGTATTGAACATAGCTTTTCAAGCCATTGGCCTGGACATCCTGAAGCATAACAGCTGGATCAACCCCAGACCACTCCATGGGGACTAGGACGCAGGTGCTTCGGTGTTCGGGGGCGACCCCCCACTGACCGAGAAGATGTCTTTGATGAGAAAGGAATTGTTGTTCTGCCGCTTTAGTCGGCATATTGCCGATTTCGGGGATAGGCTCATGCAAAAGGATGTCACCATCTTCCGCTGGCTTAACGGACTGATCGTTTCCGGAACCTCTAGAGCCCTCGCCGTAACTTTCGCCATTACCATCAATGGATTGTGGTGAGGAAGTGTCGGAAGTGCTGGGTTGCGGCGAGCCTGCTTTAGGAGGAGGGATGACGAGGTCACCTCTTATGCTGGCCAGTAATATGCTGTGCCGGAGAAAAACGGACCATTGTTCTGGATCATGATGGTTTGTCCCCGACTCGGATGTATACTAGGGGCGGTGTACCCATTCGAGCTAGCATGAGATATTGTATGCGCTGATATAGCGGGCAGGCATGGTATCCTCTTTAGTCCAAATGGCGTGATCTTGAGAACAGAGCAAAAAGCGCATCATGAACCGGAGGCGGTGTTGGTTACTGTCCCAGGTGCTTGTATCTGGAGTATCGTCCTGAAAGAAGATCCGGCTTTTCTTGCTGATGATACGTTTTGCCATCCGCAAGGTGGTCTTGGCCGCGGTCCATGTCCATTCAACTTTCTCTGGAGCCCACTGGTGCAGCTGACAGGTAACAGGGTTTAGATATCCCTCAGCGTACTCCAGGTACGTCTTCAAGAACCACGATTCCGCGAGAAATGCGGCTAATTCTCGATTTGTATGCAAGTGCAAGGACTTCAATGCACTGTTCTTTGTGTGCCAGCGGCGAAACCCCTGCTGGTCTGATTGAACGTAATCATTTAGCTCCGAGAGGTCATCATTGAAGACCTTCCCATAGCTGCATTGCAGATCGGTTGGTTCCTGCTCTTCTCTCGTGATAGACCATGAGACTTGTCGATTTGTGCAGTCCTGGCCTTGCTGCATCAGTGGTGGATTGTTGTTGATAACTCCGCGGTTGGTGAAATTTTGATTTGCCAGGATTGATAATGTGCTTTTTCCTGCTGCTGGAATGGTAGGACTGGAAGACTACTGGGATTTCTTGAGTAGATCCCAGCGCCTCCGCTACGTGTTGCTCTCATGCCGTATGTTCTAGATTAGCGGTTAGTAGGTGAGCAGGAGGCATTAGAAATGACTTGATACTTATAATTAAAGCTAGGTGATTGAATCGGGCATATTGTTCCATAAGGCCAGTAATTCCTTGTTTAATGGCCAGCTAATTCCAACAGGATAGGACAGTATCATCATTATCTGTAAACTTGTTGATAATAGAGCTAGGGCTGAAATATCGACAGGTCTCCTCGGAGCGAGTTCTGATAGGAGAAACGATTTCTCCGTTTACGCCTATTGATGTGGTTGCTAAGGAGAGCAGTGTAAGCTTCCTATTTGTTGTGAGGTTGAAGTAGGTGATGGGGTGGCTGGGAAAGGAATTTATGGCTTCTGGAATAGAATGACTTAGGTTTACGGGGAGAATGGAGAGGCTATTATGACTGTGATGTCTTGGTTTAGCGCTACCTACTCCTATGTAGAAGGAGCTTTTCAAAATTAAAGAATATAATAGAATAAAGGTGGAACAACTTGGAATCTCTTTTCTTTGATCTTTATTTTCTTTATTATGTATGTCTTATAAATTTCTTTATTATGCATGTCTTGTGTCACGTAGGTCTCCTCTATTGTCAATGTTTTCTTTGTAGGTTATCTCTTTGTCTGTCTTACTACGAGTATAAACCATTAGACTTTATATTAACTGTTCTTTTTTAAGAACTTAAACCTTGAGTGTTATATAATCTGAAAGAAAGAGGTCATTAGCAAAGGAATACCAGGGTTGACATGACAGGTTTCAGGTTCATAATGTTTTAGATCTACCTAAGACACTTTAGAGATTTGATGTTTAGCCTCCCCCGGTCCCCGCATCGTCCGCCAGGATACCACCGCTAAGGTCTCTTCCACGCTGGGATAAAAGGTGCCAAGCGTGGTAAAATTGATGTGGGCTAACCCAAACCGAACTGCCGGGGATGTTGATAGAACGGACTGTGGGATCACGGTGCTCCTGCGCGTTGAGCACTAATAGGTCGTTGCACAGAGATATGAGCCCTGCCTCATCTCCAAATGTGTCCGAAACTGGTAACAGGGATTCCAAGTTTGCGAGTGGGTTTGGGGGCTCAGATGCCAGCCTTGTGAGAATGGTTGGCCGCTCCTCGGGTTCCTCAACATGTGACACTTCATCTTGTTGACGAGTGTCAGTGGATCCCCGAGCACTAGCTGTGCTTGAGCCTGGCAAAATGCCTCTCGGGTTGAAGGAAGCAGCTACTCTTCTAGTAGAATCTCGTACACCAGCAATTTTGGGGAAAGGGTACCGGCCCTTTAGCCCTCCAAGTCTGTTTGCACTCATCTTGGCTCGGATCCTTAACGACTCTATGATTGTGTATTTATAGAACTATAAGACTCTGCCTTGTGAGTGTTTGAATGATGAACGAGGCATATTCCAGACAATTGACAACATGATAATCAGCTCGATTAAATAGGGCCCTAAAATGCAGCTTCCACCCAAATGTTCGCCTTTGAATACCAAAATAATCATGCCTCAGGCAATGGCATTGTACTCCACGTGTAAGTATGCCATAGAATTTTATTCCTTCAAAAAAGAATTGTAAAAGCATGCCTTGGTAGCGGTGATCCTAACAATGCCTAGCAAGTACGAGAAAAGAACTATTGCCGATGTTGAAAGATGAAATACCAGTGCATGATTCGCCGAGGCATCCCGCATGTCCCGATCGAGTGATCTCTCAACCGAGGCTTTGTATTGAGTCCAGAGTTCAGAGACGGTTCATTGTACGAGACCACCCGAGCTATTATTGAAAGCCTGGCAGCTCAATCTCGAGTTCTTGGTGCGTTGTTGCCAGCTTGATCGCAGACACGCGGATAGTTATGTTCATGCGCTAGACGTAGCATCGGTACCTGGACTTTGTTCTAGAACCATGCCCAAGGGTTATTGACGTACAATATCGGGTGTACTGATTGCTTAAAGCTATTTCCAAAGTGATCATGTGGCAGATCAATGGCATAAGCGGCTCGCTTCAAACATTTCTAGCTTACCTGCCTGGACACAGTTCTAATTTTCAATGGGCTCAACTTGGAATTGAATAGCATGCTGTCGTAACTAGGACAGAAGACGGTGTATATACATGTACTGATTCATTACTGGATCTGAAACTAAGTTTTAGCACTATTTAAACCAGATTATCAGTAATCCCTCAATTTTGCAGCAATGACATGACTAAATAAGTATCCATGAGCCTGGCAAATACACTGAATGACCTGAAACTCGAACCTCAGGGATGGGTGCTCAGAATTTGATTTCATCCTCACAAATCTCAACTGCTGGCATCTTGACTTCTGGATTGATCGGATTAGTAAAGATCAGACGAATTCTCTTATATTCAATTTATCGCCACTTGAACGTCTCCGCATTTAATGGCACCGATTCTACTCATATGATAATATGAAATTGGAGAAACACAAGAGAAGAAGAGCCTCACTGTGAAAAGCGTGACCATGAAAAAGTACAGTTACTTAGGTAGGTATATCCTGATACGTTTTCGACAGTCCGCCATCGATCTGCCAATCCTTTGATAATCTGAGTTGAAAAGATGACAAGTATCAATGCTGCGAACAGATCACTACCCACGTTGCACTAGACTCCTCGGATCTCGCTACCAATAATCTTTGTCAGGCTAGCTGCCTTTGTTTCTCCTGCCGCCTTCGCCCATCCAATACGTCACCAATGTGTGTAGCCATCAGCTGTATGGGAAGTGCTTTGTGATACTTGCGCGCCTCAGACAACTGAAGGTGCCCAAAGATCTCCGAGCTTGACTATTCACATACGTGTTCCTAAAGTAAAGGATTATGATTCGCGCAAACTGAATGTACTTGCAGAAAGTAGCTTTCAAGGCACAGCCGCACGTGATGAGAGGTCGTTTACAGACGACTAGCAATAAGACAGAAAACACTATACAGTTTCTAGGATCAGGGTTCGATTAGAACGTGAGACGTTGCAGATCAAAAGCGATTGGTGCCAACATCAGGCTCATTCCGTTAAGCTGTGATCAGGTGAAAACTCAGCTGCTTCTATAATTTTCCGATATATCCCACATAGTTGGCAGTGCAATACATTGCTGGCATCCCACTTGTCAAAACTCCAGCGCTCTGGGGGCTTGAGATTGCAGTCTCAGTCCTTCTCACCGTCCCAACAGAACGGTTCCTCGTTGCTGGGGATCAAAGGCCTCAAAGCCATACCATAGTCGCCGCCATTTGGTGTCCTCAACAGCGTGTGGATGTGGAATTTCGCTGGCTTCTTGTTTGTGAGGAATACGCCTGAGTGATGGTCGAACTCCACGATGATGACAGGGCTCTGGATCCTGTAGTAGAAGGGGTCTGAATCGCCGTATGACCCGATCCAACTGAAGTATGTCTCGTGGAACCATGACTTGATGTTTTCCAGGCGGGCCTTCTTGGCTTGGGCGGGGAGGTAAAGTAGGTACTGGTTCAAGATCCCTAGTACGAGCTCCTGCTGGTCAGACGTCATTTCCGAGACGAGAATGCCCTCATAAGGCACCACTCGATTGTCTCGGTACGCGCCACAAAGATGGCGCTGGTCGTCGTGGTTCCATCGGCCGTGGGGCATAGCAGGATCCCTCAATAGCTTATATGTCTGGGCCTTGGCCTGCTTATCGGCAGGAAGGCTCTGCATGAGTTGCAGTCCCAATTTCTCTTCCTCCTCAAGTATACGTGTTCCCTTGTACTTTCCCTCGTCGATGAGGTTTGGTTCGGCGCCTGTAAACCACGGTGATATGACGATCTGCGACTTGTAAAAGAAGATGTTGAGGCAGAGGTGGTGACCGTAAAAGGCGTATCCCCAAGGCCGTGTTGTTGACGGCTCGCCAAACAGGACAAAGTTGTAGCTGAACTCGTTCATCACGGACGGTGATTTGACCAGATCGCCGAGGAAGCCATTCACGCGCGTGGCGCCCACCGCCTTTTGATACCCCTCGGGTGAAAGCGTCGCCTTGAGGACGAGCAAGATCTTGTCTCGCAGCTCAGAGCTTATCTCGTCAAGCCGGACTCCTTTGTCGCTGAGTAGGAACTCGGGGTTGCTCCACGTCCGCCACTCGGGGGCATCCACGTGGTACTTTACGCGCTTGGCCTGGTCTGCGTCTAGCAACTCGACGACAGCATTTGTGGCATTCACGATGTCGTCGATCGGTACTCCTTCGTCTTGTAGCTTAAAGAGATCTGGTCTCACAGTACCTATGTAGAGTCAGCTATGATGCACGTTGTAAGCTTGGGCGGCCCTGGCGAGGTATGCACACCGTCGGTTGTGACGCCCTTGAACGGGTCCTTGAGCAGTTTGAGCCAGTGCAAGTACAGGTTGTGAAGCCATGGCGGGTTGCCGCCCTCTTTGAACTCTTTCGCGTATACGTGAGCATCTTGTTTCTGCATGGTCGTGAACCTGGGTATGCTCAAGTCTGGCAGGAATTGGCGGTACTCGCCACCATGCTCGGCCTGTGCCGCTTTGGAAGCCATGGTCGCTGGTGCTGAGCTGCTGATTGTTACAGACTGTAAGACAGTAGTCCGTGAGAACCCAGAGTGACAACCAAGCAGTCGGTCAGCAGTCCTGGGGTATCTGATATGACTCTGGAGGTGTTGTCGACGACGTAGGCAACGTCACCGCGGAAGTTCCGAGCACGCCCGTGATACGTAAGTCCGAACTGGGCCGAGCCTCGGGGCCTACTTCTAGCACCGCTTGGCAATTCTAAGTGCGGCACGTCGATTCAACTCAAAACGCGTGTGCAGGTAACGCTCTGCTAACGAGTCCTACTTGCTATTCGGAACGCATCAGAGGGAGGTAATGTCCAAGTGGCACGATTTGACGCAGCGACCCGCGACTCCACGTGTTGTGACGGCTAGAATTTCCGGCATATGCACTGTCTGTCCCAAGCAAAGTGATGCCCCCCCCCTGTCGTTTTGACTCACGCTCCCCCCTCTGCATAGAAAAAAACAGCCCTTTACGCGCATGCCTATATAGCATATGCACCCCTTCCTTTAATCTTTAATTATCTTAATTTCTTTAATTATTTCTTTTATAATTATTTTTATAAGCTATTTTAATACTTAATAATAAAATAAATACTTATAAAAAAGATAAAAAATATAAAAGTTTATATTAAGTATAAAGAAAATATAAAGAAAGTATATAAAAAGTATAAAAATATTATATAAGCATACTTAATTAAAGGAAGGCTTGATATATGTTAACGCTATGCGGGCGCATGCGCGAAGGGCTTTTTTTTCTATGCAGAGGGGGGAGCGTGAGTCAAAACGACAGGGGGGGGGCATCACTTTGCTTGGGACAGACAGCAGCTCTGGACTCGGGAAAACATCGCATACCCCGCAGGCGCCAAGACCATGTCCAGATCTTCGGAAATCCCGGCTATGTTGGGTTAGGGTAGCGGATCGAGGAGACACGTTCATGCCGGATACACCACTTCTAGCATTGCAATTACAGCAACACACGGGTAGAGTGAGCTAATGTCTGCCTGCTCATAATTTATATGCTGCCCACTCAGCTTCATATATCCACTTACTTAACACAAGTAAAATAGTTATACTTGTTAACAAAAAGAATATGTATGGTAGCCTTTCTCGAATTGCTCCCGAATCTCATGTCCTCGCTGGGCCAGACTTTGCTTGACGGGCCACGCCATTAATAAAACCGTAGTGTTCTGTATGGTACACAAACATCCTTGCCACCAGGGCTGACAATTTTACACCCTCTAGGGCCGGTATCGCACTGCATGCGGTGTGTATGGTGAAGCTGGCAACTCGACAGGACTTTGATACCCGGATAGCTCACTAGGATCTCGAAGGCCCGGGAGCTCAAGAGAGCGCTCGACCGATGGTAGTTCAGAAACACCTTCGTGGCCGCCCTGCTTCCTGTCACTCACGGCCGCTTTCATCACATCGTCGCTGATGTTTCCCCGTGTTTTCCGTCGTTTTATGAAGAGAAAGACTGCCGCTGCAATAGCAAAAAGACATACCACCCCACCTATGACGGCACCAGATAATGCCCCGGCCGAGATAGAATTGCCTGGGATTAAACTCGGGGTTGTGTTGGAAATCGTAGAAGATAATACCGGATGAGTAGCGGCTGAGGTAGAGCCGCTTGAAGTCGTGCTGGGACTTGTATCAGAAGGCATGGAGGAGGAGATTCGTTGAGAGGCAGTCGCTGAATCTTCACTCCTCCAGTTAATCTGGATCATTGGTGCCACAATTCTGAGGCTCACCGCGGAGGATGTCAGCAATCCTTCCCCACTAGTAATTGTAGATACAAGCGGAAACGTCGCGAAGCCTGTAGAGAGAAAGCTGCCCTCGGCGCCACAATGAGCCGTCAGAAATACGTTCGAGGCGGTTTGGACGCAGGTCTGGCCATTAGGCATAGTTGTACAACCAAAGTTACTATAGATGCCCAGTTGGGTGTTAGGATTCAACACGCAAGGCCACAGAAAGCTCAAGACCAGGACGTACGTCGGACAACAACCAACCGCCGTTTCTCTCTCGTCCATCGCGAATTGCATTTCCCAGCCCGTGCTAGACCCTTGTGTAGCAGAACAAGCGCTGGTATACCCAGCCGGACACGAAATCCCGGGCGAGTAGAATCCCCAGCCGTTCAAAGGCGGGCTTTTCAACGGCGCGGCAGCAGTCGCCTGTGGCCAACAAGTTGAAGCGTCAACTAGATGGTCGACGATGCAGCCCTGACCCCTGTACGCCGAGGTCTGGGAGCTGATTGTCAAATAATAGCGTTGGATGCTTTTTCTATTAGGCTAGCTAACGTCTATTCAACGGGAGGGAAGGCCCCTATTTATAGTTATTATCCTCCATATAGTGGCAAACATATGGGGAAAAGGATATCCCGTATTAATAATAGCCTAGATATCTAGAATATTCCAACAGCCCCCCTTAAACTAATTCCCTTTTATTTATTTTATTTTATATATATAAGGGATTTAATTTATAAAAAAGGAATATTTAGTTATATAATGAGAAAACCTTATAAAAGGGGAAAAACTTACTTATTAAGTATTTATATATTTAGGCAAAAAACCCAAAAATTTACTGTTACTTGGACTTAAACTTATAGCTAATAAGGTATTATATATTAAATTATGATTTTATATGGGATTTACTAATTATTTTATAATAGCTACGGTATATCACGGCATTTTCATATATTAAAGTTATACATTATTTTATTTATACTATATATATTATAAAAATACGTTTTCTGTGTGGAATTAAACGTATATAAATGCAGTGTAGGTATATTATTACTATGTGTATATATGGTATATATAGGCCGTGTAAGTAACGCTTATTTTTCAGGAAAAACCTTTATTATTTTAATTATTTCTTTTAAGGGAAAACCTTTAGTATTTAGAGTAATATTATATATATATATAATTAAGTTCGCTTTATTTATTTATATATTTTATAAGTAAAGGAAAAAATCTTAACCCTAGTTATTAAAGAGTAAATATCTTAATTTATTTTATATGCATTATAATATAGGTGGAAAATCTCTCTATTCTTTAGCTTAATATTTTTATATTATTTTTTTATTAAACTATACTTTTCTTTAAACTCTTTATAATATAGTTTATTTATTGGTTTTATAAGCTAATTTACTAAATTTTGCTTAAAATTTATATATTTTAATATTACTTTATTATTTTTTATTGCTTTTTTTATATAATAATATACAATATTTATATATTTAATTCTTTTATAAAATAAGGTATTTTTAGCTAATTTCTTAGCTTTATTATTATTTATATATATATAATAAGGGGCTTAAGATTAAAGCTAATATTTAAATTATTATTAAAATACTTAAGTAAATTATATAAATATTTAGCTTTTTTTATAGCTTTTCTTAAAGCTATATATTTTGCTTTTATAAAGGAAAGTATTAGTATTTTTATAGCTAAGAATTCCAACTTATAGGATTTATTTTATTATTATTATTATTATTATTAATATTATATAGGCTAAATATATAATTAAAGGTGCTTTTTTTAATAAATATATCATTACCTTAGTTTAAATCTATATAGCTTATTAATTATCAATTATTTTTAAAGTAATTATATACTTTAAATATATATGGGAATTTATATATATATTTTTATATTTTATTTAATTCTTTTATATGCTTTAGTTTTAAGTTTATTATATATTTAGCTAACTTATTTATAAAATAAGTTAAATCTAGCTTTATTTTTAAGCTAGCATATAATATAAACCTTATTTATTATTAACATAATTTTATAATATTTTTATTAGCTTAGTTAATATATTTTTTTAATTTTTTATTAAGAGTATATAATATAAGTTAAGAGATTATTTCCTTTTTCTTAACCTTTTCTTTTATATTAAATCTTTTTAATATTTTATTTATATATTTATTTTAGTTTATAATTATTTATTTATCTTCTTTGTTTATATATATATCGCTTTTAAGGAAATCTATTAAATCTCCTTAAAAATCTAGTTTTATATTCTTATATAATTTATTTATTATTAAATTTATATTATTATTATTAAGTCTTATAATAATAATATTGTTTACATAATATATAAATATAATTTGTTTATTAAGGTATATAAATACCCCTTTATTGTATAGGTAAATAATAAATTTTAGCTTAATTAATATATTTTTTAAGTATTTATATTAAAGCATAGGTAATTATTTTAGCCTATGTAAAGCTTTATTTAATTTTGCAACTTTATTTTTATATTTTAGTTTATTATATATATATATAGGTAATTTTATATATATTTCAAAATTAATATTAAAATGTAGAAATGTGTTTTTAATGTCGTAATTATATATATAATATCCTTTATTTATTGCTATTATTAATAATATAGTATAGGTTTTAAGGCGGTAAATTATAAAGAAAGTCTTTAAATAATTTATACTTAATTTTTAATTATATCCCTAAATAACTTATTTAAATTTAAATTTAGTATTATTCTTATTATTTATTACTTAATTAGGCTTTATAATAGCTGGGTTATTTATAAATTTCTTTTTATATATTTATTTCCCCCTTAAAGCTATACGGTTAAGTGGTAAATTCATTATTATATAAGTATTTTATTCTTATAAACTATGTATTTTATTTAGCATAGATTTAACTTATAGGGGTTTTTTTGGGTTATTTAATACCTTTTTTAAAGAAGAAGGTTTATTAATATTAATTATAGTTAAGCAGTATTTTAATATATTTTCTTAGGTATTTAATATAGATATTTAATTATTTAATAATATATTTTATATAATACATATATAGTTTTTTAAATTCCCTTAAACTATTATTTTATTTAAAATAAAAGGGGAATTTTCTTTCTTTTATTTTTATAATTCTGGGAATATATATATATATATTATTATTATTATTATTATTATTATTATTATTATTATTATTATTATTATTATTATTATTATTATTATTATTATTATTATTATTATTATTATTATTATTATTATTATTATTATTATATTATTATTATTATTATTATATTATTATTATTATTATTAATATCGTTATTATTTATATATTGCCCTTTTAGTATTTAGATATTTTAAATTAATATAGGCTTTTTATTATTTATATCCTATACTTAATATATATTTAATTTTAGGATTATATTTAATAATATGCCCTTTTTATTTTTAGGTTTTAATTTAGTTTTATAATTATTATTCTAGAAATATATAATAGATTTTCATAATTTTAAGTTATTTATATAGGGCTTTTTTTTTTATTTATTACCTTATAAGGGCACTTATACCTTAGGCTTTTATAGGGTGTAATATTATATAAATATATAGTATATTTTATTGCTTTTCTTTATAAATATATAGGTAAATTTGCTATATATAAAAGGCTTTTAACTTTATTTATTATAATTAAATTTAGTTTTTTTATTAAGCCATTTAGTTTTTTTATATATAGGGGCGTTAAATAATAAGTTATAAAGTATTTATTTAATAAGATTTTAAATCTTTTATTTATATATTTACTTTTATTATTAATAAAGAATTCTTTTATTTTTTTATTATATTTATTTTTTGCTTTATTTTTATTTTTAAGTAAAGAAACTTTTAAATATTAAGTTCTTTTATTAAGGAATAATATATAGTATTTATATTTATTATATATAGGTTTTAAGGGACCGCTTATATTACTATATACTCTTTTAAGTATATTATATACTTAGTTATTTAGGTTAGTCTTATTTATTTTAATTATATGCTTAGCTTTTAAGCATACTTTATAATTACTTATATATTTTTAAATAGGTTTATTTATTAATATATTTATTTTATATTTTTAAAGAAATATTTCCAAAGCTTAAATATTTATATAACTTAATTTATAATGCTATTTATATATCTTTTCTTTATTTTTACTATTTATATTTAAATTTTATTAAGTTATATATTGGTTTGGCTTTTATATGGTTAGTAATAGATAAATAAAGTGTGTAATTAATTTAGCTATAGTATGGAGGGTAGGTTATAGCAAAGCTACAGCCTTCCCTTATTTAGCTATAAGCTAGCTATGATAGTTTATGCATGGGGTATATAACTGCTAGCTAATAATTAGCTAGCACTAGCTAATAGCTATTATTAATAAAATTAATTTAAATCTTATACCTTTAAATTTATATATTGCTTATAATGCACTTATTACATAAGCATATTATATATAATGCTTATATATATTATTTCCACATTAGCAGTCTTTTATATATATATATATATGCTTTAAAATCATGCTTTTCCTTTAAATTATTACTTAGTTAATTAAATTGCTTGGTTAATATAAATATCTTATCCTTTAGGGGGCTATAAAGGGTTAAGTGCCCTGTGGCCGTTGCTTTAAGGGGTTAAGTGTAAGTATTTAAGTATAAGTATGCAAGTGCGAGTGTTTAAGTGCAAGTATTTAAGCGCAAGTATATTTAAATGCTTTAAATGCTTAAATTGCTTAAATTGCTTAAATTGCTTAATTAAATCATTTAATTGCTAATACTTTAAAACTTTAAAGTATTTAAATATTATGCTTTAATTAATTAATTATTACTTTAGCAGCTTCTTTCTTTTTATTATTAAGTTAGCTAAGGTGCTTAAGGAATAAATTAAGCTTAAGCTAATAATAGCTACTGCTATTATATCTTTTAATAAGAAGGAGGTTATTATTATTATAGAAAAGGTTATTATTATAAAGCTTGTATTAAGGGCATTGCTAGCTAAAAAGGAGGTTATAATTAATAAAAAGAAAGAGGTAGTTGCTTTATAATGGTTAGCTTTATCTTAATTAGCTTAGGCTTCTTTTAATGTTTATATGCCTTTAATTATAAGTAAAAGGTTATTATTATAAACTCCTTTTAGGGCTATTAAAGTAATTCTTAATTATTTAATTAAGTTAAAATAATTAATGCCTTTATTATTAGCATATAATTATATTTTATATATACTTTATAATAATAAAGTATTTATTTAAGCTTATAAAAAAGCCTTTAATTAATTTTTTAAAAGCGTTTCTTTATTTATTTATAAAACTTATATTAAGATTTATTAAAAAGATTTTTATTATAGCTTAAATAACCTTTAAGGCTTTTAATTATATTAATAACTTCCTTTTTATTAAAGAAAAGGGTTATTATTAATGCAAAAACTATTGCTATTAAGTAGATTTTATGATAATTAATTATAAGGTAAAAGGGAGGGGAAGAACATTCTTACATTGCGTTTATAAACTAATAATTAGCTTTTAAACTATTTATTTATAAATAATAGCGCTTAAATATTATTATTATTTAATAAATTAACCTTTATTAGCTTTAAGGTAATTTATACTTAAGATTTTATTAAAAGGCATTAATAAGGAGGGTATTAAAAAGAAGAAAGGTTATGCTTATTAATTAAATATTAATTATTATTAAAAGGTAAATATTTTAAAGGTTTAATTAAGTTATTTATATAGTTAAATTAGTAATAAATCTTAATTAATTTTCTTAATAATTTTAAGCTAATTAAATAAATAAAATAATTGCATTAATTGCTTATTTTTGCTAATTAATACTTTAAAGTATTTAATTAAACGTGCTAATTAAGTGCGTAAATCGCTTAAAAAAATATTATTTATTAATATTTTAAAGTTTTAGTTTTGTTAAGTGCTTAAGGGGTTTTTAAAGAGTTATAAGCCTTAAGGGTATTATATTAATGCCTTAAGGGCGTTAATTGTAAATAAGGGCTTTCTTTAAGGGTATTAAGCAAGGGCTTTTTAAGGGTATTGCAAGGAAGGCTAAGAGTGCGAGGGTAATATAATTAAAAGTTAAGCATTTATTATAAATTAATTAATCTTACTTAAAAGTTAAATATTTATTATAAACTAAATAGGATTAAGTAAAGCTTATTATTAATTTATTTAATAATTAAAGGTATTGCAAAAGGGTTTTTAATAATTAGAAAAGGTTATAATTGCTTAAGGGTATATTAAGGAAGGCTTTTTAACTAAGGCTTCTTATAATTATTATTATTAATGATTTGCATTAATAAATGCAATTAAAGATTGGGTATTATTATTATGGATTGGTTTTTAATGCTTAATTAAGCTTTTTAGCGGCTTATAGCATTATTGTTAACATAAAGTTTCTTAATAAAATCGTTGCAAGCAAATAGGCTTTTAAGGAATATAATTTATTTCTTTAATGCTTAACTATTTATGCTTACTAAGCAAGCATTAATTAATATTAATTTAGCTTTTATATAATTAATAATAAATAAATAAAGTATATAATTAATTTAATTATAATATAAAAGGTAGGTTGTAATAAAGCTATAGCCTTTCCTTATTTAGCTATAGGCTAGCTATAGTGATTTATATATAAGGCATATAATTGCTAGTTAGCAGCTAGCTAGCATTAGCTAATAGCTACTATTAATAAAACTAGTTTAAACCTTATACCTTTAAATTTATGCATTGCTTATAATGCACTTACTACATGGGCACGCTATATATAATGCCTATATATATTATTCCCACATTATATATATTTTTTAAAAGATATATTTAAGCTTATTTATTTGTTTTATTATATTAATTTTTGTAAAGTATAAGCCATTTTTTTAATATCCTTAAGTTATTAGCTTATTTATTTCTTAAGAGTATAATTTAATAATATTTCCTTTTAATTTTAATTTAATTTTATTACTTATACACTTATATTTAAGTATATTTAAACCTAAAAAAGACATATAATATATATTAAAAAAGTTTTTTATAATGTTTATTTCTAAAAACTTAATTATTAAGTCCCTTATTTTATTTATAAATATAATACCTGCATTACCTCATTTCACGATTTTATTAATTATATATATAATGTTAAAAAGGCATATATCTTTAAAACTTATTATATTTATAATAGTATTTATAGCTATTTTTATAGAATTTATATATTATTAATTTCCTATAAATTTATTATTATTAGCTAATATTATTATTATATATATATATAAAGTATATATAAAGTTATTTACCTTAATTTCCATTAAGTTATTAAAAGAAAATTATAAGAGATTTAATAAATTCTTATTATATTTAGTATTTTCTATTAAATTATTTATAACTATATAAGCCATAAGTTCTTTTTAAATACCTTTTAAAGCTATAGGAAACTTTATGCTAATTAATAAAGCTAGGAGTTGCTCTTGCATTTTCTTTCATTTCTCTTAACTTATATTCTTCCTTAAAAAACTTAATTTTTCCTTCTTTTATTTATTTATTTTTTAATTAATAAGTACCTTATTTAAATAAAGGAAATAGCAATCTTCTTAAGTATGCCCCTTTATTTTATAATTAAGGCATATAATAATCTTTTTTTTATTTTTCTTACCCTTTATATATAAAGCTTTTTTAAATAATTTAAAGGGTTTTCCTTTACTTTTATTTAATAAGCTAAAGAAAAGAAATTTAATTATATAAATGTTTAAATCTTTTTTAAAACTTTAAGTTATATTTTAAATAAAGCTAATATATTTATTATTTAAGTTATAAAGAATTTAGCTAATTATAATTTATTTAAAAAGAATTATATTATTAGCTTTTAAATCCTTTAAAAAAAGCTTTAGCTTATTAATATATTTTTTTATAATCTTAAAATTATTAAGATTAATATTAAAAAACTTTTTAGGTATTATTTATATCTTTTATAAATATAATAAGCCTTTACTTATATTTAAGTTTAATATTAATAAGAGCTTTTTTATTTTAAATTAAAAATAAACCTTAAAAAAGATTCTTAAGATTATTTTTAATAGCATTTTCTTTTTTAAGTTAAGCTTAAATTTTAATGCTTTAATATATATAATTTTTCATTTTATTAAAAAGTAAAATATTATACTTATTAAGAAATATTATTTTAAAATAAATAAGTAAAGTATTTATTAAGATAATTAAGATAATAAAGAAAAAGATATAATAAATTTTAAATAAGTTTAATAAGTTAAGAAATAAAGATATAAGTATTAAAGTAATATAATTATAAAAAAAAGAAGAAAAACTTTTAAATAATATATTTTTAAGGTATTATAAATTAAAGATAGCTAAAATATAATTAAGTATTTTTAAGGGAGTTTTAAGAATTATTATAATTTTATTAAAATTTGCATTTTTAATATTAATTTAATATAATTTTTAAATTTTAAAGAAATGCTTTTATTATTCTTAATAAGGGCTTTTAAATAATATATAAATTATATAAATAGGTTAAGTATTAATAAAGAAATAGTTAAATATTTAGGTAAAGGAGGTATAGTTTTTATATATGGGCTTTAAGTTAAGAAATAAGGTTGATTTATAATGTTAAATAAGGCGATTTAATTAATTAAGAGCTTATTAATTAACCTAATTAAGTAATTAATTAAAAGGTATATTTTTAAGTATAAAGCTTATTTTATTTAAAAGGTTTAAAAAGTAGTAGCGATTAAGGGTGTTACGTAATATGCGTTTTCTATATTAAGTTAGCTGTTTTCCATATCGGGTTAGCGTTACCGTTTTAAGTAAGCTCCAGGCCTTATAACCTATTAAATAATAGCATTAAATGCTTTTTCTATTAGGCTAGCTAACGTCTATTCAACGAAAGGGAAGGCCCCTATTTATAGTTATTATCCTTCATACAGTGGCAAACATATAGGGAAAAGGATATCCCGTATTAATAATAGCCTAGATATCTAGAATATTCCAACACTGATGATGCCGGCGAAGTCGCATTCTTGTGGCGCGGTGAACACTGTCGTCAGAGGACCAAGGATATTTCGCGTCGCAAACACCGTAGTGATCCCTTGTGTCGGCGTCGGCGATGCCATTTGAAAGTTCGGCCTTTCAGTTGGACTGTAAAAGTTGCTGGAATTTGGACAAGGACATACAAGGAACGAATTCGGGGAACACAAAGAGAAAACGTGGGTTGGTAGAGCGAAGGACCAGGTGCAAAGGATTGGCGGTTGACTGTGATCACACAAAACACCGACACTTGAACGCTCCTGGACTTCAGGCACCGCCTGGTCGGGGCCCTCGTTTCAGCTGTGCCCCTGGCTCAGCTGAAAGTCCAAATCATTTTACGGCGAAAGCTTTTCGGCTTGTGCAGCGTTGAGCGGTCGTGATGATTGACTGGCATAAGATTGGGGTCCGTTCAGAGATGGGGTGGTCACCAGTTCCGTGGCCTAGCGTCATTCTGGGGCGTGTAGCATGTGCCTCATGAAGCGTCCTATTTCAAGGCCTCCTTGTCTGTGTGAGTTACTGTCATTGGACCTTAGTGTAGGAGAAGCATATCTGTTTTCCCAGGAATTTTCCGGCATTAGTGATACTACGCCTGGTGTAGTTGCGCCTAATTAGACTAAGCCAGCCAATATGGCACCAGGAGTGGGCTCTTATAACATTACAGTTGCTGTGCAAGAGCTATCATATTCATTGGAGCCACAGCTTTGATGCGGTGTATAAGTGGAAGTAACAGAAGCAATGAGCTTCAGCTAGGATTTAACGAGAGACAATAGCTAACACGCCTGCTGTTCCAACGGCTCCTCGCACCTAAACATGTCTGGCCCTGTCTGTATCAAGGCCTTGGAGAACAGGCTCGCGACAGGCATCATGCATTTTCCCATCCCTTACTCCTTCTTCTTCCTAGCCTTCACGACTGCCATGCTGGGAAGGTCGATAAACAACTTCCAGTAATCCGGGTCCTCCCGGGTACAGCTCGCACTCTCGGTAGGCTCAAGCTCCGTGTCCTCCAGTCCGTACCTGGCGTGAAACTCGCTGATCAGAGCCGGGTTGTAGGTCACCTCCATGCTCGCGCCGTCGTAGCTGACCGGAGGGTCGACGTACAGGGTATAGCGGTACGCCATACCCCCGGGGATCTCCTCGAAGTCCTTGTAGATGTAGCCGTACTTGCCGGTGGTTGCAGCCGGGGAGGCGTGGCCGTGAATGACTCGGGTGCCGACGAAGCGGCCCCCGGGCTTCAGGTACGCGACCACGGACCGGAACATGCCGTCCAGCGTATCCATGCTCCCGGCGTGGTCGAACAGCCAGTTCGCCGTGACCATGTCGTAGCCTTCCTCCTTGAACCTCAGAGGCAGGCTCGCCAGGCTTTCGGGCTTGGACGCATCCCCCTCGATCCAGTGTATGACTTCCTCACCCCTGCCCAGTGACGACTCGATCTTCTGGCCGGCCTGCATCATCTCGGGGGATACTGGGCGGGTTGGAAATCAGTGTCACAAACCATAGTGGGAGCTAGATACTGAGACTTACAGTCGACAACATCGACAGCCGCAGCGCCTAGGTCAACGACTTGACGCGCTCGAAGGCCCTGGCCGCCACCAAGGTCAAGTACGGTGATGCCAGTGCAGTCGCCTAGCGCAGCGGCATGAAGCTGGTGCTCGAGAGTAGCAAAGGGTGTGTCGATATATCGCCCGTATCCGTCCGTCTGGTGGGCATGCTGTTCTTTGCTATAACCGACTCGAGTTGCTGTAGTCGCCATGGCAAGTCTAGTTGGTGAATTTGAAAGCAGTTTATGCTGGGTGAGGTGCTATGCAATGTCTTCTAGGCTGGCGTCCAAAAGGTGAGACAGTCGTGAGTCCTGCCACTCGCTTCATGACAAGCGGGGAAGGAAGTCTAGAGCAGAGGTTCCATCGTGAGGAGGGGTTCAGATTATCCGTGCTTACTCTACCGTTATCGTAGTGGTGCCGTGGATACCTGTCGTCATGCCCCAATAGCGATGAGACATGTCAATGTGCTAAGCGACAACCGCGAATGCAGCAGGTTGCATGGCTTGCGTCGTGCAGGTGATCGACAATGTGTTACTTGATAATGTTACACGGTTTGTGTTCGTCAGCCGCAAGTCTCCCGTATTGTTGTGATAAATCACACGAGGAGCACTTTCTAATACGCCATATGGTATTAATTGGAACGCTGCATTCATGCAATTCTTGAACATGCTTGGGGTTGTGCCCCATGCTTACACCTTTATGCACCCCGCACAGGTTGAAAACCAGAGACATTCTCATGGGGGCTTCTTCCACCCGAGGCACCGTCCTGGTGGCTCTCTGTGTGCATCCAAGCGTACTCCGGTTCAGTTGTATCCAAATACGGCTCTACCTGCCATCGTTCCCGCACATCAGCATACTCATGAGACTCGCTCATTTTATTAGGCTGCAATGACGATGAAGTTGACTCGTGAGCAGCAATCTCCGTATCATGATGTGAGCTGGGTACAGACTGGCGCACGGCTGGCCAGCCGTGGTCATTACTGAGTTTCGACTCCGAGGCATTAGGAGAGTTCTCAGGGCCAAAGAACTTGGACCGGAGTGACTGGAGCGGGGCCCAGTCAGCTGCGCACGTTCTCAGGAACTTTGCTAGACCAGGGACCGAGCAGATAATGATAGCGATGTTGAGCTCCACAATCCTATTTTCTTCAGCGTAAGCGGGGAGAATCAACTATGTAGGGAGTGGGATCACGAACTTGAAACTTGCGTGCAGAGAAAGATCAGGTAAATATACCAGGTGGCATCGTCCATATTCTTGAACTCGATCACTCGATAAACGAGAGACAGGATGTTTGCGATGACGCCCCCACAGCCACTTATTGAGTCACTTGTATGATGGAGGAAGGAACATCATATGGGAGCAACTTACATGAAAGCTGTGGAGAACACCAGCACCAACTGGTTGCGTTCGGACCTTGATATTCACAGCTGTGTCGTATCCGGCAGCGGCAATATGAAGATGTATAGGTCCAAGAGGGTGCCTCCTGCAGCCTGCACGATTCCCCAGTAGACGCCAGGTGCCGCCTTTGAGGTAAGCACCACATCATCCCAACTTAGTCCCGAGCCTGGGGTGTTGTACTAGGCTGCCAAAACAAGAGGTGGAAGATAAACACAGATGATGGCTGCAAAGCCGATTCGAATGGCTATCCGCATAGCAGGCTGTATATCGAATATTGTATGGAATAACAAGAGTACGGATGCCTTGGAGAATATCAGGCCCGGCGTGACCGTGAGCGCCTGAACGAGTGTATACTAGTAGCTAGTTTCAATGTGCATGGAGCTTCAAAGTCGCCGACATCTACAGTATCGATCCGCCGTACTCAAGGAGTCGGTGGCCGGCTGAAAATAGCATCATTGGCAGCACGATTGGGCTACTCACTTTGGCATATTCACCGAGAAACCAACATGCTGGTATGTCCCATTGGTGGCGCGCATATTTCAGTTCTGAATTTGGTTAGACTCGAGTAAAATCTGTGGTCAGGAATTCTCAACGACAACATGGGTAGCAGAAACATACGACAAAGCACTAGGCTAGTGTGCACGAGAGAAAATATGAGGGCAAATGTGTTGAAGTCTGTAACATGTTAATCACACGCGTAAGAGTCCCTGGGGGCGTGGAAGAACAGAAAACATACGATCAGTCCACGTGAGCTTCTTCCAGTTCGCGGTCAGCCGACAGCCCGTGAACAACGTCGCGAAGAACAGCACCACGGCAGAGACACCGAACACAACAGGCGCATAAGTTGGCGGGTTTGTGAAGTCTGGCGCCACGCTCTCTGGTGGGGTGCCGGCCGGGAAGGCACAGAGATCAATACCACCGGAAAGGCTCATCGCCGCTGAGGGCTGAAGAAGGGGGGTTTCTGGTAGACGAGCCAAACAGCTCGAGATAAAAGGGCAAATTAGCAAGAACAAATCCAACCGCGCATGATGATGGGTTGTCCGATACGACTACCAACGGGCGGAATCCAAGGGCCCACAGGTCCACTGGCCCAAAGCCCTGCTGTTGCTGTGCCGAATTCAGCGGGTCCTGGTCAGGCGGCAACACCACAAATGACACCCAGAGCGGCGCCGAACCTTTTCAAGTAAACGCTTCTTCAACTGTTCTTGATTCATTATACATTCTCTTCTGACATCACACGTATTTCAGTGATAAATAGTTGCGTTGTAGTCCAGGACTACTTGCAGTTGTTGGTTGACTTGACGGAAGAGCGCTTGGTAACACCATCGAGGTCGTCTCCAAGCAATTGGAAGATCAGGTCGCCTTCTGTCAACGTAACCATGAACCTGCCAACATTCAATTGCTGATGGAAAAGGTTGGGTAATTAGAGGCTGTGAATGAAACTCTGCTCAGGGAAAGGGACAGACTTCTGAATCTCGCAAACCATTTCCAGGAATACTTGACAACATTCTTCTCCGTCGACCAGCACCACAGACATGTCAACGTCAGGACAGACTTCTCCAAGGCATCCTCGTCTTCCACAGAAAGGCCCATGAGCGCAGCTTGCCAATCAGGAATCAACGTAACACCTGTTTGTGAATCCTATTCTACTTCAGGCGAGACCGACGCAACAGCCACGCGCCGTCAGATTCCGATTTCGCGAGAGCAACTTACCCCGAAATGGTCCAATGATGGTGATGTCAGGGCTGTCGACTCCGGTGATACAGCAAACACGGCCATTTCTTCTTCGGTCGGAACAGAGGCCCTCGTCACAAATGGACGTCAGCCATTGTCCATTTATCCACCAATCTGTCCATCTCCAATACCGGTAATGCGAGACTACCGTGCCCTCGGAACTCCATCAAGGGAACAGGCGCAGATTCAAACCGATGAGGACTTTTCGCCCACCAGTAGAGATTGCCTTTCCCAAACGGCTTTGTCAGAAGGAGCGGGCGCCACAACAACCATATCCATCGAGCAAGCTGGCACAGAGCATACTTCACTAAGCACTTCAGCGGCTTCGCCAGAAACAGGGCTCAGTTCCAGCGATGCTGGCGACGAAAATGCAAGCGTTTTAGTCCCTGTGGCAAATGTCAGCTGGCTCTCACTTCCAGCAAACACAGTCACCCATGAGCCGTGCAAGTTCGACTGTGATTGGTTAAATTTCCCGCACGCAGTGGCTGACGCGCCGGACGTGCCGCAGCCCGAAGACCTCTTGTTCGGATCCTGCAAGAACCTGTTGGCGAACGGGATCCACAAGGCCCTACGAACAGCGCGCGTCGCCGAGCCCGAACGGCTGGCCATGGGATGAGTCCTGTACATCTTCAGTCGATGGCGCGTTATACCCACGAGGGAGAACTTCGCGAGAATACCACATTTCCTCCGACCCACCGCGGAGCAAATAAGCCAACCTCACCCGGCAAGGATCGACATGGTAACTTGGCCGAGTTTGCGCCTCGCTCTCATGGATCAGCACTCAACCTCCCAGCTGGACGAGACACTTGAGCTGCTTGCCTGCTGTCTCAAGCTTCGATGGCCATGGAGTAAAAAGTTTCTACGGATGAGAGATGATGGTAGCCGTGAGTTGGTAGACGAGTTTCTTAAAATGGTCATGTCCCTGGACGGGTGGGGAATAACTCGTGAATTTGCTGTGGCATATCCACACTTGGTTGAGGGGTTGAGACTTCATATTATAGAGTATAATGTAGCTTAGCCATGATAGTTTGGTCACGGCTCCTATTGCCAGTGGTCTACAAGATGGCGTTCTCTGGAAATGCGCACGGCTTTGAACAAGGAAGCGAAGAATAAAAGATGTTTTACACATTATACATACAAAGCTATTGTGACGGGACGTAGTAGGACAGCGTTAAGAGGAGACTGTCATAAAGAGCGACCTGCACAGCTATGCATGCAGCATGACCGTATGCATGAAAGATGGATTGAGACGGCCTGAGTGACTTGATCACAGCAAATCCCACCCCGCGTATCACCTGATAAGGGACACAGTATCTTAGAAGAGGGCGGATGGCATTATTACTCGGAGGAATCTGTCTTGGTTGTCATTAAGCCCTGTACCGAGCACTTGCCTTGAGCTCACCCCCAATTCCACCCCTTTGCTTAGACATATCCATCACGCAACGATCCCCCCCGAAATTCCAGCTTCCAAGATTGCTGTGCGTCTGAGGCCTCGCACTTGGCTTCCTTAATCAACGTCGACCTCCTGTGTTCTGGCCTCCGGTTCCCTGGCCCCCAGTGTTCTGGCCGCCGCCGCCACCACCACGGCCCCGATTCTGAGGCGCGTTGGGATCCGTATCCACAGGACCGGGGGTGTAGACAGGATGGCAGTGACAGCTCTCCTTGACCCACCCGCATTTGCCTGGGCAAAGTCTAGACTCCTCAGGGTTTCCATCGCGTGGAAGAGGCATGGTGTAGGTGATTTTGAGAGTCGTCGAGTCTTAAGGATGTAGTACGGGGGGCTCGGTGCACTTCGCTCGGTGTCTCCAGTTGCTGACTTGCTGGGGGACTATCACACTAAGCGTGCTGCTGTACAAATGTTGTTGGTCTTGTCTGCTTTTCGCTCAGTGCTGTGATGTTGAGTATTGATTTTGCTTCCTCGCGATGGTCTGCTCGATGGAAGTGCAAGAGCCTGGAAATCTGGCCTGGGGAAATGGGGGTTTATATAGTTTTGAATCTAGCCTGGCGCAATTTGGCTTGAGAATGACGAGTTGAAAAGACTGATTTACATCCTGGTCTCTGCGTAGGCTGTTGGTGGCACTTTATCACTCATGTGGTCGAATTTGTAGCGTTTTTCATAGATGTCAGCCGTGAGCCTATAGAGTGATTCGAGCCTGTATCTGACACAATCCTCCAGTCACTATTCATAGTCCTACATTGGTCCTCCAGTACAAGTCTAGAAGTGATGAAGATTCATTTAGGGTTGGTGAACATGAATTACCAAGGACTTGAGTCTTGAGTCACGCAACCCGCCTGCCTCATCTGCCTGGGATGAGTTCAATGAACCCTCCACCTTCTGAGGCTGGGTTTCCTAAAGTTGGTTACTCTACAGAAAGACATCTCATGATACCCTAGACTCACGCTCTCAACAACAACCTAGGTCCAAAGCTGAAAATCCCAATGTCTCCAAAGACATAGCGAATTCGCCCCAGCTTCTACTCCCGGCTAATATAATGGCGGTCGCAAAGTTAACTAAGAAGCAAGGCGTCTTCCTCCGTCACGAAGTTTCTTGTCAATGCCGCGCAAAGAAGCAACGCATTCGCCAAGATGGATATATGGCTATCCAAACACTTGCCAGCCTTCTGCATCTCGTCGCAAAGAGGCTTGATCAAGTAGCGCAGTTTAACGTCTAGCAGAGCCTGCGATATAGAATCCACCTGCGGGGCAAAGTCAACCACCAAGGCGTCTCCTGTGCTCCAGAAGTTCACCGCCCCTGTCGTATCACCTGCCACAAGGTCATAATATAAAACATCGAAGAAGACGTCATTGCAAATGGGCTTTGCAAGGTCCAGCATGACGGGGTGAAATCCTGCGACCTCATAGTCAACACAGAGAAGGGAGGGGCTCCTCCGATGCTGCGCTTTGGGTGATACCATGACATTGCCCCAGTGGGCATCCCCTAAACCAAAGGCTGCTGGACAAGACAACATCTCGGGAGAACTTGGGGAAAGAATTTCAAGTGCGACGTCGAAGGATTGGCGGAGTGCAGGGTAGCGTTTGCAGTTTATCGTTCACGGCATTGTCAGAAATCTGTCGAGGGAGAATTATTCGCCTCTTATACGCAAGGCAGATCCGTAGAACTCGCGAAGCCTTGCGTCGTTCACTAGGCGGGCGTGAAGGAACCGGTGTAAACTTGGGCACGGTGTTGTTTCTTTCCGAGGCACCGTGTCTCCAAGCATGGAATTCCGATACGCACGAGGCATGTCTTCGGCTTTAACCAATTCGACGTATAGCAATGTGACTGGTGGTGGAAATCTTCGTCGGATGATTTTGTCAGTACAATATTCGGGGCAGCAGCTCGTCGATACTGGAACTCAACAGGCGCGACTGTCGACTCCGGAAACGAGCTTGTTGTGTTTGATCGTGGCGTGGCCATGTTCGAGGCCGTCGCGGTTGCCATGATTGCTTTCAAGCGAGGCGACGATGACTTGGATGCTGCTCGCTCGGCGTTCAAGAAGATCACCGATAAGCTTGGTCTTGTCATACCGCATGAAAACTTCTCCATCCTCTTGAGGCACGACGCAGAGGACATAGAAACCTGTGTTGAGCGTACCATGAGAAGAGAAGACGATCATGACGGGCCACCAGACACGAGATACACGCATTATCAGCGCCTTCTGCAAACCGAGCTGCTTGCCCAGGAGGCGCGGGGGCTCTAACGTCCCCGGCCCCGTTTCCGATCACCCCCTGATCCTGATCGCCCCACACCCGCATACGCGCATAAACGCGTTTATACCCACCATATAAACACTCCTTAATATCTTTATAAGGAATTTTTTTTAATTACTAAACTTCTCCTAAATATTAATCTCCTTATTATAAAGCTATATTTTAAAAATAATATTATTAATGTTTTTATTATTATTAAGGATAAGATATTAATTTAGCAAGTTATTAAAACTTAATATATCTTTTTTATTATATTATATAATTTTCTTAATAGTATTTAAAGCTATTATATTATTGCTAATTCTTAAAGGCTTTTTTTTTAATTATTAAAAAGCTTTATTAACTTTATTTATAATTAATTAAAATAGCTTAAAGTTAATATTAATGCAATTTAAAATAAAGGCTTTAAAAGCTTAATTAGCCTTTTTAAATAAAAACTATCCTTTTTTTAAAAGGAATTAGCTAAAAGCCTTTTTTTTTTTACTTTATTTTTTAAAGCTAAAAGAATTAATATATAAAGGTTATTTATCTTTAATTAATAATTAAAAAAAATATTATCTTTTAATTTAACCTTTTTTAATTATTTATTATTAAGTTTATTTAATTAACTTATTAATAAAATGCTAATAAGAAAGGGTTAATAAAGGGTTGCTTAAAGAATACTCTTATTCTTAGCTATTTAAAGGATAATTTTTTTCTTTAAAAGGATTTTAATTCTTAAGTATAAATCTTTTTTATAAAGTATATTAATACCTTAAGTAAAGTCCTTAAACCTTTTATTATTTTTAAGGGAAGAAATATATAATAATAATGATTTTTAATTATCTTTAAGGATTATTTTAGCCAGCAATTTATAATTATTAAAAAAGGGTAAATAAAGAAAAGAATAGCTATTAAATAATTAAGAAAAGTTTTTATTTTTAATATTACTTTTAGCAACCCTTTTAAATAACGTTTATTTATAATTAATAAATATTATATATATATAATTATTAACTTTATATAAAAGTATTATTTAAATTATATATATATAGTTTTTTTATTTATATATATATTATATATACTTTAGCTCCTTAATATAATAATCTTTTTACTTTTAAAGAATATTTTTAAAAAGCATCTTTATTAACTTAAGTAATATAATTTATTAATAATTATAATAAAGAAAAGGTTTCTTTATTATTATTATAAAGCATAAAAGAAGGCATTTAAAAAGTTAAATATTTAATTAAAGTAAAGAATAATAAGTTTTTAATTAATATTTAAATATAAAGTATTTAAAAGTTATTATATTTTTAAAAATTATTAAATTTAATATAAATTATTAAAATTTAATAATATAAGGAGCTTTATTAAGCAATTCTTTATATTAAAGGTTTTTTTTTAATAATTTAAAGCTTATTTTTAAGATTTTTAAGTAATTATAAGAAGTACATTAATTAATTACTTATTAGCATTATAATAAATATTTAAGCCTTATATTATAAATATTCTTTAAAAAGCTTTTTAAAATATATAATAAGAAAGAAACTTAATTAATAATAATTTTATAAAAAAATTAATAGCTTAAAGTTTAAATTAAAGCTAGCTAAAGAATTATAAAAAGGAAAGTTTAAATTAACTTAAATATAGCTTTTATTAATATTAAGGCTATTTATAAAGCTTAAATAAAAGTAAGGAGGGTATTAAAAGAAAGCAACGCCTTTAGAGAATTAAAAATATTAATAAAAGAGAGATCGTGCATTATAATGGCGGGCAATTAAGGGTAATAATAGGGGAGTGTGTGGGTGCCGGGGTGATCGGGATCAGGGGGTGATCGGAAACGGGGCCGGGGACGTTACCAGCACACGATTCGGGTGTCCGAGACTGACAGCTACGGGGAAGTACAAAACATGCTTCGCGCGGTTCTCCTTGAAAAAAACGAGCAATCCACTCTTCCAGCCAATTTTACATCCTCTCCAGGCAGTCTACGGATTTTCTGGACTCTCCGAGTCCGGTAAGAGCACGTTGGCTGAAAGTTTCTGCGCGACGCTGGGGTCTCGGCGTACGTTCCGGGCCAAGATCATGTACTTCAATAGTTTGGTCAGCCAGAGAATTGGGAAAAGCATCTATGGTCTTCCAGAGAAGGAGCAAGCGTTACACCTCTTCCACGAACTTGAAAGGTTTGCGAGGACGCACTACTGGCTTCGAGTAGTCACCATCGAAAGCCTGCATATTGCTAAGTTGACGCAGTTGCTCAAGACATGGCTCGGGGACAAATTTCAAGTAGTTTTCATTGACGTGGAAGATAGCAGGCGTCTCGGTAGGTCGCTTGTGACGGTGGAAGCGTTAAACAGGAACGACCAGATGAAGCGTGAGAGGGGTGTGGAACTGCTTACGAGAGAGGCGGACTTAGTGACTGACAACAATGGCACCGTCGAAGCCTCGATGGAGGCACTTCTTCGCCATGCGCATGTCATGGGGACCGCAACCGATGGAGACTAGGAAGACCGGCGCGGACAGTCAACTCTAGTGTGAAGTAAAACCCCAGTGGCAATTGATTCAGGATACCAAGATACTATCGAACTGGCCATACCTTTTTCCGTCGAATCACTCACCAGCGTTGGAGGTGACAAGCTCAATGGCTTTCTTAAGCAGTTCACGATCAACCCTGAATGTCAATCTCTCTAGAACCGTGTCGTAGCTGTGAAACTCTATATCGTAACCTGTTCTTCTCGTGTTGGCCAACAGGCTCGCCCTCATTGACAGCTGCCACAAACCACCAGACCAGCTTGATTTCGCCCTCTCCGATTCGTCGTGTCTACAATGTAATGGGCTCACAGACGTCCTTGAACAAGCGTGGCTCGTCCGGCAGATGCCCCGTCTCAACAGCGGGGCAAAGGCGTGAAACCAGGTTCACAGGCAACAGGCGGCACGGTATGACGGTCTCTTCGGTGGTTTCGCGACTCGCAGTAGTTCCGGGGGACTCGCCCAAATTGCGACGGCCCTTGGAAAGGATGTATTCGTCACGACGGAGTAGGAATGCAGACCTCGCGAGTCGAGAGCCGGAACAGAATAGTGCCCGCGCTTTCCACAAATCTTTCCGCTGTGTGCAGCTCGGTCTCGAATTGCGGAGGCGCCGTGTTTGCAACGGCCTGAGATGTCGATCGTTGTCAGCGAGGCCAATGTGACAGGCGCTAACACGTACATATTTCAGGCGAGTGTTGTGGGAATGAGGACCAGGAGCAAATAGTTCCGGTTGACAAGCTGATGGTGCTCTGAAGTGGGGAAATGACTGAGAATGTCAGAGAGGAAAGTGTTTGCTTCTGGGGCGGGTGGGGGCAGGGATGGGCTGGTGTAACAAGTGGGCTGCAGGTTGACATTTACGGCTGAAAGTTATATAGTTATGTTTTAAGCTAATATTAATGATAAAAAGTGTTATGGGCTAGCCTTGGGTTGTCTGCCGTAAGGTATCTAAATGGGGTTTATATTTAGAGTGCAGAGGAGAAGGTTCACTCCCTATTTGCATTCACGCCGAAGACTATTCTTATAAGGCCAAAGCCTATTAATTAATTATAATGAGTAAAGCTTAAACTATAATATATTCTTCTTCTTTAGGTTTTTATAACAGGCCTTAAAAAATAGCTATATAATAAAAAATAAAGAATATTATAATTTAATTATAAATTAAATATTGCTTTTTACTTAATTATTTAATTATATTTTAATGCCTTTTAATTATATTAAAGGCTTAGCTTATTATTTATAATTAATATACCTTAACCCTTATAATTTAATATATTAGCTAAAGTAAATTAATAAAAAATAATTATTTAAGTATAAATTAATAGCTAAATTAATAACATTTTTATAATTTTTTAATATAAGCCTTTTATATAAGCTTTTTTACTTAAAACCTTAAAATTATAAATTTATTATATAATTTATAATTAATTAACGCTTAATTATAAGTAATTTACTTTATTAATAAAGATTTTTTAAATTTTAAGCATTTTTATAATATTAAATTAATTAATATATAGCTAACCTGCTTTAAGCCTAAGCTAATATTAAATTAACAATGCTTTTAAGCCCTACCTTATAAAAAAGTTTTATACCCTTTTAAATAAATTCTTCTTCTTTATTAGCCTTAATTAATAAAAGCTATATTTTTATTTTCTTGCAATAATTAAGATAATTATGCTTATAATAATTAAATTAATTATATATAAAATACTTAACTTTGCTTATTAAAATTATTATAATATTAATATTTATTACTTTATTATTTTAAGGTTAAGTATTATTTTCTTTTATTATAATATTAAAAATACCCTTATATTATTATAAGGCAAAGCAAAAAGCCTTAAATATATTTAGCTATTTTTTATAATTAAGTTAAGCTTTTATTATAAAGATTAAGTTATTAATTATTAATAATATTTTATATTTATTTAGCTTACTTTAAGCCTTTATTATATAAATTAATTAATTAAATTAAATAAGAAATTTTACTATTTTTTTTTATAGCATTACTATAACGTAATTAAGTTAAGCTTAGTATATCTTTACTTAAAAGGGTCCTTAAACATAAGGCAAACCTTTTTTAAAAAGCTTTTTAGCTACCCTTTAAATATTTTTATAAAATTAATGTAAAATAAAAATTAATTATAAAAAGTTCTTAATTAATTAAATATATAAAAGAATTAAGCCCCTTTAATATTAATTACTTTCCTATTTATTATAAACTTAGCCTTTATCTTTATTAATTAAGTTGCTAAGTATTTTTAAAATAAAAGTTCTTTAAAATAAGGAAGGATTTAGTAGGTTATTATTATTTTTTTTAAATCTTATTATATTAAATTTTATATAGTTGCATTATAAGTTTATAATGCAAGAGGATTTTAAATATATATTATGGGCTAGCTTTGGGTTATTTACTATAAGGTGTTTAAATAGGGTTTATATTTAAAGTGCAAAGGAAAAGGTTTGCTCCCTATTTATATTTATGCCGAAGCTTATTCTTATAAGGCCAAAGCTCACTAATTAATCATAATGGGCAAAGCCTAAACCATAATAAAAAGTTAATAATAGCTTTATTATTAATATTTATATAATTATTATTATATTAAATAAATAAAAACTTTTTTAAAAAGAATTATAATTTTATTTAATTAAGTAATATTTTATTTATAAAAACCTTTGCCATTCTTTTAAAATGGTTTTATATCCTATCCAAGGGATAAGCTTTAATATTTATCTCCCACCAAAAAATATTAATTCTCTTTTTCGCTATGCAATTTATATTAAACTGCTTTTTGGAATTTCCTATATTTAATAAATATAATATATAAGTCTTATACTTTCTTAGCAATATATAAATTTAATATTTTATTAAAATTAATTCTTATTTTATTTATATTTTATGTTAAAAATTTAGCATTTAATGTATAATTTAAATCTTTATATTTATATACTTTTAATTAAATAAATATTACCATTAAACTTTATATTATTACTTTATTTTATTATATAAGCTATTTCCTTAATTATTTTAATAGCAAGCTTTTATTTTATAATATTTAAAGTTATTAACCTTAATCTTTTTTAAATATTTAATAACTTTATATTATTATAATATTAATATTTATAATTATAATATTATTAATTAAAAGCTAGTATATAAGTTTATTTAAATTATTTAACCTTTTATATATACTTATTAATATATCTTAATTATAAATAATTATGCTTAAAATATCTTATTAAAGATTTAATATTTTCTATTTTTTAAAATAATTAAAATGTTATTATTATTATTAATATAATATTATTCTTAATTAAATTTATCTTTAATATTATATCTTTATATTAATAAGATTTAAAACTTTATAGCTTATTTAATTTAAATATTTAATAAAAAAGTAAGAAAACCTTATAAGTAATATAAAAATTAAAAGGGTTTATAATTGCTTTATATAATTAGCTTTATATTTATTATATAAATAGCAATATATAAGGCTTATATAAATTATTATTATAATAATAAGGCTTGTAATTATAAAATATATATATATTATTTTAATTATATTATATTAAGTTTTTATTAATTTTTTATTCTTTTTATGCTAAATAATTTAATAAGAAATATTTAATATAATTAAGACTAAGAAAAAATAAAGGTTTAAAAGGGGTTATTTATACTTAACTTATATAATGCTTTATATTATTTAAATTTAAATTTAAATAATTTATAAAGATAATTTAAGTAGTTTAATAATATAATAACTTTAAATATATTTATTATTATTAATAATATTATAGCTCTTAGATAAAAGTTTTAAGGCTATAAATAAAGATTATAATATTATAATTATTCTTAAGCGTAATATAATAAAAATTTATTAATTAAATATATATAATAAGGTTCTTTATAATGTTTAACTTATAATAAATAAAGCTATTATAAATACCTTAAAATATTATTTTAAGGCTATTTTATAATTTAAGGTTAATTATGCATTGCTTATATTATATATATTAAGTTAAAATTTATTATTTATATTAATTAACTTAAGTATATTTTATAATTATTATATTATTTATATAACTTTAATAATATAGCTATTATTTTTTAATAAACTTATATTATATATATTTTTATTTAATATAATATAAGGTAAATTCTTAAAGTATAGTTTAAGATATAATTTATAATAAATCATAATTTAATTTATATCTTAAGATAAATTATTCTTAGTTTTATTTATATTAAAATAAATATTTACTAAATAAAACTTATATTAATATATTATAAGAAATAATATAATAATATAATTTTTATATAAAAAGTAATTATTTTATATTATTATTTATAATTACCTTTTTAATATTAATATAAATAATATTTTAATATATTTAAAGCATTTTATAAACTTTATAAAATATTAAGTATAGTTTAATTACCTAAGTTAATAAATTTAAATATTTAAATACTTAAAAGTATTTTATATTTAAATAAAGTAATATAAATAATAATAAAATTAATATTATAAATTTTACTTAATTATGCTTTTAAGTTAATAATAATCTTTTTAAATATTCTTTTTTATAATTTATAATTTATTAAGGTAAATATTAATATATAAATAAGCTTATATTAAATATATTCTTTTATAAGGAATTTAAACTTACTTTATATTAATTTCATCTTAATTTTATTTATAATTAATAAAATTTACCTTTTTAATAATTTAAAAATCTTAATATTTTATATTTTTTTAAACTTAAGAAGAATAGCTATTAATAGCTTAAAATAAATAATTATATTAATCTTAATTTATAATTTTATATTATATTAATTTTTTAAAATAATATTTTTAACTTTAAACTTTATGCTATTTATAAGTTTTAAATTAAGGTATTAATTTTTATTTATTAAAATTAATATATTATTTATATAAAAAAACATTTTAAGTATATTTATTTAGCTATTATCTTTATAA